TAACCTATTTCTTTACACAAAAACTTACATTTATCTGGTTGTAAAACCAATCCAGCTGTTTTTAATCTACCTAATAATTTTTCAAATTTTTCCTTGTGTTCTTTTAATGAATTTGCATATATCACTATATCGTCCATATAAACAAATAGTTCTATCCCTTGCATTCCTGATAATACTTTATCCATCAACCTTTGAAAGGTTGAAGGGCTATTTTTTAACCCAAAGGGCATTCTGTTAAATTCATAGTGTCCGAATGGTGTCGAAAAGGCAGTTTTATGTCTATCCTTAGGTACAACTTCTACTTGATGAAATCCTTGAGCTAGATCCAGTATAGTAAAATATTTAGCACCTCCAAGCTGATCTAAAATATCTGTAATGTTAGGTAGTGGATATGAGTCGGATACTGTCTTCTCATTTAATTTTCGATAGTCAATCACCATACGCCAACGTTTATTACCTTGGGAGTCTGCTTTCTTTGGAACTATCCACACTGGTGAGTTGTAACCAGATTTAGATAATGATATTGATTTATTCTTTAGTAAATCATTTGTTTGGTTTTTAATTTCTTCTTTGTGAACAGGTGGGTACCGTGGATATTTACTATTTACAGGATTATCGTCCGTCGTTTCTATAGTATGTTGAATTTCGTTTGTACATCCTAATTTATCACCTGGGATATGAAACTGATGTGAATAGTTTTTTATAGACATGAATAAATATTCTTGTTCCTGCTTATTTAAATGTTTAATTTCTAGCAGTTCTTTTAATTTGTCAATTCTCTCTGCTTCTAAATCGGTTTGCTTTGATATTTTCATTCCTGGTTCTTGTTCCGTATATTCTAATAACTCTACTGGAGGTATTGACAATTCTACTTCCTGATTAGTGGTATTGATGACAAATACTTGTGCCATTCCTTCTTTTACAGAAACTAATGCTTCTCCCAAATATATTCCAGGTCCTGTCGATATTAACGGTAAATATCCGGTATTTAAGTCATTATTTTTTACAGGTAATTTAATTAATTGTTTTGTTCGTCTTTTTACTTTAAATGTTCTTCCCTTATTTATAGTTAATATTGGGAATTTTCCAACATCATGAATTAAAGTTTTCTCTTTTAAGTCTATAGTAGCATTCTGTAAGAAAGGCATTCCTATTAGTCCATCGCATTTAATAGGAAATACATTTGGTACAACTTGAAAAATCTGGATTTCATTTTTAATTGGTATTTCTACTGAACCGATTGTAATTATTCCGTTACTGCCTATTCCAAATAATTGACATCTATCCTTTTTATTTATTATTAAATGTGGCTTTAAGGCCTTAAATTTTATTAAATTCAGTTCGGCACCTGTATCCACTACTAAAGTTATTTTTTCATTTTCAAAGTTCTCATTACATATTTCTACTTCTGGCGATTTTACATTATCTTTATGTGGTGCCATTAATATTATTCGCTTATTAGGCGCTTGTTCATCCCTGATAGACTCAAAATCGCACCCCCATGTTGAGTCTACTATGTGTTTTTTGGATCATCTTCATCCTTAATTTTCTGGCTTCTTTCTACTTCCTTCTGCCGCGCGAAACAATTTTCGTATTTATGCCCTGGTCGTTTGCAATAACCACACATTCCCCAACATTTTTCAGCCGTATGCCCCGTCATTTTGCACTTTGTGCACTGTCTCTCCTCGGATTTATTATTTTGAAATTCAGGACAATGGATTTTATGATGTCCTTCCTTGCCACAATTATAACAATTAATTATTTTTCTACAATTCTCTTTAACATGACCCGGTTTACTACAATTAAAACAAAATTTTGAATTGCTACAATCTTTTCTAACATGACCTTCTTTACCGCATTTATAACACTGAATAGATTTATCATATTCTTTTGGTTCCCTTTTTATAAATTTACTTCCAGAATTCGCATTCTTATTTTTATCCTGCTTACTATCTTGATGAGATCGTTTTTTATTATTTATTGATTCTTTTTCTATAAATCTAACTCGCGGATGTTCCTTAAATCTTTCGTTATATTGCAATTTTGAGTATTTTTCACCTGCATTATTATTTTCCGTTAAATCTTCTAAACCTTTAACATATTCTCTTTTTAAAGATTTTGTAAAGTTTAACTCCCACTCTGCTTCTCTAGCTAATTTTACTGCTTCAAGAAGATCTACAGGACGTCCTAATCTTACCCGTAAAGATAATTCCGTTTTTAATCCTAACAAAAAACTTTCTCTTGCAGTCTGTGTAACTGCTTTTATCATCCCCAGTGCAATCTCAGGAAGATTTCCATCATTAATTGCTTCAATAATTTGATTTAATAATGTATTTACGCGCTCGCTGTACTCAGTTACTGACTCATTTATTTGCTGTGCAACGGTTGCCAACATTGAATTTAACTGACCCAAATTTTTGTGCTGCGTATAGTTTAATTTCAAAAATTTTAACAAATCATTTAAATTATTAATGTCTTGGTTTTGTAAACAACTATTTGCATTATTTACTATTCGAGATCTGATAACTAAAAATAAATTAAATCGTTCATTTGGAGAAACTGAGTTTTCAACAGATCGACAAATCTTTATAAATTGTGAAATTGGCATATTACGCCCGTCAAACTCTTTAGGTAAAATTTCAAGTGCATAACGAAATGGTATGTATTCTCCTTTCCTTTCTTTATCATTAATCATCATTGATTCCCTATCGATATTTATAACAGTCTCTACATTAGTCACATCCCAATTATTAAATTTTGTAACTCTACTGCTATCGATGGCAGAATCACCGAGATCACTATTTGAACTTATCTCAATATTCTCCATCTTGTAAAAATGTTCTCTATTTTAAATTAATAGGACATATATATATATATATATTTTTTTTTTTACAGAAATGAACTGAGCACTAAGACTTTTTCTTAAAACAATACAGTTTGCTTTTCTTTAAAGAATCGAGAGAGAGAAATCACAAAAACGAATTGACTTACCCATCGGTGTTCTTTGTCTTGATTCTAACACTTCACAAAAAAAAATGATTTTACTAGGTTTTCCCAAAAAACTTTTTCCCCTTTTTTTTCACTTCACTTTACACTCTGTTCCTTATTAATTCTTGTGTCTTTGTTCTTTTCTGATGATCTGTCCTCCTCCTTCTTGGCTGATCCTCCTTGTCCTAGAGACGCCCTTTACTCAGCTACTGGTAATATTCGGATTCTCCTAATGATTATTTTTTTGCTAATTTCCATATAGATTACTTTATATGTATAATCGACTGCAGGTTCAGCGAAATGTTCTTGGAAATGTATGACATTTTCTTCTTTATTGCCAAATGACATTTCCTTTCTTGTCCTCCCCTTTTTTTTGAACAAAAAATTTTGAATTTTTAAACAAAATTCTCTCAGCAAGTTGAGAAATATCCCACCGCTGTCACCAAAATTATTCCTGTAACACGCAGGAATATGAAACTATATTATAGTCCGTCTATAATCTCGCTGACACAAAACTGAATGATCAGGAATATGATTTTGTAGATGGAGCAGTGTAGGAACAACCAACGGTTGGTTTAAAGGTGTTTTCACAACACAATTAGTTTAAACATTTTAAATAGTTCACTTATTAAGGATGTTAATTGTTTATATCAATTCTTTAACTTCACTATAGTTTTATTGATTGAGTCCGAATCTCATTAAAATCCTAAAGGATTAACTTGTTGAGAGGAATTAAATATAAAAACAAAACACAATTAAATTTCATATAAAATCACTAATTGTTTTATTCAGTAATTAACTGAATCTGAGTTCTATTAAATTAAATCTTTCTAAGATTCTCTCAAGACATTTCACTACGCAATATTAACTTTAGAATATTCTTTGCTACGAAAACCGTGAATTATCAAGAATCTTCTTCTACTTCGTCTTCTACTCTCTCTCACTCTATCACTGAATTCTGCTCTCGGTCCTCATTCTTTTATAGGAGTATTCCTACTCTTTTCCCGATCTTGGGTCTATGATCCCAGCCAATCCTGTTGCAGAAAAATGATTCACTCGAAATAATGCCACCAATGAGAGCCAAGTTCTTGGTTTTGATCTGTCCTATTTTTCTCCTCTATTTTGATCTTAGATGCAGGTGTGCTTTGCAGGTGTCCATAAAACGCAGTTTTTGTACTAAAATACGCATTATGAGTCACGGTCTTGTTTGCGTATTTTAAAGAGTGTCCTTGACATTTACAAACGGTCATTTACGGCATGAGTCATACATAACCTTCTACCTCTGACCTTGGAATATGCAGGTGTTCTTGAGATGACTCATCTAGCCAAAGTAATTCCTTAAATCTAACAGTAGTTTTTGACCTTGTATTTATTGATCGTAAAAAGAAAGAATTTCATTTTGACAAATTTTAACCCTCCTATCAAAGTTTGATCAAATAATAATTAATTATTTACAAATTAAAAATGTTTAAAAGTAAGAACTCAGATTCATTGTAAAAGGACCTTAATTACATTATTTCTTATGTCCTTTTAACGTCTGCAGCCGATTTGTAAATAGGTACTCGCATTCGCCTGAACAACCTTTCAGAGGATAGGGGAAACTGCAGAAAACCCTTCCAAAGTACCTCTTAAATCTTATCATTTCCTTATCATTATTTTTATCTCTCTCTCTCTCTTTCTCATGTCTCTTAATATATATACATATATATATATATATACAAAGATACACACATATACACATACTCATTTTATCGAATTTCATACTAACTCACATATATACATATACACAAACATATCCATAAACATATTCTTATATATATACTATACATATATACTTTTATTCTTATCTAGTCAATTCGCTTTTCCTTCCCTTTTCTCTCTCTCTCTCTCTTTTTCTCTCAATTGGGAACTAATAACTATGTTTTAGTGCTTAAATAAATAAAATGAAATATTATTATAATTATTTATTAAGATAATATACGTCAAGTTACCCAACCCTGGTGGCTGGTAACAGCACAGCGTTACAGGCCTCCATCACTGTGCTTAGGCCTTTTTGGTGATGATGGTTCTCTTGTTATTGTTTACATTTTTGAGACAAAGGTTATGTGTTTTTCAGTGATTTTCTCCAACTGTCAGAGCTTCATTATGTGAGTTATTTTTTTATTAATTATATTTCCTGAATCTTTCTTTTTTAATTAACAACTCTTTTATTACATAATTTTATCCTTTTCTCATCATTTTTGCCAGAATTTTAATCTCATATATATCATTATATTTTAGAAAATTTATAACACAAATTTCCTCGTATGTGTTGCAATTTTATAAATGACATTTTATTAATTTAGTTTAGATTATTAATAAATATTTTTGAGGTTAGATTTTATGACCGCTTTGCAATTATAATAAAATAATTAATTTATTATAATTAAGTAATGGCATAAAAAAAAAGAAATTATACAACAAAGAAAGAACATTTTATTTTAAATTATAGTAAAAAAAATTGTCATAATATAATAATTATCAGGATTATCAGTCATTCAAGTCAAGAGAGGAGAAATAAAATAACTTTTCGATCTTTTTTTCATAGAATAGTATAATTTATCTATGAACACTAATATGATGTTTTTAATTTTTATTGAGTAAAAAAAATTGTATTTCGAAGGGGTTTATTAACAACAACAAAAATTGCAAATCTATTTTTTATAACTTAAATAATTATGATAATTTAATTGTTCTATTCATCTTTTCTCTCGCTAATTAATATTGTTGATATTGCTGCAACTGAAAGATGTAAAAATTATGTTTATATTTCTTCAAAAATTCATTGCAGTTTATGTTTAGAAAAATTAAATATTTTTTTTTTCAAATAAATAAATATATAAATGTAATTATAAAAACAAAATTACCCAAAAGTAATAAGCATATTAATATTATAAAATAGAGACAGTAATCTTTAAGAAAACTAAATGTAAAATTTCCAAAAACTGCACCAATGCGAACTAATAAACTCGTTGCAATTACACCTGAAGATCTGTAAATAAAAAGAAAAATTAGTTAACAATTTTCCCTTTTTTTGATTTATTTTTTTTTATTAATAAGTTATAAAATATGAACCTGAAATTTGTTGGAAATATTGATACAAAATATGCAAATTGAAGAGTCACGCTTGTTGATGTAAATGATAAATACAAGCATAAGAGAATTAAATTTTGATAAAATGAATTTGAAAAATAGATACCAATAGTCACAGCCATACATAATATACACCATAAAACTGTAAAAAAAAAATTATTTCAATTATTTTATTTATTATTTTAATTTATTATTTCTTATTTCTAGATTTACAAAAATTATTAAATTTGAATTCAAATTAATAATGAAATAATAATTTAATAATTTAATAAAATTTAATAAATTGTGTTAATGAATAAAAAAAAATTAATGACATTTAAATAAATATATTTTATTAAAAATCATATTTTAAAAAATGACCTAATAAAATTTTTAATCCAAAACGTTTAACTAGTAATGTAGCAATGATAATTGTGGGAATACAAGATGAGCACAATATCAAATTGTTTATAAATACTTTTTTATCTATTGTTGTATCACAGCCGTGCTGAAAATAAATTTATATTTTTAATTTATTTTCCTTTTTTTTTCTAGTTTTCTTAATATTTTTCTCTAATTAAAAATAAATAGAATAAATGAAAATGTTGATTTTACCATATTTTGAATAGAGGAAAATGTATCCTTTGAAATAGTACAAAAATTGGAATTTTTTCCTTTATTTTTTGCATCAAATGTTGCGAATCTTTGAAAAATTTCCGGTAACCAAAGATAAAGTGCATAAAATGATGATGTTATTGTAAATGCAGTGAAACATGCAAATAAAGTATTTTTTAAAAATGGTTTTTTGAAAATACACATTAATTGCTTTAGTTCGTTACAAATTTTTCTAATTAATATATTTTCTTTATTAAAATTATTATTTTCCTCCTTATTTTTATGCGTCAATTCAATTAGTGCAGAATTTTCACTATTTAATAATATTTTCTAAAAAAAAAATATATATAAAAATTTTAATTAAAAAATATTTATTTATAATTAAACAAAATTTTTGTCATTTGAAATTTTTTTTTATAAAATAATCAAGAGTATTAAAATTAGAATTATCAATTAAAACTTTTTCAAAAGTATATAAAAAAAAAATTATAAACATAAAATTTAAAAGAAAAGAAGAATAAATAAAATTGTTACTTTATTGGAAAATATAATTTTCTCACTATGTACTCCTTTCCTGATTTTCCATTATTTTGCTCGTACATTTCTATGAGAACTTGAAGTAATTTTTCTCTTGATCCACATTCAGCGAGATATTTTGGTGTTTCAGGCAAAAATATTAGACAAAATCCAAGAATAAATGAAGGTAATGAACAAATTATAATATAGAGATTCCAAGAATGAAATGAAAAATAATTATTTTCAATATCAAATTTCAGTGGAATAATACCTAATCCTACAGCTGTAAATAAAATTTAATGTTGTTAATGCAAAATTGTTAATTGAATTTAATTTTTATAAATTTTTTTACCAGCTGCAAAAGCATGCCCAAAAATACAAAAAAATTCCATATTTGATAATATAAAACTTCTATTCTTTATTGGCAGACATTCACTCAAATAAGTAAAAACAATATTTTGACCAGCTGATCTAAAAAAAAAAAATAATTTTCATCTTCAATTTTTGAAAATTAATACACTATAATGACAAATTGAAAATGTTAGACAAAATTTTCAAAAATTGGTCACTAAAAATGAATTTGATATAAAATTTACAAAATTATAATTACATATTTAATTACAAATATTTCGTCATTAAAAAACAAAAATTAAAACAAAACAAAAAACAAAAAATTTCAAGTATATCGAATTGATTCATTTCCTAATTAGCTAATCAAAAATCTTAACAAGTTTTTTGTAAATCTGTCTGTTTTTTTTTGTAATTGTCAACAAATATTTATTTTAATTTTTACCCAACGCCAGATAGAAATTTTAATCCAAACATAATCCAATAGTTAGATAAAAGTGATTGTAAAATATCGGAATTTCCTTGAAGAAATAATGCAACTAACAAAATCCATTTGCGACCTTTAAGATTTGCTAGAAATCCACTAATCACTGCACTAAAACAAGAACCTGATGACAGAGAAAATTTTTTTTTTATTTTATTTCCTCGTTTTTTCTTTTTCAAAATTAAAAATCAAATTCTTAATTATTTTTTCATTAAATTCAATTACATTTTGTATTAATTTTAGTAAATTTATTTTAGTAAATTTATTTTAGTAAATTTATTTTAGTAAATTTTTATTAATTCTTTTTTTCCATTATAATAAATAATGAAAATATTTTTAAAATTAAATTAAAAATAAAAATTAATTAAATTAAAAAAAAAATGAATTACCAACGAAAAATGCTGTAGTAATTAAACCCTTATCAACAATATTCATTTTAAGATGACAAGCAGCTGCCGGAAGTACAAAGCCAGTTGATATTATTCCCACCGTCAAATTTAAATAAATTAAATAACTTATTATTGTTACTTTGAGGCTAAATTTTCCAAAACCTAGTTTTTTAATTAACTGTTAATAATTTAAAAAAAAAAAAAAAAAAAATTTAATAAATTAAAAATAGCTCATAATATTGTCCAATACAAAGGAACACTCACCAGTTTCACTGATAGCAATTTCAGCAATAGATTCATCAATTCGTTTCATCCCTAAATTATTATAAACAAAAGTAATGGAACATATTATTAATACTTCACTTGACATTTATATTTAAAAAATATTTTTAACTGTATTAATCTATAAGGATTAAAAAAAAAACTTTTTAATCTTTTAATTTACTTTCTCTTTTAATCCTTTTTTATGTCGCAAATATCATTTTTTTATTGCATATCTAAAAAAAGGCAAAATTTAAAAAAAAAAATAAAAAAAATTTTTTTTTTTAACCTAAAATTTTTTTTATCTATTTTGTATTTTTTTATCATATGTGCTTAATTTTTCAATTATGTACTGTGAAAAATTACTATTGTTTCTTTTAAATACAATGTTATCGGTTTCGAACTTTAAATAATAAAAAATTATTAATTTGACTAATGCCGGATTTTTATTTTGCTTTAAGCAAAATTGAAATTTTAACGAAAACTTAAAAAAAAAATAATTTGTAATTAAAATTTTAACAAAATAATATTAAATTAAATAATACTAATAATAATACTAATAATAATAATAATAATACTAATAATAATAATAATAATAATAATAATAATAATAGTAATAATAATAATTAAACTTGAAACTTGCCTGCTTCGTTAATAACAAATTCATCTCTAAATCCATTTGATCCTCTACCTAAAAATTGCCATTTATTATTATTTTTTTGCCTTTTATTTTGTCTCTTAAACAATAATTAATTAACAAATTAATTTTTCAGAAAAGAAAAAATTCACGTATACTTACGTGACATTTAAAATATCTAGAAACAAACTGGTTAACTTTAACGTAAGAATAAAATTGTTGAACAAATAGTCATACTGATAAATGAACCAGTAGCTTTTTTTTTCCTAAATAAAAACTGGTATTTAAATATTCTAAAAATAAAAAGTAATATTAAAAAACGTGTTTAGTTACAATTTAAAAAATTTTTGTTATTTAATTCAATTTTGAAAAAAATATTTATTACCATAAAAAGAATATTTTTCAAATTTCCATATTTTTTTTTGACAAATTTACAGATAAAATTACATCGTAATGGATTATAAATCAGACGATGAAAAAATAAAAATCGATAAAATGGAAGAAAATACAAAAATTGAGGAAACAATTGTTGAAGAGGGAAAAGTGGAAGCAACAAAAAATGATGATTATAATAATCCAAATAGTGAGAATCAGTCAAAGGATGATAATTCTTTTCCAGTTCCAGTTTCATCTTCTTCAACGAATACAGAAATTAAAATTGCCACCGATGCAAAAGTGTCGAATGTAAAAATTGTTCGTGGCACAAAAAGAATGAGAATCGATTCGGCAGATGCAAATTTTAGCGATAAGAAAGGTAAATAAAAAAAAAAAATATTAAAAAAATAAAAGAATTATTACAAAAATTTTAATTATTAATTTTATAAATATTAAGAAAGGTTTCTTTTCTGTAAATTTTTTGCTTACTTTTATTTATTTCTTTGTCTTAATTTTTTCATCAAGATGAAAAATTTAAAGATTTTGTTTCTCTTTAATAAATAATATTTCAATGGTAAAATTATTTTCTTTTATCCTTCAAATTTGAATTTATGAAAAATATTAGAATTTTAAAATTTTCTTTTTTTTCTTATTCCTCAAATTTAAATTTATGGAAAAAAATTTGGAATTTTAGAAACAAAGGAAGACGACAGTGAAGCAAAAATAATGCGATCATTGAAGAGATCTTGTGAATTATGGTCATTGGAGGATAAAAATACATTTTTCAAAGCGCTCAATGAATATGGCAAGGATTTTGATGCACTTCAAAGTTATTTTTTAATTCAGGGAAAGAAAAAAGGACTCGCTGAGAATATGATTAAAAATAAGGAGCAAATTCGTCATTTTTATTGTCGCACGTGGCTAAAAATATCGAAACGTTTAAAATTTTCCGAAGGTGAGAAAATTTATTTTCTTTCTTGAAAAAAATTAAAAATTTAGAAATTAGAAAAAAAAACTATTTTTAGTAATTAAATTTGTTGTAAACGAATTTTTTTAGATCGATGTTGAATTGTAATTTTTTTTTTTGAAATTATTTTCAGATGTAAAAAAAACGACTCAAGAACTTTATGGGCTTATTAATTATGGCGAATTGAGAAGAAAATTACCACGAATGCACGATAAAGTTCACATGAAATTAAACGAATTAGTTTATTGGGGTTCAACGCAAGTCAGATTAAGGGGCAAAACAATGAGGATAAAGACTCCAATTTGTCGAGCTTTGAGAAAATTAAACCAACTCGAGGGTAAAATTTAATAGTTTTATTTTCAAAAGGCGATTAAAAAAAAAAAGGATTTCTCATTTTTTTTTTTTCATTATAGTAATAAACATTATATTCAAAATAATTTTTTGTGTAAATGAATAAAGTAAAAAAATAAATGAAGTTAATATTAATTAAAAATAAATAAAATAAATTATTAAATAAAATAAATAAATTATTGAAATTAAGAAATAAATAAATAATTAAAAATAATAACTAAAAAAAAAATATAAAATGTACAATAAAATAAAAATAAATTATAAATTTTTCAGATTGGCAGGAAGATATAAAACTCCCACCACGTGTGACAATAGAATTACGACCGGGAAATAATATTGCTTGGTGGAAAGTTCAAGCCTCGGCAATGAATCCACGAGTTCGAACATTGGTTCCAATTCAACGACGTCTTTCCAGTATTTTAACGTATTTACAACAACGTTGGCGACCGCCAAAATATAGAACTGTATCCTTTTAATTTTTTTAATTGCCAAAAAAAAAAAATATATAGTAAATTATTATTCCAGAATTTTTTGCGCCAAATTTTCGAAGAAAGTTCACAAACAAAAAACTTTTAAAATTGATGCATTTTTTTTCAAAACAAATTAAAATTCAGTGAAATAAATTTTCTGTCATTTAAAAATTCGATTGTTTTGGAATTCTGTTAAATTGAAATTCGATAAAATTCAAAAATTTAATTTGAAAATTCATCGAAATAATAATTATTTCTAATAAAATATTTAAAAATAAAATTTTGGGAAAAGAATAAACAAAAATGCTTTCCTTAATATCAAAAAAAAAAAAAAAAAGACGGCAACCGACGAGAATCCAATTGACGAATCAAAAGAATCAATTCTCCTTCGTGTATCACCGCCTGAAGGAAGTAAAATTGCCCTTCCAGTTATAAATCTCGGTGAATATTTAACAAGTAATAGTGTCAGTTTTGATTCATATGAAAAACGAATTGGTTTAAAAAGTTCTAAAGTCGAATTATTGGGATCGATGCAATATATAAAAGGTGGTGTGGGACGTAAAGGAATGAAAAAATTGAAAGGCGATAAAAAATTGACAAAAATTTGCGACGATCATTATCATGGTATTGATAATAATAGTGATCTTGATTTACCCGATATTGGAACAACAACTGTTCCTAATGAAAAACCATTGACAAATGATATTAAAACAACAATTGAACAAACAACTGAACCAAATCGATTTCCCGGTAGGGAGACAATTGATAGAATTCGAATGGGATGGAATATTGAGGAGGCAAATACAATTACTGTTGGCGATCTTTTTCTAATGGTAGGTTCAAAAAAAGAAAAAAAATTATTTCTGATTTATCTAAATTTTTATGAATTTTCCAAATTTTTAAACTTTTTATTTTATATTTTTCTAAAATATTTTCCTTGTGCAAATAAAATACAAATATTTTTTTATGTCTGTTTAAACAAGTTGAAAAATTATATTTTTTGACCAGAATGAATTTTTTTTTTTAATCAGATGAAACATTATTACAAAAAATAATAAATTATATAATTAAAAAAAATAATTAATTTGTCATTCCGAAAGTTTGGAAGAGAATCGAAAGTAACATTGGAATATTGGTGGAAATCAACATCAATGGATCCTCCTTCTTTGTCAATTGGTAAAACAAAATCAATTGGTACACCACGAGATGATAATGTGAGTTGGATGCTGCAAAAATTGCTCTCGATCGCGAAGCAAAGCTACGGACCGAGCAAAGTAATTATTTTCATTTCTGATTCAAAAAAAAAATATATATATATATATATTTAATAATTTTTTCCTTCTGTCATTGTTTTAAATGTAAATTCTTTTTTTTAAAGGGCTATGAGCACACCTGGGGCAGTAGCGAAACTGTTATTTCATCTCGTGTTCCCTCAACGAAAGAATCAACATTCAGACAACCGTTTATTCCTCAAACGTATCACGAACTTGGTACACCCGATGCATTCAAAACTCAATTAGATGTAAGTTATAAATTTATTTATTTATAACACGGTCAAAAAAAATGAAATAATTTTTTAATAATAAAAAAACTGCAACTGCATTATATTTGTTTTTTTTTTTAAATTTTACTCTAATTTATTTTTTTGTAATGAACGATTGATTTAAAATATAATTTTCCAATTTACAGAAATTTAAAATGAGATTTCACAAGAGAGGCAGAACAATTAGACAAAGAAATTTAATTGTCCAACGAGTTGTTCCGGTAGCAAGTCCAGAAGTCTGTAATGAAATGCCAAATTCTCTTGTTAGCGGTGAGACAATGGGTTCGAGTGAAATACCATTAAATAATCCCGTGGATGAAAGTGGTGGCGGTGATAAAAATTTGGAGGGAGAATCATCTCAATCGAAACATTTTCTCGGTGTTTTGCAGGAAAATCCAACGAAAGCCTCGACATCAATTATCACCAGTGCAACGAAAATTTTAAAAGAAGGCGAACATCAGTGGCTCAATTGCGAGGTAAAATTTTATTATCGAATTCAACATTTTCAAAATAGTTTATTTCTAATTAATTTTATTTTTCAATTTAATTTTTTTCAATAAAAATTTAATTATATATACAATTTATTTTAAATAAAATAAAAAGAAATTTTTAAAAATACTGTTAACTTTGTGAATTTTAGGTTGCAGATTTTTCTTTAAGCAGTTTTTTGGGTCAACTTGAATCGCCAATGAAAGGATCGCAAAGAAGTCAAACTGAAGGTCCAACAGTTGAAGACGTTCAACCGCCTTCTGACGTAAGTTTACAAAATGGAGATAACAATTTAACTTTCAAAAATCTCAAAATTTAACGATTTTAATAAATTTATTAATTTTTATCTAAAAAAAAAAACATTTTAATTTTTTATTTTTATTCCTTTATTGTTCAATTATTTTCTTCATAAGGGGCACACAAAAAAAATATTTATTTACATAAAAAAAAATCGAAAAAATTGCAAATTTATATTTAAAATAAAGTAAAAAATTTCATTCATTTTCATTTATTTATTTAGGTATTTATTTTATTTATTAATTTAAATAAAAAAAATTTCAAAATAGGAACAAGATAACAATATTTGTATTTAAAATTTCCAAACAGTAAATTTTAGTTAAAATTAATAAAAAGTTATTATTTCTTAAAGTGTAATTCAAAATATATTTTTTTAAAGATTAGTTAAAATTTTGCGAAAATGAATTTAAAGTTACTTAAAAATAATAAAGTTGTTTCAAAAAATTAGAATAATATTTAGGAAGAAGTATTTTTTATTTTTTTGCAAAGGATAAAGAGAAAGAGAGAGATATTATATTTTTAGAAAATTGTAATATTGATCTAAGATTATAATTTTTTTTTTTTTTTTGGAAAATCATTCGCTAAAATTTATTGGGTCAATTGATTGACATTCGTCTGAGAGTTGTTGGAGGGCATATTTTTAAATATTTTAATTTTGAAATATGTTAAACATTGATATTTTTAGAGCTAATTAATTATCATTCATGTTTTCTTTATTGGAATTCATAATTTGAAGTATAAATTGCACTAAAAATTTTACATAGAGAGATTGTAAATTTATAATTTCTGCAAACAGTCACACTAGAAAATTAATTATAGGAAGCGATTTTCAGACACAAAAATAACAAATTAACTCAAAAACGAAATTTATTTTTACTTTAATTTTGGGATAAATTTTAATTTTTTATAACTTTTCACAGAAAAATTAAATTAATTAAATTCAAATTTCTTTCGTAGAATAATGTAAAAATAAAGTTTTCGTAAAAATGTGCTGTAAAACAAATTTTTTAAAAAATATTCTAAAAAACACTTTTTTTTTTATTTAATTTTTCAGAAAACAAAACAAAATTTTTCGACGATAAATTCAAAAAAATTTGTTTTTACTACTAAATATTAAAAAATAAACTAAATTTTAGTAAAAAAAAAAATAAGTTAAATTATCCAAAGTAAGAATTTTCAGCCAAATTTGTATGCTTTTATATTTTTCGTCATCATTTTGAAGCCGATTATTTGAAATTTTTCATTTGGACCAAAGAATTGGATTCAGCGATGCAAAAAAAAAAAATCTCGACTTCATTTTTTTTTATGGGGAAAAAAATGGATTGTTTTACCTTTTTTTACACAACAATAGGTAGTATACTTTTTTTTATATTTTTTTTCTCCAATAATAAAAAAAAAATAAAGAAATTAACCACTTTTAAAAAAGGTTAACGATATTTAACGGGGAAAAAAAACATTTCTGTTAAAATACATTAACCTGATTTCATTAAGCGGTAAGAAAGAGAAAGATTTCTAAATCCGTCGATTTTATGAATTTCAGATCGTGACTGAAATGCAATGCTTGATGGGAGAGAATGGCGTTGACTACATGATGAAATTTGCAAATATCGCATCACAAATGGCCTCTGACAATCAGAAAAACAAGTAAAAAAAAAAGAAAAAACAAAAAAACTAATCTTCCACATAAAAAAAAAAATTGTTAATTTATTATTACAGATATATATTTTTTTAAATAATTTCTAAAACCAAAACTAGTACATAATGTACATAATTGTTTCTTGCACCTGAAAATTATAATTATAATTTTTCTGTTATAGCATAAAAAAAAAAATATGCAATTGGAGAAAATTTTAATAACGAAACGAAAAAAAAAATTCTTTATAATTTTGTTAACATTAGAAATAAGATTGATAAAAAATATTTTTTAAATAAAATTTTTCAATAGAAATTGCGTGATAGAAGGTGAGAAAAAAAATTTTTATTGAAAATCAAAACGTGAGAATAATTATTTATAATTGCTCTATCATACGTACATATGTGTATTGTAATTATATTCGCGCGCGTTCGAGAAACTGCAATTCTGTAAAATTAAAAAAAAAAAACTGGTCATGGGATAAAATGTGATGGCTCTGTGATAATTTTGTGTATAAAGATTCGATTCTCGGAAAAAGAATGATTGAAAGAAAGAGAGAGAGAGAGAGAACAAGTTACGTAATTATAAATTCAGTGAATCATCATTTCGCGAATGCGCGATCACTCTTAGAGCAAACGATTAAGAATCGGATTTCGTTGTTATTATATTATCGAAAAAAAAAAAAATTAAAGAAAAAAAGAAAATTAAACTTTTTCCTTGAAATGAATAAAAAACATTTAATATATAAATTGCTTGCGTTTGTTCGACCTATAAAAATGAATATTTGACTAACTGTAAGTCCCTCATTTGTTATTTACAAAAAAAAATAAAATTATTACTTGCAGGACAGATGATAAGAAAACAGACATATTAAATACCTTGTTCAGGATCGGATAGTCATTTGAATTTGAAATCGAAAATTAAATTTTAATGTGATTTTTATATTTTTATCGGAAATTTCTAATGTGCGATTTTTTTCCAAAATTTTTTTGTCTACATAAAAAAATGTTGATAAAAATTTTAATTTTATAACGAAATAACGACACGAAAAAAAAAACCAAATCCTCTGTACAAGGTGTTTACCTCTGTACAAATAAATAAATAAATCCTTTTTTTTTGGATTAAAATAAAATTGAAAATTTTCAAAATTCGTCGTAATCATAAAAAAGAGTTAAAAAAAAATTAGCGATGAATAATAAATGGAAATTGTACGAGAGAAATTTAAATTTTTGTTTTTTTAAAAAACGAAATTTTTTGTATCTTTAAAAAAATTAATAAATAAAAATTATTAATGCGACAGTGAATAATAATACAAATTAATGCTGAATCGTTTTTTATTTTTTTTTTTTAATTTTCAAAATCCATGCAATTAATATAATTATTTATTTACTTCAAGTATTTTCCGCTATTATAATTTGTTTATATTTTGGATAAATAAAAAATAGTTTAAATAATATTATTATCCTTTTTTACGATTATGACAAAATTTAATTATCAAAAAATAATTGACATAATTATCAATTATTTTTTAATAATTAAATTTTGTCATAATCGTAAAAAAGGATAATATCATTTAAACTATTTTTTATTTATCCGAAATATTATAAACAAATTATAATTGAAGTACTTAAAGTAATTATATAATTATATAATCATTTTACTTTAATTTCTGTGATTTCTATATATTTTCCGAATAATCACATAACCTAAAATCCCTAAAATTCATACATACCCAGATAACCAAGCGTACTAATCGTTATTTACGAGTACGGCGTACTAGTATTATACTAGTTTTATACAAGTACAAAATAATGATATATGTCGTACCAGTACGGTACTAGTACAATAAAAGTATGTCGTACTGTTAGAATTGTAAAATATGATTACTCGATAAAAGTATAGTACTAGTACAATACCAGTACGTCGTACTTCTGAAATAAGAAGCACAACATACTTGTACGATACAAGTATAATACTGGTACGTCGTACTGGGAGTCTTTGCTGGTAATGCCAACCCAACCTCACTTTCTTGACAATTGTCAAATATGAACGCGTCACTGAAAACGGTGCAATAAATGTTGGTGAAAAAAGTGGTTTATGATGCAGCAAAAGAGTATTAACGTTTGTAACTTGTGCTTCTGTACTTATCTTGAATATCCGAGATTAAATTTATATTAAATCATCGATCTTTATAAGATTTATATTCTTTTACTTTGACATGGTGCCGTGATGTTATTTCATTGAAAAACATCAAAATCTTTTACATTTATAATGAGAAAAATTCATAAATTCGGTCTTGATCATATTGATATATTTTTAAATTCAATTGTGTGTTATTTCGTTATAGTTTTTCTTATACATATAACATATTTATAGGTTAGGATGTGATAATATGTTTTTCAAAGCAAATTTCAAAGCAATTTATAACATCAAGTTTAAAATTCTTTTGAAATAATGTTTAAATGTAAAGAAATAATCAATTAATATTTGATAAAGTTAAGTAATTAAAATAATATAAAACACCAGATATTTTAAGATAAGTGAGAATACAAGTTACATATATGATGTAAATAAAAAAATGATTCAATAAAAATGAATTATTATTATTTCAGTTCTCCCACAGATTTTCTTTTGAATAATAAATGAAAATAATGAAAATACTATTGTGGGAAGAGAAAGGGGAGGGTATATAATATTTTATATTGTACATCATACTAGTATTGTACCAGTACAATAACAGTACGTTATACTAAGTCACAAAAGTTTTCAGTACGTCGTACTCGTATACTGCCGCCCCATCAAGAATAACCGTATCTGCATTTAGGATGAGTCACCTACTTGCCACTGCCACTGCCACCAATAAGTGACTTAACCAAAATGTAGTTACTGCTACTCTTGTTGGGACGGCAGTATAGTACTCGTATTCTACCGATATTGCATACTGGTACGCCGTACTAGTACAGTACCTGGTACCGTGCGAAGGTACATGGCTGGTACAGTACTAGTACGTCTAGTACGTCGTACTAGTATTATACTACTACCGTACTAGTACGTGTGTTATCTGGGTATGCAAATCGTCAATTTTTTGATAAAATTCTCGAAGTAGGGAATTCCCCTCTAACATAATAGTTTAAAATAAACGAAACATGAAACCGGAACAATTTTAGCGCGAGTTTTAAAATTAACCAATCAGACATCAGCAATGAAAATTATGATTGGTTAATTTTAAAACTCGCGGTAAAATTGTTCCAGATCCATTTATTTCAAACTATTCTGTTAAATGGGAATTCCCCAGGTGCATTCTGAGAATTTTCTCTCTAAATGACATATAAATTTTAGGTTATGTGATTATTCGGTTTTCGTAAACATGAGAAATATATACAAAAATTGACAAAAACTATTTTTCAGTGAAAAATAAATTATAAAATGTGTAAATTATACAATTTGAAAATGGAAAAATAGTTTGATATACAGTAAATCCCATTTGGGTAAAAAAAAATTTTTGTGGTGTTATCATTACGTAAATTATGCAATAAAGATTCAAGTTCAAGAGTACTTCCCTGTTTTCATATGCACATTTGCAAAGTCATATGTATATATATATATATTGCACATTATCCTTTATTAAAAAAATAATAATAACTTTTTTTTCATTTTTCCTCGTATATTCGGTTCATTATTCCAAGCACATGAAATTATATCTTATTTCTAAATCTACAATGTGCAGTGTGTTATTTACAATGTTGTGTAGGTGATAAAAGATTAAATTGAGGAAAATTTTTATGACTATTTACTTATTGTTATTTTTAATTGAAGGACGCAAATATGAATTTTCCACATGAGTTTATTATAAAAAGAGAGAGATATTTAAAAAAAAGTCTTATTTCATTATTTTTAAAGTTCGTAATAAAATTTTGATAGGTAAAACTTGAAACTGATAATTATAAAAATACACGCATATATCTTAATTTACAATTTTAATTAATTTAAATATATATGTTACATGCAAATTAATATGTGTCTTCAATATTGATAAAAAAAAATTTTAATTTACATTTTTAAATTTCGAAATTATAAATATCAATATTTGATTGATGAAGGGCATCGCAAAAAAAAAAGAAATTATTTTCGGCGATTTTAATGAGCGTTCTTTTTATTTATGACGTTTTTCAATTTTGATAAGATGAATGATATAAGATAATAATTAAGATTGTTATAGGCCTTTATCTCTGAGTTCATCTCTCATTTTTATTTTTAGTAGAAAATAAAACCATTTTTTTTTGCAAACAAAAAAAAAATAATAATAGGCTAATTATGAATATTAATAGTGTAAAATGTTTTAATAAAATTGTTACCATTTTGTTTAGGGGAAAAAAAATTAAAAGAAAAGAAACGAGAATTTTGGAAAAGTGAAAAAAAAATGTAAATAAATAAAATAAAAAAATAGTCAATGAAATTGAAAAAAAAAATAGAGAATTTTATGGAAATTTCCCAAAACAGTGGAAAATTGAAAGAAGAAATGAAATTTTAGAAATGAAACAGAAAATAGAAAATTTAAGGAAAATACTGTAAGAATATTGAAAAAAAGGAAAATTGAAAGAAAAATCGAGAATTTTATAATTTCTCAAAATAATGGAATTGAATTTACATTTTTATCTTGTTTGTACAAAAAAAATTTTAGGAAATCCAAAAATAGAAGGAAAGTTTGAGGAAGAAATTAAAAAAAAAAAAAAACAAGAGTTTAAAAAAAAATCAAAACAAAAGATTTTGGAGGAAATAATTAGTTAAAAATAAAAAATCGAGAAATTTAAAAATCATCAAAAATTGAGAAATTTTGGTCCAGTTTGTAAAATAAATCAATCAATTTTTTACAAAAAATCGTTTTAAAAAATCGAAAACCACCGAAAAATAGTAAGTAAAATAAATAAATAAATAATAAAAATTATAAATAATTCTTTAAAAAATGATAATCTATAGGAAAAATATGTTTAAAAATACGAAAATTTATGAATTCTTAAAAAAAATTGAGAATTTGAGGTTAAAAGTGGAAAAATACAAAAATTTTAGAAAATGAAAAAATCGACGGAAAAGTAGAAAGTAAAATTTAAGAAATCTTCAAAAAATGAGAATTTAAGGTAAAAATTGAAAAAATACGAAAATTTAAAAAAATGGAAAAATCGACAGAAAAGTGGAAAGTAAAATCCATAAATGTAAACTAAAATTTATATATTTTTTACAAAATGAGAATTTTAGGGGAAAATTACGAAAATTAAAGACAAATAGAAAATAAAATAAATAAATTAATATAAAAAAAAAACTAAAGAAAGTTATGAATTCTTCAAAAAATGAGAATTTGAGGTAAAAATTGGTAAAATATGAAAATTTTAGAAAATGAAAAAATCGACGAAAAAGTAGAAAGTAAAGTCAATAAATGTAAACAAAAATTTATATTTTCTTTACAAAATGAAAATTTAAGGGAAAAATCACGAAAAATTAAAGAAAAAATAGAAAATAAAATAAATAAATACAAAAAATTGATGAAATCTTCAAAAAATGAGAATTTGAGATAAAAAATTGGGAAAATACGAAAATTGTAGAAAATGAAAAAAAAAAAAAAATAGGAAATCCAGAAAAGAATAAAATTTGTAAAAACAAAATATTATAATTCAAAAACTCGTCAAAACGTTTGGAAGAAAAAAAAATTGTTTTTCCGATAAATTTTCAGTTTATTTATTTAAACCAATAAAATTCGTAATACTATTTTGAAAAATTAAAAAAAATATACAAATTTATTAAAACGAAAAAAATTATTTCAATTTTGTACAATCTGTAGTCTTTTAAAAAAAAAAAAAAAAAATCATCTCACGCAATATCTTATCATTTGCAAAAGTGTGTTCGGATTAAAATTGATTAAATTACCGAGAAACAAATCATTTTCAACAAAAATTGTTATTATTGGTTCTATAGAAATATATAAATTACAAATCTCTTTTATTTCCATTCTCGAAAGAAAATAAATAATTCCTTTCTCCGATTTTTTTTTTAATTCCAAACTTTCCGAATTCATATTATAATTAAAAAAAAAAAACTAAATAAATCCAAAATTAAAAGAGCAAAAAAAAATTTTTATAACAAATTATCAAAAAAAAAAAAAATTTCCATTAATTTGATATATATATTACAAAATCGAAGTGCGTCGTTTGTGTAAGTATATATATGTTTCAAACACCTGTGAATACAGAAAAGAGAATCGCATTTATTCGGTCAGCGCACACTCATCTATGAATGTATACGTTATATATATGTATATATATGTATACTAAAAATAAAATTAAAACTTGTTTATCGTGCGTCAGTGAAGTGAGGCTTTCAGAGTGGGGATTTGGATCTGACTGATTGGATGTATGAACTTCGAGAGAAGAGGGAAATCCCCAGAGAGAGAAAATACACACACATTTATGTGGCATTTGCTCTTTTACATGTGATGATGATTATTTAAAACGAATATACAAACACAAGCAAGCAAAAAAAAAAAAAAAGAAAAAAAAAAAAACCTCTATGAGGAAAGTCGCGCGCTCCTCGTGATGACGTTGAACTTATTCAAGACAGTTTTTGCGATTAAAAACCCTCCTATAGCAGTTTGCTCTTGTATATTGAAGCGCGCCAGTCTATTTTGCGCGCTCTTTTATATTTTATATTTATTTTTATATATTTAATTTTTTTTTTTTTGTATTTTCAAAGAAAATTAACAATTTTTATTGTCGAATAAGTGAATTTTTTTGTTTAAAAAAAAAAAAAAATAACAGTGAAAAAAATTGTTTTTTGCCGATTGAAACAATGTGGTGATATTTTTTTTTCTGTTCGGAATGACGTAATATTTATATATAATTTTTTTTTTTTTTTTTTTTGTGAAATGGAGGGAATTTAAATTTTGTTTTATTTATTCGCAATTATTTTAAAACTTTGCTTTCATAATAATCTCTTTATTGATATTATTATGTGTGTTTGAACTTGTGTGAAGAGATTTGAGACTTCTGTTTACAAATATTGAGTGATTTTTTTTTTTTCTTTTTTGCATCATACCAAAAATGGATCCTTACATGGATTATCAAAAAAGTGGCATTCCCGATGTAAGTTTATATAATACAATATAAAATTAATAATAAATTAAAATTTTTATTTGAAAAATTTTGTTTTTTTTTTGTTTTTGTCAAATATTATTATCAAGATTAGATTTTATTTTTTGTAAACTTATATTACAAAAGTTAATAAAATTTTTTTAAATTTATTAAAAATAGTTTATTTATAATTATAAAATTAATAATAAATAATTATAACATTAATATTATAATAATAATAATAATAATTAATATATATTAACAAAATATAATTATTATTTACAATTTGTTTTTTAATAAAGAAATTTTATTTTTTGTTATTATTACCTATTTATAATTTTAATTTTGAAATATTTTTTTTCTTTAAAAAAAATTATTTTATTTTTAAATTATTTCTTTAATTTTTTTTTTTAAAAGTTTTGCTAAATAATATTTTTTTTTAAATTGAGTTAGAAAAATACTAAACTATTATACAGTAAACTTGAACGACTTTTAATTTTCTTTTTTTTACGATATTTATAGTTTTTAAGTTTTATACTCAATTTTTTTCTCAACCATATATTATTTTCTTTAAATATCATTTATATAAATTTAAATATTTATAGAAATAAATTTTCTAGATTTATTTTTCTGATTTTTTGACTGTTAAATAAATTTATTTATTTTATTTTTTACTTCATTTTATGATTTTTCTAAAAATGCTTATTGAATATTTTACATTATTTTTATAAAAATTAATATTAAATAATAATAACAAAAATAATAGCAGTAATAATAGTAATAATAATAAATAATAATAATAATAATAATAATAATAATAATAATAACAATAGTAATAATAATAATGATAAAAATAATTATTATTATAAAAATGGATAATTTATAATAAAAATATGACTTACATATTTTTTCGTTTAAAAAATATATTTTTTTCATAACTAAATAAATAGGAATTTTTTTTTACAAAAATTATTTTACATTAGGTATATTTACTTTTGGATATTTGAATTTTTTTTTTTTACAATGCACGGGCTTACAATTACAAAAAAAGAGAATAAAAAAATTAAATTTAAATTTATTGAAAATAAAATATTTGAAATTCAAAAACTTTTTTAAAAAATTTTTTTGTTTAGAAATTTGTTGTCTTACAATTAAAAAAAAAAAAAATGATAAAAATTAATTTGCAGAAAATATTGAGTTATAAAAGAGAAAAATAAATAATTTATACTTGATTGTTTTTTTTTTTATCAAAAATTTAGAAAGTTAAATTTCGTTGATGTATTTAAAAAACAATTTTTTAAATAAATTGTTTTTCATAATTTTAGGTTAAATTTGTATTTTTTAATTTTATATAAAATAAAAAAGATAAAATTTCTGAAACCTCATTTTTTATCGCTTAAAATTATCTCTCTGTAATAATTAAATATATTCGTACAAAGATTATAAATTTTGGCACGATTTCTAATTTATTCATTAAATATTAAAAAAAAAAAAATTAATTTTTGGAGCAAACATTTTTTTTCTCAATTTTACAATGTTTTGAATCTACTATTCAGCTAATTTTTATTTAAATTAATTGATTTAATTAATGAATGAAATTTTTTGTTTATTTAATAAAATATTCAGAGATGTATTGTTATTTACATAAAAAATATAATAAATGACGCAATTTTTTTTTTTTTTGAAAATTATAAATACATATAAAATATAATAATGAAACAAAAGTGTGACTTTAAAAATAATCTCAATTTATATATATATGAATAATTTAATTATACAATGAAATTTAAATTTATAATTTTTTTTATTTGTCGCATGTAATGAAAAATTAAAATATTGAATTAATATTTTTTTGATTTTTTTTGTTACGAAAATAAATTTTTATATTTTTTATTATTTTATTATTATCTTTTTTAAATTTATTAAATTTTTCCTTTTTAAATTATTATTCATTAAATTTTACAATTAGTTTTTCTATTTTGAATTTTTCAATACACCTTTATTGTTTTAATGAATTAAAATTAAAAAAAAAAAAAAAAAAATTATTTTACTTATATTTGCATATTGTAGAAAAAAATTGAGAATTGCTATTTTATATATCTATATATTCTCCTTGAATATCTGTTGGAGTACAATTTATTTCAGATAAGGTTTCAAAATATTTGTCACACTGTAAATGTATGCCAAAACCTTGAGCTTTGTTTTGTTCACAAACTGACAATTTTTTTTTCTGAATTTCATTTTTTTATATTTTATAAAACACTAAAAAAAAAAATTTGCAATAAAAATTTTTAATAATATAAAATATAATTTTGTCAGTTTTTATTTGTTTTAACACCAATATTGTTATTATATTTATTTTTTTTTTACTATTTACTATTATTTTTTATTATTTTGTGTTATTTTTTAATATTTTTGTATTATTGATTATTTATTTTTATTATTATTATTATTTACAATAATTTATCATCAGTATAATAATTATTAGTTTAGTAGACTATTAGGTATTTGTTAAAGTTATAATTTTTAATAAAACAATATTTATTTTTATTAATTAAACAATTGAAAATAAAATATCTTTTTTTAGAATTACTATAGCGCGTTAAATGACGAGGAAGGCGATCATTTATTATTAGATATGGATTCAATTTCTACTCAAAAAACTAATTCACTTGTCGCAAGACTGCAAGAAACTTCTAGGAAAAAGTGTACATTAGGTAAAGTAAAAAGAATATATTAAAAAAAAAAATTCATTTGCATTATTTTAAAATTTTTATTTTCCATTTTTTTTCTTTTTTGCCCTTTTAAAAATATATTTTTGAGGCGTTCTGAAAAAAAAAAACGATTTAATAAGCAAAATTTATTTTTGAATTATAAAAAAATGAATCGTATAAAAGATTTTTTGAATTCTAAAAAAAAAATTATCGTATACAAAATTAGAATTATAAAAAAAATGTATCGTATACAAAATTTGAATCATAAAAAAAAAAAATTGTCGTATATAAAATTAGAATTATAAAAAAAAATTGTCGTTTACAAAATTAAAATTATAAAACAAAATTTTTTGAATTATAAAAAAAAAAATTAATCGTATAAAAAAGGAAAAAAAAATTAATCATATAAAAATGAAAAAAAAAATAATTAATCGTATAAAAATAAAAAAAAAATTTAATATATTATTTTCAAAAGGTGAAGAAAAAGAAGAATCAGATGGTGCGGGATGGTCGGAAAAACCAATTAAGGACTGGTGTCAAGAGGAGACGATTAATTGGTTAATATCAGCAGCTTCCCATATGGGACAATCATACAGTTCGATACAACACAGTCTTGCAATTCCTGGCAAAGATCTCATCACCCTAACAAGAAATGATTTTATTGCCCACGACTCCATTTACGGCGAACGTCTTTATGATCTTCTTCATTCGCAAAGAAATTCAAATCTAAGTAAATTACGTTGTAACATAAAAAAAAAAAAAAAATTAATGTTATTGACACGACGACGTCAATTTCAAATAAAATTAAATATTCTAAAATGCCATCAAAGAAAAAAAAAATTGTTATTGAAAATTAAAAAAGAATATTTCATTTTATTCTCTAATTTATTCACTGGCTAAATAAATATAAAATAATAAAAAATGCGAATTTCTCGTTTTTTTTAGACTTTGACGCATTTCCAAGACAATCTGAAGACGAAAGCGCAACGATGAGTTCAACTAATGCATCCGGTAAAGATTTTTTGTCTCATTTTGTAAAAATAGAAAAAATCTTCAATATATTAAAAAACGAATCTGTAATAAAAAAATAATATTAATAATAATAAAAATAATAATAAAATAATAATGATAATAATAATAAAAAATAATAATGAAAATAAAAATAATATTAATAATAATAAAAACAATAAATGAATAAAAATTATAGAATATTATAAATATTTTATGTTCTATTTCTAAAAAAAAAAAAAAAATTTATTTTGCATTTTGCAAACAAGTTTCAATACTTTTTAACATTTATCTGCACTAATTGCCTATATAGAACTTAGTTAATTGTTGTCTATTATTTCCACACAAGGCAATTGTTTATCCATTTTTAACAGCTGCATTTCAATTTTCTATCGACATTTATTTTATTTATTGCGTACATTTGTTGATATATTTTTTCTTTAATTTTGTTTTTCTTTAAAAAAAAAAAATAGATTATTCAGTTAAATATTGTTATTTCTTATATTTTTTTAATTTTCTTTACAAAAACTATTTTAGATAACATTAATATTTTATGCAATATATAATTTACAATTTAAAAAAAAAAACAAAAAATTTTTCATTCTTTTTTCTAGTTTTCTCTTTGAACAAAAAATCGTTTGAGAAAAAAAAATAGAAATTCGAATAGGAAAAAAAATGAAATCTTCTTTTAAATGGTTTTTTTTTTTTAATTTTCAAATTCTTTTTAACAGAATTTCCTTATTTTTTAGATGCAGAATCGGAAAACAGTATAGAAATCTCTACAAAACGTCCTCCTGGAAGGCCTAGATTATTAAAAACCAAAAAACCATGTAAGAGGATTTATATATTTTTTTTTTCTTAAATATTGAGAATTAATTTTAAAGTAGTTTTATTTAAAAAAAAAAAATTTTTAAATATTGCAAAATTTAAAGGGTTTTAGTTTGCAATAAAGCTTTTAAAGTTAATTTATTTTATTAATTTATAAATTTAATATTTTTTAATATGAAAAAAAATTTGTATAAACAATTTTGAAAAATGTTCCAATTATAATTTAATTTTTGTTGTATTTAATATTTTTTTAAATTTAATTTATTTTATATTTTCTTTCAAAGTAAACAATTTTTGAAATTTTATAAAATATAATTTTAATTTTATCCCATCATTAATTAAATTAATTTATAATTGATTGAAAAAATTAAAATACTAAGAAAACTAAGAAATTTTTTTTTTTTAATTTAACAATAATAAAAATATTAAAATGTTTAACAGCCGGAAGTCAAGGAAAATTGTGGGAATTTATAAGGGATCTATTGAGAAATAGAAAAACATGTCCAAGCCTTATTTGCTGGGAAGATTATTCCCAGGCGAAATTTCGATTCGTCAGGAGTGACGAAGTTGCCAAACTTTGGGGATCTCGTAAAGGAAATACAAAAATGACTTACGAAAAACTTAGCAGAGCTATGAGGTAAAGAAATATTTCATTTTACAAAAAAACATTTTTATTCGTAAAAAAAAAATTTATTTTCCAAAAAAAACATTTTAATTACCTTAATAAAAAAAATTTATTTTACAAAAAAACATTTTTAATTATTATTATTATTATTATTATTATTAATATCATAATATAACAATAATAATAATAATAATATTTTTATTTATAAAATAAATTTTTATTTTACAAAAACAAATTTCTGTTTATAAAGAAATTTTCAATTCTAGGAAAAAACATATTTTTATTTATAAAGAAAATTTTTTTTTTACAAAAAAAGTTCTATTTATTAAATTTTCATTTAAAAAATTTTATTTATTCATATTTATTATTTTTTCTCCTTGTTAAAAATTAAATTCCTTACAAAAAAAAAAAATTGTTCTCAATAAATTAAAAATAATTCTCACCTCCAGGTATTATTATAAACGAAAAATATTCCTTCCGGTTCTGGGAAGAAGATTAGTTTATCAATTTGGACCCAATGCCACTGGATGGCAAACGGATAATCCTAATTTCCGTTATTGAATGCAGAAAAAGAAAAAAAGGAAAAATTCGATTTTTTCATGATTTGTACTTAATTTTCGAGACAAAGAAAAAAATACACATTACTTCATGATATTGTAAATAGTTTATATATATTTCCAATAAAGAGTTATATTACAATATTTTTTGTTTTGTTTTTTGTAAATCTGTAAAGCTTGCTCTAAGTCTAAAGCGGAATTTTTATTTATATTTAAAAATGTACATTTATTTAATTAAAGCTTCCTTTCATGCGCAAAATGAAAATTGCTTTCAATTTTTACAACGCCTAAGTTAATTTATCAAAATCGATAATCATTAAATTTTTCCAAAACGAATTTTCATTGCTTTTTCTATTTTTTTCATTTTCTATTTATTGAGAAAACAAATTTATTTATTTCTCGGAAAAAAAATCTTCAAAAATTTATATATATATTAAAATTTTCTAAATAAAAATTAAAAAATAGAAAAAAAATCTTTAAAAAATTGCATTTTTAAAAATTTATTTATTTAATTACAGTGTACTAGTTTAAAAAATTTGTAAAAAAAAGAATAAATGCCTTTCAATGCAAAAGCTAATATTTAAAAAATTATAAAAAATTTATTATAAAATTAAAAAAAAAATCTCAAAAAAATGAAAAGTCGTTTCAGATTTGTTTATCTTTCATTTTTATCTAAAAAAAATTTTCTGACTGAATTAAAAAATATGAAACAATTTACATGCTGTTTATTTTTGATTCAGATCAATTGATTATAGAAAAAAAAGAATTGCGATTCAAATATTTAAACACTAGCGATATGTTATACGATATACTTATTCTTAAATAAGTAAAAAAATTTTAAATAAAATTTTTCAATTTAACAATTTATTTGTCAGAAAATTTTCTTGTAAACACAATTTTTTCACGAATTCTAAAGCAAAAGGTTTTAAAATTGCTATTTTTTTTTTTTTTAATATCTTTTTAAACTTCAATTGAGAAAACTTTATTAATTCGGATAAAAAAGCTCGCTTCACCTAAGGTGTCTCTCTTAATTTCTATAACACTATTTATTTATTAAAGTCGGAGATTACTACTAAATTTCTATATCACAGTAGAATCTTGAGGATTGGTAAATATTTTTCTTTTTCAAAACTGAAGCTGAATTCGATTTCTTGCCAAATATTTTCATGGATTGTCTTAAAATTTGTTGTATATTAAAAAAAGGATAAAGTTTATTTTTTTCTCAAAAAAAAAAAATCAATTTACCTATTTGTTTTTTTAGTCCGGAATTTTTAAAAACAAATATAAAAATAAAAATCATTTTGAAAATGATAAATGAAAATAATTTTTTTATTAAATCTCTCTGCGAAATAGTCAATTTTAAGAGAGGAATTAAAATTGTTAATTTTTTCATTACTAATTATTGACATTTTTCAACGTGAAATGTCAAAAAAAATTTAAATTCAAAGTAAATTAATTAAATTAAAAGATTTGGTTCTTAAAGTTAAATTAAAATTGAACGAAATATTACTTCGTGTATCAGTTTTTGTGCCTCTTTGGGATTCATACAAGCGTTCTTGTATTTTTAATTTTTCTGTTCAATCTTTATTAAGATTGCAAAACAAAAATAATTGTTCCAAGTAAATTTTTAGTTAATGAGCATTGTTAATATTTCCCAATTTTTTTTTTTTTTAAGGACGTTAAAGTTTTGTTAAAACTTCAATCCTAAATTAATAAAGATTCTTTTCTTCTTTTTTTGCGAGACAAAATGGAAAATAATTCACAATCTTCTGAATTATGATGGAATTAACATTTTTAAATATTTAAATAAAAATATTTAAAAGAATTTTTAAGCAAGGAAACGAAGGAATGTGAATATGTCCCGCAAAGTAGAATATGAATATCACATTATTAACTGTCAAAATATGGATTGTTTCTCATCTCAGTGTGTATATTGTAATTATTAAAATTAAAAGAAAGAATGTAATGAACCAATTTGTTATTTGGCTCCTTATTATTATTAGCTGACCTTCCGGGTGGTTTTCCCAATTAATTTATAATTTTTTGAATGATTCTCACGCGCCATTACCAACTTAAGGCCAGGTCCAAGTGAGGCAGTGCCATCTACATTGCAACTAAAATTTTGGAAAATTTTCAACAGCCTTTTCTTGAAAACAAGAAGGTAAAATACTTTTTCCTTTATGGATAATTGATTATTGGCAAGATATACACCAGCTAAAACTTTTTTTGAGTTAAAATAATAAAAAAAATTTCATGTCAATAAATTAAATATGAGCACTTTTTTCACAAAAACTGTAACAGTACTTTCTCAGAAATTACAATCAAAAATGCAATTTCCATTTGGATAATTAATAAACGCTAAAAAATACACGACCTAAGATTTACCAATCACGAAAATAACAAAAAAAAAGTATTTTAACATAACATATTTTACTCATTATGACAGCCGTTTGGCAGGTTATATATGTCACCAGACGTTTCGCAGTTTTGCCGAAAGGAGGAGATTGGCGCTGTTGCTAACCACCTGAAATACATAATCTACCAAAGGGCTGTCACAATCAGTAAAGCAGTATCAATATGTTAAATATTTAATAAAATTTTTTTTTCTTATTTTCGTGATTGGTAAATCTTAGGTCGTGTATTTTTTAGCGTTTATTAATTTTCCAAATGGAAATTGCATTTTTGATTGTAATTTCTGAGAAAGTACTGTTACAGTTTTTGTGAAAAAAGTGCTCATATTTAATTTATTGACATGAAATTTTTTTTATTATTTTAACTCAAAAAAAGTTTTAGCTGGTGTATATCTTGCCAATAATCAATTATCCATTAAGAAAAAAACATTTTACCATCTTGTTTTCAAGAAAAGGCTATTAAAAATTTTCCAAAATTTTTGTATCAATGTAGATGGCGCTGCCCCACTTAAACCTGGCCTTAAGGCCAGTAGCCTTCAGAGAGAGAGAGAGAGAATAGCGTTCTCGACAATAAGTCAATTTTGATACAATGTAAAAGATTTTTATTTAATCTGCGCATAAAACATCCGGAATAGCGATGAAAATTGTATTTCAACTATAATAAATAATGAGTTTATATAAAATAGCGCATTATTAATCTATTCAGCGCATAAAAAATTTATAAAATTAAATAGTGAAATGGTCTCCGCAATTGTACTATTACGAAAATATCTGAAAATAATTCGTTTAATTTTAAGTCGATTCAATTCGGCCATGATTGATATAAATTGATTAAATTTTTTGCATCAAAAAATGAGACCGTTTCGTGTATCATATATTTCTAAAAATGATACACAAAACGATCTCTTTTTGATATTAATTATGTGCATCAAAACGTTGCAAAGATTTAATGCAATTTTTGGTCTCAATTTGATACTTTTAGGAAAATTGTGTTAGTAATTGAATGGAGCTTCCGAAAAGAAACATACTTCCGCGACATTGTCCACAACTGTTTCAGCGGATATGAACAAAACGAATTGAATGGAGCTTCCGAAAAGAAACCCACTTCCGCGACATTGTGCACGACTATTTCAGCGGAGATGAACAACGAATTGAATGGTACAGTCAATGTAAGTCCAATTTAATTATCCTTCTGAACTGGTTATATATGTGATCATAAGTGATTTATGCACAAAATTTAAGAATAATCATTATTACTATTTATAGTTATTTAACAATTTAAATTACAGTTACAAGCTTCCCAATAGTGACCGCTCCTTTTTGAAAATGTTATATTCTCATGAAATGTTACTTCTCTTACACAGTGCTTTGATTCCCTATTTCACAAACGAAGCCTAATAATTTGAAGCCAAAGTACATAAATTGGAATGTCAATCCAAGTCCTTTGAGGAATGATCTGATAATAAATGAGGATCAGATGCTGAAAAAAGAGATCCCTAAGAGCTCAGACAACAACCACATCAGATATGTCAAGAGGCTTAGGCACAAGAGCTCTCGCTGCGCAAATGCCGGTATTAACTTCCCAGGAGCTTCCTTGCCAACTTCCACATTAACAGCTTGTGCAGGAAGATTTTAGGCGTTATAGCAAGACGGCGAAAATTAATGAGTTAGGTGTGTTCATGAATAGGGGCGCGTATAAGTTGTCAGAAATGTATCAGGGAGATTTTAGGCGTTATAGCAACAGCTTGTGCAGGAATCTATCGATTGATGTCCAGCAATGTGGCTATATAAAAATTGTGATATTCAACACTTATTGGACATTAACTAGTGACCCTGATACCGTTTTTGCTCAACACTTCAATCGGATGCTCAACTTGCTCCAATGAGCTGAAATGTCACATTTCCTTATGATCCAGGAGCAAGTGTTTGATAAGAATAAGGAAGTACTTGCAATACCTGAACTCCACGGACCAGAGACAAACCCCTATGCTGGTTGCTATTCGGTTTAAGAGAACATTTCCGGGTGAGGACAGATCATTCCTTAAAATGTTGTACCCTCATGAGCAACTCAAGTCACTCCATAGTTCCAAATTTCCATTCTTTGTTGCTGCAGCTAAGGCACTTGCTACATTTCGAAGTTTATCTATGACAACAACAACGGAAGCCTAATAATAATATTAATTGTAACGAAGTATTCGTTAAATGATTTTTGGCTCGTTGGATTAATAGAGGGTCTTGCTTTTGATGTGGCAGTTTAGGATCAGTACCTTTCGCAAAATCTGTCGAAAGACTGAATTACGCAGGCGTGACGTACGAACGTTCACAGGGTCGTCAAGGTAAGTGTGTTCAAATGTCGGCCTGACTCAACGTCCGGTATCAGACGTTCTTGTTCTGGCGAATCCCCTTTTTCAGATTTTTCAATAAATAAGTATTTTTGAGAATTGGCGAGTTAGGTGCAAGTTTACTTAATTATAGATAAAAAAAACCCCCGTTACAAATAATAGAGGAAACTTCAGAGGAGTAGGAGGATATATGCCTTTTAATCCAAAAGTGATTTTTGCTGATGGAATAAAGCCAAAGTACATGAATTGGAATGTCAATCCAAGTCCTTTGAGGAATGATCCTATAATAAATGAGGAAATGAGGTTCAGATGCTAAAAAAGACACTTAGAGGAGACAATATCATCCATAAAGAGTGCAGAGGCAGTAGGGTTAGCTCAACAGATAGCGTGATATAAATGAGAACGCCACATGTTTGCGTGGACTAATAACTGACAACGCTCAGTCCATTCGTGCACAAACAACAGCAAGATTAAATATGTCATGAGACTTAGGCACAAGAGCTCCAAGAGCACTCTCAGCGCCTGCCATCAGACCTAGTAAACAATGAAAAATACTTTGGAACTTTTTTTTTATAAGAAATACAAATTTCATCGGGGGAACTTTTTTAGGTTTGTATATTTAAAATCGATCCAGAAAATGAGAGTTAGAGACCAATACCTTTTGGTGAATTATCAAATAACGCGCATTCAAATACAAATTATTTAGGTGAGTAAGTTATCAGCCAGAGGTGTTGCCTGTAAATGGAGTATTGAAATTCCTATACAATATTTATTAGTATTTGGTACTAAATAAATTAAGTTCCACTTACTAATGAAACGGTAACGGCAACTATTTAACTTTTTACTATTATAAATGGTAACCCTGACTATCGAATTAGCAGCAGTATAGTTTGCTAACGAAAATGGTATTCGTAACCATTTTATTAGTTGCCTTAACTACTTTGTTCTCTCAGTGTATATATTTGGCAAGAAATCAGGACAGCAATCGATCACATTTAGCTCTGGAAGATTAAATGCAGAAAAAATGGTCAAAGCGCCTTTAAATTCTATGTTTCTATATGCGCAAAATTGAATATGTAAAATGTGATGTTTTTTTTTGTTTCTTTTTTACTTTTTTTTTCTTTTTTTTTATAATTTACTTATTTATATATCTATTATTTAAGGACGAGATTAACTTGTGCGAGAATAACTTGTGATTGTTAATCGTCTCGGAAAAAGTTTCGAAAAATTTTTTTTTTTACGATTTTAAAGACCAACGGACGTAAATGTTGGTCGTAAAAAATATCTAAGTGCGAGTAAATTGCTTTTTTTTTTTTGTAAAGCTTACAACCTGTGCTTGTACAACGATTAATTTGTTGCGTTTGTTTATATACAAAGCTATTTTTTTTATCATTATATTATATATCCTAAAGGCACATAAAGTGGAAGAGAGTTTCAAGCGTTAATATTCTTTCAAAGAGAGAGAGAGAGAGAGATAAAAAGAAACGCTCAGAAAAATATCTAAATAAGATTTATCGCAATTCCATAATGTGATATTAAGCTTGGGGGAAATTTCTACTTTTCTAGCAAATATCTATAAACTTTCAAAAATTCTTATTCAAGAATTCATATTCTTATTTTTCAACGATTCGATTGAAATTTAAACAATTTCAAATTTTCCTCGTTTTCTTTTATTTTTTTAAATCATTAATTCGTAAATTGTATTTATCAATTTTTTTTTTGTATTTTTCAAAATTGAAATTTTCTTTATTGAAAATTATTTTCTTCATTGTGAATTATTTATTTATTTATGAATTTTTGTTTTCATAATTATGAAAAAAAAAAATCAGCAAATTATTGGAGAAAGAACAAAAATTTGAGAATTGTTTTAATTTCAAAATTCGAGTGCCCTTATAAGTAAAAAGAATATGAAAAAATGTTTTCAATAATTTTTTTTTTTAATCTAAATGATAAACCTGACTGGTGTTTTTTAGCTGAATGGTGATTATCAATCCGCGAATATCCTTGACATGTCTCCGGCAAATTAGTTTTCCACTGACAGTCTCGCCTGAAAAAAGAAAATAAAAAAATTTCAATTTTTGTACAAAATTTGAAAAACAAAAAAATCAATATTAGTAGAAAAATTAATTTTTTAAATTAAACTTTCAATTTATTCAAATGAAAAACAAATAAAATAATAAAAATTAAAAAAAATTACAAAAATGAAGAAAATTTGACAACTGTTTAATGTGAAAAATTGGAAAATGTAAATTTTATTTGGAAAATTTACCTTCAGATATACTAATTGGTTCGCTGAGGGAGAAGACAGTTTGTTTCCAATGAGTGGGAGTTGCTTGTGGTCCAGTGCTAAAGGATATTGGATTATCCAAATCGAAGAAGACATCAAAATATCCAACAATGGCAGTTAATGAACCAGTTTTTTTAACTGACAATTCAAATGTTGAGGAAAAATTGACACAATTTGTGTCAACTTTATAAAGATCAAATGACTGTAGTTGTGCGACACTCGTTATTATTTCCTGAGCATTACAAGTCTCTATATTTGCCTCTCGAATCACTTCCGCTTTCATACAACTCATTTTAAAACCATAAACATTCGACCAATAATCCACAAGATCCACATAACGTTCTTTAAAAAAATAAACGAAAAGAAAATTAATTTTTATTTAATTAATTTTCCATTTAGGACAGATTTTTCAAATTAAATTTTAATCAATTATTATTATTATTTTTATTTTTATATTAACTAATATTAATAATAATTATTATTAATTTAATAATATAAATTTTAAGAGTAATAAATTATTTCTTTTTGTAAATATTGAACTTTTCTGCAAAAGTAATAATTAAATTTTAATTAAATGAAAATAAAGTGAAATTTTTTTCAAAAACTTACTGGTATCTCCACTTCCAACAATACTGAGTGTACATCTATTTGGTAAAAGTTTTCCTCCCGGTGAAAGATAATGGTCCCTTGCATAAACGACAGTATCCAACATTCCTTCAAAGAGTAAAAAATATCCCATCCATTCGGAGACAATTGCATCGACTTTGTCGACACCCAATTCAATGTCCTCCAATCGTCCTTTTTTCAATGTTATAACATCGTCGAGATTGTTTTCCCTTTTTTAAAATATAAACTATATTAATTTAATATTAAATTTTATTTAATTTTTTTATTTTTAATTTTTTACAATAGACAAAAAATATTTTCCTTCTTATCAACGAATTTTTTTATTAAATAAAACTTTTACTTTCAATTAGTATGTAGAATTAAAAGGATATTTTGTTTTTTAAATTTGAAAATTAAAACAAACCTAACGATATCCATCGCTTGATAAATAATATCCGATTGATCGATGCTAATGACTTTTCGACAACCGGATTTTGCGGCAAACATAGAAAGAATTCCAGTGCCACAACCAACATCCAACATTAAACAATTGTGAAAAGTGTGCGAATTCATTAATAACGCATCACGATAACTTTCTGTTCGCACTTTGTCCTATATTAAAAATTAATAATTTTTTAATTTAAAAAAATAGTAATTAAACTATTTAAATAATTTTTTTATAAAAAAAAATAGTAATAAAATAATTTTGTAATTAAAAAAAAATTAAAATAATTTTAATAATTTAAAAAATAGTAATAGAATAATTTTGACAAATTTGTTTATTTTTCCAACGAAAAATTCGCTACCTGAAAATTCTGTTAGGAAAAAGTTAAAAAAAAAAATTAAATGCTAAATCGAAAAATGAAATTTCATCTAAAAAAAAATAATTATTAATAAAACTCTTCAAAAAAATAAAAATCCTAACTAATTATATTTTCTTGGATAATAATGCGCTTTTAAAATATATTTTCTAGTTAAAAGACATTAATAAAAAAAAGATGATTAATAATACCGTTAACATTTCGTGATGAATTGCAAAGTGGCTATAAGTATTAAAATATCCTTTGTCAATATCGCAAGAAACACTTTTCACGCATCTCTCCTTTAATGGCGGTGGATCGTCATCCAAAACAAGACGATGTGCATGTTCTTTCATTTCATCTATTTGCTAAATCACAATATTTACCATTATTGGCATTTAAATATCAAACATTTTTTTTTTTTTAATTATTTTCTTCCACGTTTAATAAAATAAATCAAAGTTATTTAGAAGAATAAATAATAATAATTTGTATTAAAGGTTTTTAATTTTCACAAAATTCTGAGACAATAAATTGTAAATAAATAATTAAAAACTTTTTATTATTAAATATTAAATAAATAATAAATATTTTTTACATTTCAAAAATTTTCTCTTTCTTTTAAATTTCCCTAAAAATTTTTAGTTTTTCAAAATTAATTTATATTTTTTAAGAATTGTAGAAGAAAAATAATTTCGAAAATTTCTATTGTTACTGTCATGGCAAAAAGCAAAAGTGAGTCAATTTTTACTTCTTTTTTTTTTTAATAAAAAAGTATTTTTTGAGAAAATATTTTCAGAATATAAAAAGAATGATCAATTAATGCATTTTTAAAAATTTTATTTACTTTTTACAATGACCAATTGTGAAAAAAAATTGTGTTTTGTAAAGAAGGATTAATTTTTTTTCTTACCTGTTTTGCTGAGAGACAAGCCAATTCTCTTTGTTCCAATTGAGCTTTGAGAGATTGAATTGTCCTTTGAAGTTCAGCAAAATGAATTTCCGAAAGTGTTACACAGCCATTCTCAGAATTCACTGGATATGCGGCGGGTTTTGTTACTTTTTCTTCAAGTTCTTCCATGTCTACAAAAAAAAAAAGTTAACGATGCTATATTAAAAAATTAAATTGACAATAAAATATATATTTTTTTCTACTTGAAAAAATAATCGAACACGTTTTTTTAATTTCTTACATTTTTTAACAAAAAAACAAATTTTTTTGTTTAAATCTCGTTTTTTTCCCCACATTATTGAAGCTTATACAATCTATTATTTATAAAAATTTTATTCAGTATTTTAAGTTTTTTAAAGGAAAAAAAATTGTTTTTAATTCTTTTTTTTTGTGTAACTTCTTAATTTCGCCAATTTTTAAGATTTCCAGTTATTCGATCAGTTATTTCAAGTTTCAACTATTTTTGAAATTTATTTTTTCCTATTTATTATTTTTGAAAAATAAAATTTGTTTCTTGAGATAAAAAAAATTATTGTCAATTAAATTATTATTTTTTTTTTTTTTTCTTTAAAACTTCTAAACTTCGACAATTTTTAAGATTTCCAGTTATTCCTTGGATCATTTTTCAAATTTTCAACTATTTTTGACTTATTTTTTTTTTTTTTTGCTATTTGCTATTTTTGAAATTTATTTTTTGCTATTTGTTATTTTTGAAAAATTAAATATTTTTTTTTGTTTCTTGAGTTAAAAAAAAATTATTGTCAATTAAATTATTATTTTATTTATTTTCTTTAAAACTTGTTAATTTCGACAATTTTAAAATTTTTCAATTATTCCTTGGATCAATTTTTTTCAATTTTCAATTATTTTTGAATTTTTTTCTTCTATTTGCTATTTTTGAAAAAATAAACAAAAATTTGTTTCCTAAAGAAACACTTTTAGGCTCTATATGAATTTACATATATATACAACTTCTATTTGCCGAATTTTTTCTTCTTTATTCAAAAAAAAAAAAAATAAATTTCTAATTTTACAAATGTTTCCAGTAGATTACACTAATAATTAAGAGAGAAAAAATTCTATTTTAAAAGAAAGAAAGCAGATTATAAATAACTGTTTTCCCTTAAGAAAAAATAAATTTCCTAATGAAAAATTGCACATGCCAAATTGCATATCAAAGTTTCGAAAAAACTGAAAAAATATATGGCCCCATGGTGTAATGGTTAGCACTCTGGACTCTGAATCCAGCGATCCGAGTTCAAATCTCGGTGGAGCCTTCTCTTTTATTTTGTTAAACAAATTCTAAAAAGAAGAAAAAACAGCAATTTTTTTTTCCCGTAAGAAATTTTCTTTTCAAGTAATTAAAAAAAAATGTCCATTTAAATTTAATTTTAAAAAACCCAAATGTTAATAAATTAAAAAAATAATTTTTACCAAACATTAGCCAAGCATCATCTGGAATGAATGGAGTTAAATATTCGTCACTGTCCCAAATTTTAATGTTGAGTGCATTGAGATCATAGGAAGAGACATTTTTTTTTCTGATAAAATTTATCAACTTGATGTAAGAATACATATCGAGGGCATGTTTTATCTTAAAATTCGGCAGGCTAAAATCGTGACATACTTCGAGATGTTTTAAGGCAACCGATCGATCATTGCATTCCTGCGTACAAAATAGACACGAGATAACTTGTGCCTCTTCAATTTCATCCCAATCATCACCACTGTCACTGTCGCTCAAATCATTTGATATTTCATGACAACGATTATTTACTGAAACTAAAAAATAATTTTTCAAATAAAATAAATAATATTCCGTTTTTTTTCCTATTTTTTAATTCATCACCAAAAAAAAAAAAAAATTAAGTTTTTTTTCTCTTTTAATTTCCCGATTTTACTGAAAAAATATTCAATCAATAAAATATATTCTAATTATAATTTAAGGGTACACAATGAAATAAATTATTATTATTATTAATTTGTTTAATAAAAAAAATTATATTAAAAAATTATATTTTTTTGTGTAAAATTTTTTTATACGAAAAGTTCAAAATTTTAATAAAATTCAAATTGCAAAATATTTTTGCTTCCTTGTTTTCAGTAATTAAATTACATTTTTTTTAAATACATGTATGTGTGTGTATGTTTTTTTTTATAATGAAAATTCTTTGATTTTAGAAATGAAGTAAAAGAAAAATGTTTTTTCTGTATAAAAGAAGATTTTTATATTATTATAGAAAAATACAATAAATATTTACATATTAATGCAATTAAATTAAAATTTTTTTTCGAGATGCAATAATTAACATAAAATTTAATTTTGTTTTGTAAAGAATTATAAATATAAATTTATATTAAATTTTTTTTTTATGCAAAACTGGATTTTGCTCCATTTTTACTTTTGTAAATAAATAAAAATATACTTTTTTATATAATAAATAAAAAAATAAATTACCCAAAAGTAATTAAAGTAAATAAATGTAAAAATAACCTCAATTTTTTTTTTATTAAATTACCTAAGTAAATAATAAATGACTGTAAAATAATAACGATCAGATATACATAAATTGTGTGAAAAAATTTTACAGTGATTTTAATAACCTCAATTTTGCATGCATCAAAGGGAGGATATAAATTATTATATTTAAATTTATATTTAAATATTTTTTTTCAAATTTTGTATAAATTTACAAAAAGCTTACATCGCTTTTTTTGAATCAAAGAAATCTAATTTAGTCGAAAACTAACAAAAATTATTCGAATTACAATTTTTCGTTATGTTAAAAACTTAATATTATTTTACACACTATAATAGTCCAAATGTTCTTTTTTTGACAATATTTTGATGTAATTTTACGCAAGTAAAAATGTAGTAAATAAATAAAAAAAACGCATAGTCGTGTAAATTTACTTGAAAGTGTATTTCTAACCTCAAAACGATTATTATTATACTATACCCCAATTTTTTTTCGCGCATTTCGTTATACAGAATCATGTAATTTTACTAATTTAAACTACAAAATTAATTACCTTTTTAATTTAAAAATAGGAATGCATATTAATAAAAAGTTAGGTTAGAAAAGAATTTGTATTCCTTTCTTTCTGTTTTATAAGCATAAAAAGGTTAATTAACTATTCTGATGTTAATTTAATGGAAAGTACTCACTTTTTTCTGTCATACTGAAAATTTTTGATTTCCTCGTCTATGAAAATGTTTTTAAAAAAATTTTTACAAAAACTTGTTCATGTCTCGTTTTATGATATCACGAGGCTGATTTTATAGGTTAGGAACAATGCGCTTCTTCTTTTTGAGACGTTAACAACCACCACGTGTTGAGAAATTGCTACTGACCAATCAAAGAGGAGAATACAACAGTCGCAGCCAATTAAATAATTGCATACACTTGGATTTCAATTTGGCGCTGATTTTTAAACATTGAATTTTATTTTTTTTTTTATAATATCGAATAATACAACTTAATAATTTATTATAATTTAACTAAATAACAGACAGAATTTTATATTTAATCAAATTTCCATTTAACTGAAACACTAAATTAAAATTTTCAATTTTGTATTCGTAATACAGAAAAAAAACTAATTGGTTTTTTTAAAATTTAATTTAATTCAAAATTCGCCTAAAACTCGTCTCTAGGAGGTTTTTAAGGTCGCTGATTACGAATATGATAATATAATTAAAAATTTCAAAATGGCGGATCAAATATGGCGTCAAAAAAAGTTAAAAATTCTTTTAAATTTGCCTGAAAATTGTTACTCGGGAGTTTTTAGAGTCGCTGATTACGAATTTGGGGATAGTTTTTCAAAATTCGCAATGGCGGATCAAATATGGCGTCAAAAAAAAATTAAAAATTCTTTTAAATTTGCCTGAAAATTGTTACTCGGGGGTTTCTAGAGTCGCTGATTACGAATTTGAGGATAGTTTTTCAAAATTCACAATGGCGGATCCAATATGGCGTCAAAAAAAAATTAAAAATTCTTTTAAATTTGCCTAAAAATTGTTACTCGGGGGTTTTTAGAGTCGCTGATTACGAATTTGAGGATAGTTTTTCAAAATTCACAATGGCGGATCCAATATGGCGTCAAAAAAATGAAAATTCTTTAAATTTGCTTAAAAATTGTTACTCGGGGGTTTTTGGGGTCGCTGATTACGAATTTGGGGATAGTTTTTCAAAATTCACAATGGCGGATCCAATATGGCGTCAAAAAAAATGAAAATTCTTTAAATTTGCTTAAAAATTGTTACTCGGGGGTTTTTGGGGTCGCTGATTACGAATTTTGGGATAGTTTTTCAAAATTCACAATGGCGGATCCAATATGACGTCAAAAAAAAATGAAAATTCTTTAAATTTGCCTAAGAATTGTTACTCGGGCGTTTTTCGGGTCGCTGATTACGAATTTGGGGTTAGTTTTCCAAAATTCACAATAGCGGATCCAATATGTCGGAAACTTTTCAAACAAAATTTTCAAATTTGTATGAAACTTGTCACTCGGGGGTTTTTGAGTTCGATGATTACGAATTTAATGTTAGTTTTTCAAAATTCAAAATAGTGGATGCAATATGGAAAAAATAGTTTTTAAAATTCATCGACTATAAGTCGTATTAAAATTTTGAATCAAACATAAAATATAGGATATAAAAAATTATAATTTATGTAAAAATTCTTTTATTTATTCTCTATATGCAAAAGGTAAAAAAAAATAATTTTTCAACATAACAAACAATTTATATGACAAATACAATTAATAAATAAAAATATATCATGTATATACAAATTATGCATTTTGTGCCGTTCCTGAACCATAAGTTTTATCCCAATCAAGATAAACAGTGAGATCAGCCTGTGAAACACTTGGACGTACAAATGTGAGGGCTTTTTTAAAATCATTAATCGTAATTTTTCGAATATCATCGGGTGTAATATTTTCCATTTGACTAATTGGAACACTTCTTATTGGTCCCATACTTGCTTCTTTACAAAGATTTGTCATATCGGCACCTGAAAAACCATCAGCGAGTTTACCAATTTCCAAAATGTCCTCATTGGTGAGTTCGTGTTTTTCATTTTTCAAAAGATTATCGACAATTTGAATGCGTGCCTCGAGTTCGGGTAGAGGAATATAGAGGCGTTTTACTAATCGACGACGAGCTGCTTCGTCAAGTTCATATGGACGATTTGTCGCGCCTAGTACAAGAATTCTATCTTTATCGCTCGTTGCTGCTCCATCGAGTTGTACCAAAAATTCTGTTTTCATTCGTCTTGAACTTTCGTGTTCGGTTTCTGATCTTTGACTCAGAAGAGAGTCAATTTCGTCGATAAACACCACTGAGGGTTGATGAACACGTGCCACAGCAAAAAGTGCTCGAACCTAATGAAAACAATTGTATTTTTAATTATTTAACAGAATTTAACAATTAAATTAATTAATTTTTCAATAAAAGCAGAATTTTTAGATTAAATTTCAATCGTATAAATTTAGTAAAATGAATAATTAAAGACAAAATTTATAGTTCCCTTTTTTCCAAGTTCTTAAAAGTCCTATTTATGAAAAATTATCTAATTGTGAATTTTAGCAAAATTTTTTGTTTAGAAAAAAAACTTTCATTTTCAAAAAAAAAAAATTTACAAATATAGTTTTCCAAAATTTATAAATAATATTCTTCAGTTAAATATTTAAAATAATTTTTTGAATTCGAATAATTCTTGACATTTAAACTGGTAAAATTTTTCAGGAACTTAATTTTTTCAGAATTATTGAAAATTGAATTATTTGAAAAAAATTTAATTTAAAATCTTTTAAAATTAAAAAAAAATGTAAAAACGCTCAATTGCAATTTTTACAAAATTGAATTATTTCTATTATATATTATTATATATTATAATTAAAGTATTTTTATAAAAAAAATTTTATTTAAAATTCTTTCCAAATTTTTGTCATTGTTAGAAATTTTTATCAGTTTTTTTTGATAATTTAATTAGTTAAACAATTTTTAAAATTAAAATATTACTTTTAATAAATTAATTTAAAATTCCCAAGAATTTAAATATTTATTTATTTTGAAGTTCAAAAGTGCGAAATATTTGTAAAATATTTTTAATTTTTCAAAAATTTAAAATTATTATTAAAAACTTCGATTACAATTCTTCGATATATTAATTATTTTTTAAAATTTAATTTTTTCAGAAATATGAAAAAATGTTCATACATTCAAAAATTTTCTAAAAATTGATTTATTTAAAGAATTTGTTACTAAAATCGTTTGTCAATTAAATAATTTTAATGTGCTTGTTCCATAATTTAATTATTTAATTAAAATAAAAATTAAAAATTAAAATTTTTTTGCCAAAATTTTTAAATAAAGTTTTTCGAAAATTCAATTATTTTCATAAAAAATTTTTCTTAAAATAAATTTTTTTCAATAGTTTTAATGAAGATTTTCAAAAAATTAATTAATTCAAAATTTACTCAAAAATTTTTCATCAAATCAATTTTTTAAAAATATTTTTAATAAAAATTTTTCGAAAATTCATTTACTTTTATGTAAAAAATTTTCATCCAATCAATGCTTTTTAAATATTTTTAATTAAGTTTTTTGAAAATTAAATTCTAAATTTTTTCTTAAAATCAGTTTTTTTTTTCAATATTTTCAATAAAGTTTTTTAAAAATACAATTAATTTAAAATTAATCTAAACAATTTTTCGTCAGATCAATTTTTTTTGCAATATTTTTTAATGAAGTTTTTTCGAAAATTCAATTATTTGAGAAATATTGAAATTAAAAATTCTCTAAAATTTGTCAAAAATCATCTCTTTAGTAATTAATAATTTTTGATTTTTTCAATTTGTTATCAGAAATCAGAAATTCAGTAAAATAATTTTATTGAATTTGAATGAATATTTTTAACGCAACAAAAATAAAATAAATTTACATCGCATTTACAATGCTTTAGACTTGAATTATTTTTTTTTTCTTGAGTAAATTCGAATTTTAATCGTTTGTATTTAACTGAAATTTTTATAATATTTCAAAATATAAATATATATATAATTGTAGAAAATTTTTTATAATTCAAGATTTTTTTCATGAAATTCACGTATATTGTTGAGTGTGAATTTCATAAATTTTAAAACATCTTTCTGATAGAGGAATTCAAGGTTTTGTTTGAAAATTCAAAGTGATTTAAAGATTTTCAAGATGAAAATTAAATTCAAATTTTCTTTCTTTCTTTCTTCAAAAAATAATGAAAAACAAAATCTCACCAATTTTTCACCCTCGCCAATCCATTTTGATGTCAATGAACTGGCGGAAATGGAAAAAAATGTCGATTTACTCTGTGAAGCGATACATTTGCCAATGAGTGTTTTTCCCGTTCCTGGCGGACCAAAAAGTAAAATTCCCTTTGGCGGTTGACGCAATCCTGTAAAAAGTTCCGGTCTCAACATTGGAATGACCACTACCTCTTGAATAATTCCCTTCGCATATTCTAAACCAGCAATATCGTTCCACGTGATTTTTGTACCCGAATACATAATTTCATTTTTAATTTGTTCAACCATTTTTGGATCAATATTCTTTAATAATTCATGATTACATTCTGGTGGTAAATTTTCCATCGACTCCTCCTCGTCTTTATCATTTCTCATTGGACAAATAAATTTTGAATTTACTTTTGAACCCGATGGTTTTAAACCAAGTGTTCTTTTTGGTGCTTGTCCATTTTTTTTCGCCTCCTGTTCAATTAATTCCGTTCTCGCTGTTTTAAATTGATTCATTGGATTAGTTGTTTTTGTATTTGTTTCATCTTCCGATGATGATTCACGTATAAAATTTCGTTGATTTCCATATTTTGGAACACTCGACCAATTTCGTGAATTTGGTTTATTATTTTCCTGATTCATATAAGTTCTTCGATTAAATGGAACTTTTGGTTGAAAATTTCGATTATTTGGAGGTTTTAAATTTGATTTTAATTCGATATTTTGTTCGAAATTTAATTTTGTTTGATGAATTCTTCCAAAATTGAGTTTTGTCTCAGAAGAAGAAGAAGAAGAAGAAGAGGAAGAAGAATTTGTGAAATGATTTTTTGATTCAATATTATTTTCTTGAGTTATTTTTGATATTTTTCGATTTCTCTCGCAATTTTTGTTTTCCAATAATTCGGATAATTTTTCAATGTGTCTGTCGCTAAATTCTTTTTTCGCGCAAGATTGTCTATTATTTTTTTGACATGCAAGGGGTTTTAAATGTTTGAGCATTGTTTGTGGATCTGTTAATGTGGATTTCCATTTTTTTGGATCGTTCTCGATTTTAAGACCCAATTCTTTAAATTGTGACCAATAATTATTGATTCCTTTAATATCGTCCACTTTTGATCCATAACTTTCGAGATTTTGTGATAATATTGCTGCCGCTGTGTCTTGAGAATCTCTATAAAATAGAATTCTTTTTTATTTTCCTTTTTTCCTGAGTCATTGACAAGAAATATTTTTTAATTCAAAAAAGTAGATATTAAAAAATTAAATATTATAATAAAGTTTTTTTAAATACTTAAATAAAAAATAAATAATTATAAAATTTATTTTAATATATTTTTATTATAAAAAGGACATAATAAATTAATAACAAAAACAAAAAATTTGTGCGCGGTAAAATATTTTTCAACATAACCTAAATATTTTATAACCTGTTTATTTTTTAATAAAATATCGAAAAAAAGAGGGAAAATTTAAAAAAAAATGTTTCAAAAATTAAATAAAATGTTTAAAAAAAAAACTCACAATTTAAGTGCAGCGGCATATTTTATGAAATTACATCTTCGTTCGATGTCAATTGCTTTAAATGGATTTTCATTGTCTTTCGAAAATTCTATTTCTTGAATAGCTGCTAAATAATTACTCTTTAAATTTTCATTTACTGTATTTTTATCACTCATTGTAATTAAATTACTGAAATATATAAATTTAACAATAAAACGTTTTTACTTTTGTTTATTTTGATTTGATATTTTTCATCATTTTTAGGTTATGTAATAACAAAATAATTTCGCGCCAATTCTGAATACATAGCGGGAAAACATAAAATTCAAAAAATATAAATTTTTTTATTAAAAGTTTTATAAATTTTGTTTATATTAATTATTTAAAATCAAGAACTTTATTTTTGACAAATTTTAACATTCTTTAATAAGTTCACTTGCTTATTATAATTAATATAATTTTAATTAAAATTAAAAATAGCAAATAAAATATTATTTGAAATATTGTAATTAACTAATTAATATTTTTTATAATGTTTATAATAAAATTAAATAATACTTTTTCGATTAATTTCTATAAAATAAATGCAAACATGAACAAATAAAAGAGAAACTTTTTTATTTCTTATACTTTATTGAATAACAAACTTGCACAATAAAATTGCAATCACTCATAACTGAATAGTTTAGAATTTGAAAAAAAAAAAATTCTGTGAAAATAGCACACTTGTGAATTATAATTATTATTATATTTTTTATCATCATTCTCGTAAAATTTTAATATTAAATATATCCTTATAATTCTTATACAATATAATAATATGTGATGATGGTAACTGTAAGGATGAAAAAATTTCAGTCTTAAGTACAAATAATATACTTGCGTTAAGTAAAATAAACAATTTTCTTAAACCAACTAATTATCGAAATCTTTTGTTAACTTTTTTCAATTTAACAATTTTTTTTTACATTTTTCAAATTTACAAATTGTTTTATTTTTTCCTGCAATATATTATTTATAATTTACTTTTTTCGTTGTACAGATTTATAAATTTATATTAATTAAATTTTTTAAAATTTCATCTTGAATTAATTAGTTTAACTATTTTTTTTTCCAATTTTTCGAAATTCAATCAATTTCAGAAATATTTTCAACAAAAGATTTCGAAAATTATGAATAAAAAGGCCCCATAATTTCATAAACTGCATTTTTCTTAAAAACTAGAATTTCTCTTATATAACTATAAAAAAAAAAGTGCAAATACAATAAATCTTAAACAATAATGTCGTGAATATTTTTAATAAATCGGCTCTAAGAAAAAACGTTGCGTCGTGAATTTTTTTTTTTTCGAAAATCGAAATACAAAGAAAACATTGTGTCTATAATTCTAATTAATAATAATATATAATATAATATATCTATATAAATTTCCACGTGAGAAAAAAATCACTTTGCATTTAAAAAAAAAAAAAGAAAAAAAAAAAGAAAAACACGTTTAAAATTGACAAATTAGTCACAGTAAATAAATTTACATAAAATAGATAAAATTTAGAAAATAATTGATAATTTATTATTTTTTTACTTCTATTTTATCAATTCTATGTAATTTATTTTAGTTTATGTGATTAAAATGAAACACATAAAACAATCTTACTACTATATATATTATGACAACTACAACGACACTTTTTGTAAAATGGGACGTTTCTCAAAAAAAAAAAATCTTAAAAATTAAAAAAAAAATATTTTTTTTACCGTTACACGGATTTAATAACTTGTAATTAATAATATTTTAGTGAATACATTTTCTTTAACTGCTACATATGATAAAATGTATTAATTGAAAATTTAATAAAAAAAAAAAAAAAAACATCGCTAATGATAATTTTCCGTTTTTCTATTTTTTCTTTTCTTTTTTTTTTTATCAAAACTTCATTATGCATAACTGTGTGTAATATTACTATATACTCTTTTTTTTCATTTACTAATATATAACAGAATGGTCCATTTTGTACTTTTTCTCTTTTTTTCCCCCTTAACTATAAAATTAGTTAAGAACAAAAAAAAAATAACAACTTACGGGCAGTTACGTTATAAACTATTGTTTCTCCATTTCAGAAAAATTACCAGCAAAAAAAATCGTTTACAGAAAATAAAATAGGTCATTTGAAAAAATGTACAATTTCTTTTTTTAAATATAAACTATTTTTTTTTTTACAAATTTTTTTGTTTTTCTGTAAAATACTTTTTAAGAGCAATTTATCTGAGGGGCATTCCATTTGAAATTCAAAAGAATTCGGTTTTTTTTTTTCAATATTTTTGTGTTATGAGAATTTTTATTGATATAAATATTTCTAAACGACTTTGCATAATGTTTTTTTTTGTTGCTGTTTTTAATCAACAATTTTTTTTTAGATTGAGAAAAATGTGTTTTAAAGATTATAATTTAAATGGTACATTATTTTAAACTAAATTGTAAAAATTACAATACGTTTTGTAATTACAATACAGATTGTAAAAATTACAATACATACTGTAAACATTACAATGCATTTTGTAATAATTACAATCTAAATTATGAACATTACATAACATTTTCTAATTCTTTTTATTATTTTATTTATTTAAAATCGTTTGGAAATTATTTTCGTTCACCAAAAATATTAAACTTTTTTAGATTAAAAAAAAAAACGAAATCTTCATTTTCTCAGAAAGAATCGGACAAAAATTAAACTTTCTGTTCGTTTCCTCGTTAATTACTATTATTATTAATATAAAAATGGAATTACTCCCACAAGAGCATAATAATTGTCTATTCATTGGATTCAGTGTATCTCAGTCTTCAAGTTTCAGAACAGATTCGTTCATTGTACTCTTTTTTTTTCATTTGAGGTAGATTTTTACGTAAAATACTATTTCTAGATATGTTGAGCATTATTATTGCAGTTGAATTATGCTTATTAAACATCGGTAACTATTTTCCTGTGAGGGTTCAACATTTTAGTTTTATTTTTAACAATTTGACCATTTATCACTACAATAGTTATTATTATAAAATATATATAATAATATTTTAACAATCATTATTAATTGCTTACATTTTTAAATTAATTGTCAAAATTATATATTTATATTTTAACACAATAAAATCCAATGTTACCACCTCACAGAAAAATGAAATCATTAATAGCTACATCATTTTTTTTTTTTTTTTTTTTTGTTTTCTTCTCTCTAGAAAAGTAAAATAAAATTTTTTTTTCTAAAATAAAAAATTACTCTAAAAAGGAGAGCAAATAAAAATGTTGTTTTTTTTTCCATGAAACAACATTTTTTAAGTCTGAAGACCCACCACCAATATTCGTGAGGATAGAGAAAAAAATGATGAAATTTTTACGCTCACGTGGATTGTAAATTATGATTTTTGAGCAGTGTCTGAAATTCAGACGCTCTCTCAGTCTTGTTCGACTTTTTTTTCTTCTTCTTTTTTTTCCTTCCTTCTTCTCTTTCTTTAATGCAACTTTCCCATACATTCACATTTAATTATATAATCAGTTGTGTGCGATAAACTGATGACAAATGTAAATATTTTGTTTTTATTAAAGTGTCACCGCACGAAAATTTTATTGTGACACATTATTTATAATTTTCTGGATATTTTTAAGATTTCATATCATAAAAAAAAAATTTTTTTTTTTTTTGTCAATCGATGTTGGGGGAATATAACTTTGTTATATTGCCAAATTTTCTTTTATCTTTATTATTTTTTTTCTGGCTCTTTCATCTCGTTTTTTTTTATCTTCTTTTTAGATACTTTTTTTCATTCTTCAAGTTTACCTTTTCTTTATTTTTTTTTTAATACATTTTTTATCGCTCCTTTTTTATTTTTCTGATTCTTATCTTTTTTTTTAACATTTCTGATATATTTTTTTTTATTTTTTATCGCTTCTTTTTTATTTTTCTGATTCTTATCATTTTTTTTTATATTTTCTTCATTTGTTTTTTTTTTTTAAACTTTCTGTCTTATTCATTTTGATTGTTTTTATTTATTACTTCTTTTTGTTAAAATTTTTTTTTATCATTTCATAAAATTTTTCGCCCTCTGGATTCTTTTCGTTTTCGTTTAAAAATTCTTTTTTTCAACATTTGAACATTTTCGGATCGTTGGAATAATTTTTTGTTTTTTTTTTTTTTTTTTAAATTACAAATGTTAGGTTCTTAAAAACAATATTGTTTTTCAGCACGTAGCAATTGTAACTTTTTTTTCCTATTCCCAAAAAAAAAAAAAAAAAAAAAAAAAAAAAAAAGAAACTGGAAAATTAAGGAATGTGTTAAGTCTTTGGATTTAATGTAATGACACTTGTCTCGTGTTTAATTGAAAGATCTTCGGCAATTGTATTTTCATAATTGTTGGCAGCATCGGATGTTGACGGTCGTATTTGAAGATCCGGTCGTTGATATGTCAACATTTCAATTGCGTCACGTTCGGGTGGCTCGGTTTGTTCAAATGGTTCACTTTTGAAATTATCACTGTGAATTGTTGTCATTGTGTCGTAGTCGTTTTGTTGAAATGGTCGATAAATGCGATTATTTATATTTCGTCCAATACCAATGGGAAATGCCGCGCTTCTATTGCAATTTCGTCGTATGTCCTTAGTGTCGATACCCATTTTTTTAGCCTTATCATAGAGTGTACGTGATGGAACATTAAATTCTTTGGAGGCAGCAATTGGCGATAGACCCATTCGCATTGCTTGTAATGCTGCCTCCAATTCTTCGGGCGTGTATTTTTTGTATTTTCGCCATTCCTTGCCTCCCGGTGTATTATTCGCGGAGTCTATAATTTAAAACAAAAAGAGAAAAACGAATTTAAAATAAAAGTCGACAATTTAATGAAAAAGAAAAGAAATTTTTCAATCTTAAAAAAAAAAAATTCAGAGTTCAATATTTTAGGGGGAAAAAAAATTAAAAATTCATCTTTGAATTAATTCGGATTGTTATTTTAGGATTCAAAGGGATTAAAATTCAGTTTCGAAAAGAAACCGATTAAGGAATTTTTTTTTAAGATACAACAAAAATTTAAATTCGGATAAAAACTGATTGACTCGGAAACAAATTTCGGAATTCCTCGGAATAATACTTATTAAAACTGATTGAACTATTGAATATTAATTCGAAACTTTCCTCAAGATTTCAATAATTAATTTCGTATTAATAACAAATTTATTTAATCTATTTTGACAATTATGAATATAAGATCGAAAATTTTTAGGTTAGGTTATCATATTTCGCACGCTTAATAATAATAAGCAATGAGTAGATAAACCTGTAATTTTTAGTTTATTATTATAGTTATATCTCTTTTATGTTCTCTGATTTTATCCGATATATGACTTTTAGGTTATCCAATATAATTTTTATCGCAAATATTACAAGGAGTTTGGTAAACACGGAAAGAAAAAAAAAGTTCCAACTGCTTTCTTTTAAGTCGTCATGTTGATGATCTTATAAAATCAAGTAGTTATAAACCAGGGAGCCAGGCTGTTTTGACTTGGGTCTTTAATTGCAGCTATTGGTGTTCTCAGGCGATACCGACCAAGATTTTCCCTGCTCAATTGAGAAAAAACGAACGCGTACAAAGAGAGCATACATTGGTCCATGCTGTAAAGGCCTTTCTCCAATATGTTCCTAAAAGTTTTACGTTGCGTGATTTACGCGTTGGTTCGTAAGCACAGTGACGTCATTAAAGCATTTATACCAATCGCGAACAAAAAGTTTGGTTTATATTCCTCTTATCCCTGTTTTCCAACTTTACAATTTTTAATGCAAATGTTTCTCGACGGCATTTAATAATTTGAATTATTTAATATTTAGAATTAAAAAATTCAGTATCTTAAAATCATAAAACAAATTTTTTTTGTTCGCGATTGGTATCAATGCTTTGATGACGTCACTGCGCTTGCGAATCAAAGCGTCAGTCACGCAACGCAAACATTTAAGGTACTTTTATACCTCGAGTATTTTGGTCAAGCAATAATCGGCTGGATTTAATTTTCACGGAGAATCACTAAATTTGATTGGCTCTAAAAAAAGTTTAATTTTCCCGGTGAAAATCTAATATTTGTCAGAGCCAATCAAATTCAGTGATACAACCATGAAAATCCAATCCAGCCGATTGCTTGACCAAAATACTGGAGGTATAAAAGCACCTTATTTGGGAACCTATTGGAGAAAGGCCTTAAAGGCTCGTTTTTTCTATTCGTGTATCTTTAGGTTCAATGCACGTAAAGGCCAATACACAATAAATTCGCCAAAGTCGTTTGCGAACGTGAAGCATGAATTAGAAATGGATAGAAAAATATTCGTATCCTTTTCTATCTCATGCATCTTGTTCGCAAACGGTTTTCCCGAATCAATTGTGCGTTGGCCTTTAGTCTTTGATCTTTAGAATCAATTCGCAAAAATGAAAAAATTCGCATATCTATCCTTTTTTACCTCATACATTGTAGGAAATAATGGGAAAGAAAAAGAAAAAAATATTTTCTACCATTTTTATCTTCTATTTAGAAGTATTTTGGTTCAAGGTGCTTTTATACCTTCTTGGTTTTCGGCCGAGCGATGCATTTGCATGAAAAATTGTATTTGATTGGCTCCAATAACATTTAATTTTCAATGGAATATTTGTCAGAGCCAATCAAATTCAGTGATTCTTCGTGACAATGCATCGCTCGCCAAAAACCAACAAGTTATAAAAGCACCTTAAGTCTTATACTTACCCTTTTCTGTCCTTTTCTAACGCACGTACTGTCATGGCGTCACATGTTACCATGACAACATGTGAGTTAGAAAGGGACAACAAAATGTAGACATATACGGACAAAACTTTACACATCGGGGGGAAAAAAAAGCTCTATATAAAAATATTCTCAAATTTACCTTGACGGACGTTTTTCTTTTGACCCTTTGAACTGCTTTGCTCCTTAATCCTCAAATAATCATCAGGAATATTGTATTCCGGTACATAGTAATCGTAATTATCTCTTGGACGTTCATGCATTGAATTATTACTCTGTGGACGTGGTGGATGTTCATAGCTCATTGACGGATGGGGATAATTGTCGGGCGTACGTTTACGTTTATTTTTATCCATTGCTTTCTTTATTATTGGCGTCTGTTCAAATACTGGCTCCTCTTTTATTCTTTTCGCTTGACTTTCTATACTTGTATCGGACGAATAATTTTGCGATTGCTCCTGCTCCAATTGACGTGGCCAAACAGTTGGTTGTTGAGATTTTGTTCGCTCCTCAACATGTGGTTTATCTTCACATTTATGTGAACAACATGGTGTTCGATTATCAGAAGAAGCCTCAGCGTTACTGTCAGCTTCACATGTCGTTATATTGACTTGTGGCTCAAATTTCGAGTCATATTTGTCATTATATTCGGGAATGAGGCCCTTTATCTTTAAGAAAATGAGAAACATTTGTTGGACAAAATCGAAAAATTAGAATTTTGACTAGGGCTAACTTCAAGTTGTAGGTTTTTTACAAAAATCTCCCTTTTTCGAATTTTTATTCTATTCTATAAAAATGGAATAATTTTTATAAAGTTGTAGTCAGTTCTGCAGATTGTTGTGGTAATGTACAAGAGTAAGAGAAATAAATTCAAATTTACTGTCTCTTTCACTCTTGTACGTAACTATGACAACCTGTAGAGCTGTGAATAAAAGTTGGTTTCTCTGTCCTTTTTCAACTCATGTTTCACGTTCGCGAACGTATTTTGCGTAACTATTCTGCTTTCGCCTAAAATTCCCATTCGCCATTTGTCATAATTCTCGTCAACTACCGCACCCTGCTCTAGTGAAAATTTAGTGACTATTGTTAAAATTAAAAATGACTAAATTTTCACTAGAGCAGGGTGCGGTAGTTGACAAGAATTATGACAAATGGCGAATAGGGATTTTGTCGAGTGGGGACAATGGAAACCAACCCAAATGCAAGTAAAGTAAGGGTACGGTCACACTATCTCATGCATGCAGAAACATTTGGCCGGTCACACTTCAACGAAATCTAGTGAATGTTTAGTAATTTTTAGTAATTTTCTAAAAATTTCAGTTGTAACTAGAAAGTTATTAAACATTTACTAGATTTTGTTGAAGTGTGACCGGCCAAATGTTTCTGCATGCATGCACAGGGCATGCATGAGATAGTGTGACCGTACCCTAAGGGTGCAGATTAAAATACACCCAATTGCAATTGATTTCCGGTTCGACGGCAATTTGAAAAGTCGTGATACTTCTATAATAATTTTATTAGTTCCTGGCGTAGTGTATAAATTACGCCACGAACTAATAAAATTATTATAGAAGTGTCACGACTTTTCAAAATGCCATAGAACCGGAAGAAATCTACAACTTGAAGTTAGCATATAAATCATCCCCCACAACACCTAAAGGCCAATGCACAATAGCTTTGCGAAAGTCGTTCGCGAACGAGATACATGAGATAGAAAAGGATACGAATATATCTCTGTTCTTTTCTAACTCATGTTTCACGTTCGCGAACTTCTTTCGCGAACCTATTCTGCTTAGGCCTTAAAATTGCAGCATTATTACCAACATTACCTCAATGTTACCATTATTTCAGTAATATTTCTGCAATATTAAAAAATTCAGACAATATTGACAATATTAGTGCAATTAAAATTTCTCTATATCGAATAATTATTTATTTAAAAAGAAAAATATTTCACCTTTAAAAAATTGGCAGTTTTTAAAATACCCTGAAGTTCCTCTTGTGTGACATTAATTTCGCCTTTGTAGATAAATTCTAAAATTGGTTTAACATCAGCATATTTGATGTCAGTTAAAACAACATTGGCATGACCTTTTGTTTTCATACTTGAGAAAATATCTTCGAAAAATGTCGAACAAGCGGCTAAAATAATTTTATGACATTTAACCACCATTTGTCCTGAATCTAACCACAATGTGACGTCAGTGTATTCTTCTTTTTTCAATAATTGTTCGAAGACATTGAGCATATTTGGCAAATAATCACCCCATCGAAGATTATAAAGAGGCGACGCCATTGTTGAATTCATTTCAACAACCTGTACAACAACAAAAAATATTGTATAAATTAATTTTATTTTTTTAAATACTGTACAGAATCTTATTAGAGATGAAATATAAATTCAAATTTTGTTTTACATATCGGAGTTTTTTTTTTTTTTTTTAAAAAGTGAACGCACCTTTAAGGTAGTGAATTTTAAAGGGTGGGTGGTGAAAAATGTTACGTAACGTGTGAACGCTCCCTAATGCATAAAATTTACTGTAATTACTCGTATATTTATTATAAACTGTCACTAGTTATTGTTATTTAAAAAAAAAGAAAATAAGTCAAAAAAAATAACGGAACATTAACAACATCCTCTTTGGCGGAATATTATAAAACTTTTATACGAATTTACCCATTTTAGTTCTTATATAATAACCACGTTTAGAATTTTTGCCTAGAACTGGTGACAAGGTCAACAAAAATAAAACCTCTAAAAAGGCTGAAGCGAAAGTGAATGGAAACGAAAAGGATAGGATGTAGAGAGAGAGAGAGAGACAAAAAATCTTGTTCTCTCTATCATCCTTTCTAGTTTCCGCGTGTTTCTCGTTTCGCCTCTCATTCTCTATTTTATTTTATTTTTTTTTTTTTTTAAAACAAATTTCATGTTTATTATCCACAGGTATATAAAATATGCAATGAGAAATTTTCCCCTTAACTATTATTTTATTATTAACTAATCAGAGAAAAAAATCTATCTCATACTTATCAAAATCTCCAGTGATTCTATTTTCGTTGAACTTGAACTTGACCTTGACACCTACCGCTTCGTCTATTAATGCTATACTTCTAATATAGTAAAGAATTTGTGGAATTGTACTAGGTGAGATATTTATATATCGAAATATCGAACAATTTTTTTTTTTTTTTTTTTTTTAATTTTAGATATTTTTTACTCTTATTGTATTTTTTGTAATTGTAAAGAGATTTTTTTTTTTTTATTTAGTTTATGGTTATGCAATGAATGCATTTTGTGTGGTGTTGCTATCTCTTTCTTTCACATTATGGAAATTTGCAAAATGTGTTTTTCGTGTGATTTCACCCTTATATAATAATTGCATATTGGGCTTAAACTAAAATTTTGCAAAACAAAGTTGACGTGAAACACAGAAAGAGAAAAAAAATGTGTTTTGTTATTCTTTTCTATCTTATTAATTTGTTTTTAGAAATTTATTTCGCAAATATATTCCGGCTTGGGAAATAATATATTCAATATAGAAGGGTAAAATCATACGAAAAAATTGTGGACAATTTTAATTGTTCTTATATTTGTTTTCATGAATTTGTTTTCTATTTTCTTTTACGAATAATAAGTTTTCATTTAAGATCCATTGATATATTTATATAAAATAATAATAATAATAATAATTTAGAAAAAATACATTTTTTTCTTGTTTTTATCGAAACGATAGTTTTCTAAGTTCATAATTTATTTATCGCATGACGTCACACAGAATTTAATACAGTTTCCCCTTGTCGCAAATTGTCACACAAATAGTTATATTTTCCTTTTATAATTCTCATTCCTTCCATTGTCGTGTTATCAATTTTCTACCCCTCTATATATATATTGATACCGAAATGTACAAAATATAATAATATATTTCAATTTATATAAATATATTTATATGTTTGACATTTTATATCGATATTTTCAAACATTAATGTTTTTTTTTAATCAAAGAAATTTGTGTATTTCTATACACGGTAAAAGTATTTCAAAAATTTATTTTCAAAGAAAAAATTTTGTTAAATTAAAGAATTTTTTTTTTTTTTTTTTGCAATGTCTGTTGGAGTTTTTAGTCAATATGTACTTTTAGTTTTAAAAAAATGTTTATTTATTAAAAATTAAATAAAAAAGCAAAAAAATTTTTTTACATAAATAATTATTTATAATTCAGTAATGTAATTAAATAATTTTTTTTTAATAAATTACCGAAAAATTATTTGAATTCCTCTAAAAAATATTGTAGAATATATTTTTTATAAAAAGTATAAAAAAAAACAATGAATTTTTTTTTATTTTTACAATTTTTATTAGTAAAAAAAAAGGAATTTTTCAAAATTAATACCTTTTGTGTTTTTTTATTTAAAAATATTTTTCATTAAGTAATATTAATAAAAAAAAATGTTAATTAAAAAAAAATATCAACGAATGCAATTTTATTTAAACAAAAAAAAAATTAAATAAATAACCTCAAAATTATATTTGAATAATAAAAAAATATTTGTAGAATATATTTTGAAAAGGAAAACTAAAACCTATTTCGAAGGGCCGAAACATTCTTGTTCTCGTGAAAATTGGTATCGTATTGAATTCTTCCCCAACTGCGTTGCTAAAAAAAAAAAGGGACCGAGGGCACACACGCATTGAAAACATAAAATTTTTACATGAGTTAGAAAAGGATGGAAGACATTTCTTTCCTTTTTCCCTCCCATTGTTACTTCTTAAGATTTATGACTTGCGATATGTGTGCTTAAAACCTTATGGTGCATAAGCAATGCACATATATATTTCTAAAATACTGAATTCCCATTGGTTAAACTGCGTATATTATATATATCTACACAACTGTGTATATAAAGTGTTTATGCACCAGCGAGTCGCCATCTTTGATGACATCATAACCTGGAATATCTAATCAATGTGTGAGCCCGCAATTTATTTCCACTCGAGTTTACTCAACATTTTCTTCGAAATGCTGAATAAAAAAGTAAATAATTTTCACATGATTTAATTCCAATGTTAATTTTGTAAATTACTTTATATCATATTTTTTTTTGAGACACGGAAATTTTTTTATCCAATTTTAGAAATACAAATAAAATATTGTTTTGGTTATTTGCGAATAATAGCCACACCTCGTGGCAAACTCTATCTCTCTCTCTCTCTCATTTTAGTATACACGCCACGAGTTTTGTGATCACATTTTCCGCGTCAATTTTCATTGGCAAACCGTCTAGAGTGAGACAAACTTACGCCACTGACACGCAATAAAAGAAGAGGGAGATATTGTTTTTCAAAACGAGGTGTGACCTTGTTTCCAGAGTATAACGAAAAAAAAAAAAATTTGACAATTTATAGGGATTTAAAAAAAATTATTTGCTAAATAATAAAATTGTTAAAATAGCAATTATTTTAAATTTTTTTGGAAAAAAAAATATTAATTTCGATCATTGAACAAAATAATTGCATTAGAGTGAGAAGGAAATACAGTCCCGTTTCTCTTTCACTTCAATGTAATTTTCACTTTGTTTCTCGACCAATCCACGTGCCGGCATTGAAAGCGTCTTCTAATCAAATTTTTCGCAAATATTTCAATGAATCTTGAAAAAATATTCATTTCTATATAAAATGAACATTTTCTTGAAAATTTATTATTTTTTTTAATATTAATATTTTAAATAATAAAATATTTACCTCGTGTGGAAAAATTAAAAACTACTATTTTTGCGAATTTTCGTATTTTTATCCCCCGAATAGAAAACAAAAAAAAGAAGAAAAAAAATTCTAAGATTCTTTCGAAGAAATCCCTCAAGCGAAACTGAGAATCAAAGAGTCGCAAAAAGCATTTCCCGTGTCGGTGAGTTGCGTCATTTGGTGCCTCGTAAAAAACGAACTAAGGCTTCGTCAACTTCGTGTTTACTTCGTGATCATTGGGCAAAGTAGGCAAAAGGGTCCCTCCTATTATTCACATTATTTTTTTTTCCACCACATGCGCATTTTCACGCCATATCCAAGCATCAATTTATCACGTACGAAAATACGCATTTCATTTTTGTTTACATTCAAAAATTCAATGTTATAATTCTATTTTTCCCAAGAGAGCACGTTGCACGAATACATATATATCTATATAATACAATGAGTAAACCGGTCGCAATGAAGAAAGAAGAAACTTTTAATTTCTCATCAAAATAAAAAAAAATTTGCAAAAAAAAAAAAAAAAATTAAAGAATTAAATAATAAAAACTTACTTATTATTGAATTTTCGAAGTAATCCAGAAAAATTCCAAAAATTTGTACTTCAGAAAAGCATCCAAACAGCTGTAGTGTTGTAAATAATAATAATAATAATAATAACAGTCAGGGAAAATGGTAAATAAAATTAATTTTTAATGCACTATTTCACTGTTATAACACTCACGAAAATAGGCGAAAAAATTTCCTTTTTTTTTGCAAAAATAATTTTTAAAAAAACAATTTTTTTTTTCCCCTGCGGGAGGAAAAGCGAAAAGCTGCGACAATAATTTTAGGGCCTTGGAGAGCAACTGGCACACGGAATCTCAGGAAAATGTAGATAGTGAATAGTTGGAAATTAAAGTCTAGTCGTTGAGGAGGGGGAACCCCTCCCTTTTGCCAAGAGTGTTCCAAACTGCCGAACTTGATGCGATGGATAACGCAGGGGTGGTATATAACCATGACTAGTTTTTCTGCTTCTATGCATTGGCGTCGAAACATAGGGTTTTCAATTTTTCACCCTCATGTGTTTTTTTTTTTTTGGCAAATATTTTTTTCTTTTTAGTAACTCTGATATTGAGTTTTAGTTTAGAATTTTTATTTTCACAAAAATGTTAGTAATTTCGAATATTATTTCTTCTTTATTATATTTTAGATATCTCTAAAAAAAAGAAAATCCAATTCTAGTATTTTACGAGAAAAGTGGTCGAAATAATTAACATTGCAGTCATCACGTGACCTTACAGTCACATGCTGTTGAACTAAACTCAATTCTTAATACATATACATATATTACTGCTACACTCTAAATGTGGATTAATTAATTTAATAATAATAATTAATTTAAAAAAAAAATAAAATGCAAATAATTACAAATAAAATTCTTTTGAATGTAAATATAACATTTTTCCGAAATTTTTTTTTATTTTATGATTTTACTGACTTGAAATAAAACAAGTATTTTGCAATGACGAAATTAATTATACAATCTAGTTAATTATGAACTTTTTTTAGTGCCCTTCAATAATTAATAATAAAATAATATATTTACTTAAATATAAATCGAGGTTATGTTTGGTTTTAATTATTATTGTAGAAAAAATTTGAGATTTCCATGAACCATTTTTCTTTTTATTGATGATTTATTTTAAAAAACAAACGTAAATTTTTTTTTGTTAATATTTCAAAAACGAAAAATAAATAAAGACTAGTAAATCTTTTATATTTCTTCGGTTTTTTTTTTTTTTTTATAAAGACAAATTTCTTTTTTTCTATTTCATCTTTTTTTTTATTAATAAATAATTTTTAATAAATTTTCGTTGTTATTTTTAAATAATTTTTATATTTACTTTTTTTATTTTTATTATTTCTTTTTATTTTCTTTTATTTTCTTTTATTTATTTTTATTTTTTTTTACTTTTATCTTTTTTTACTACTATTGAAAATACAATAAAGATGTTCACGCAAAATTCCCAACTCATTATTCCTAAATCTGTGAGTTGTGCCATTAAGAAAAAAAAAATGTCCAAATTTAAAAGCCATTTATATAAATATAAAGAGATAATTATTACTATTATATTATCTTGTATTTTTAATGGCTCATGATTTTTTTTGAAAAAATTTTTTTTTTTTGTTAGTTACAAATAATGCGGATATTAAAATTTATTTTTAATTTGCATTTTTCAAATAATTAAAAACTAATTTCTTTTAAATGTTGGCAAAATTGTCTTATTTTCTATTGTTGCAAAAAAAAAAAAAAAATGGTAATTTTGTTTTGTAATTTCCAGTTCTGCGGAAGGGGGATTTACACCAAATAAATAAAATATTGTTAGCAATATGTAAATTATTGGAGTCCCCGCGCACAGTGTATTTCCTGTTTCGTGAGGGGACTTTAAAAATCATAATCATGTCCCTTCATTGAATTCAATGCCCCTTTAATTATAAATGTTATCTCTATTTAATCACTTCTAATATTTACCTGTCAAATTATAATATTATATAAATATAAATAATTTTATTTAACTACTGCAATTTATATAAATAAATATAAAATTAATAATTATATTATTTTTATTATTTATATATTAATAATATATCATTATGTCTAACACATGTACATATTATTATATTTTTGTATAATATAATAAAATAAAAATGTTTATATTTACTTAATATTTTATCTAAAATTGAATTTATTTGAAAAAAAAATTATAATAATTATAAAAATAAATTATTTTTTTTTACATTTTACAATAAATATGTTATTTCATTGAATATAAATTTATATTTTGAAATTATTGTATACATTGATTAAAATTTCATAAATGAAAAAAAATATACCAAAACATATATAACACTTGAGTACAATTTACTCAAGATATTTAGGTCATTGGTATTTGTCTTCAAAAAAAAAAGTCAAATTTCCTAAAGTTGAATATTTCTTCACTCGAGTCTTCACTTTTATATGTATAAAATATAGATTATGTATGTATATCTAAAATTTACTTGCAGTTTTTTCTCCGTTGAAAATAATATCTCAATAGCATATTGAAACAATTTTTTTCATAGGAATTTTTATTCTTTTTATTTATTATTATTATTATCATTATTATTATTATTATTATTATTATTACTATTTTTATTATTTTACTATAAATTAGTATTTTATTTATTATTAAATATAATAAATAAATATAATAAATAAATAAAATAATTTAAAAAAAAATAAAAAATACTGAACTTTAAAATAATGAAAAAAAAAGACAATTTCTTCTTTTTTTTCTTCTTATTATAATAAATGTAAAAAAAAATATTTGTTCGAAAAAGGCAAAATTCTATTTTTCTATAATGATTTCCGAATTTCGAAAATAATTTTAAATATCTTTTTAATGAACTTTTCAAAAGAACACATTTAAAAATACATTTAAAAATTACTCATTTTCACAAAATATTAAGTTCTTATTAATTATTAAATATATTTATAGAAAATTCTTATGTTCCAAAAAAACACGTATACCCAAAGAAAAATTTTTTGTGCTAAATATATTATTTATTTCAAATCAAAATTTTCTTTGATATAAATAAACATTTTATTACAAGCAAAAAATTTTTTTAGGCAAAAAAATATTTTTTTTTGGTAGAAAAAAATTTTATTTGATACCAAATAAATGCAAAAAAAATTTTTTTGGTACAAATACAAAATTTTGTTTGGCATAAATAAAAATTTTGTTTGATACAAATAAACATTTTTTTTTTTATTTGGCACAAGTAAAAGATTTTCTTTGCGATAAATAAATTTTTTTTTTTTTTTATTTGAAATAAATAAATATTTATTTAGCTCCAAAAAAACAAATAAAATTTTTTTTCTGAGTATTCTTAATAATTTAATGAATGAAAAAAAATTGTATCTATTTCGTCTGTTTAAATGTAAAAATGAAAAATAAAACTAATTGACTACCTAATTTCTAGAGAGGGTATTTTGACCTGTGAATTTTTTTTTTTTTTTTTAAAGAAAAGGTCTGCACATTGCATGCGTGTAGATTGAATTCACCCCAAAAAAAAAAAGGAAAAAAAAAACTAAACGAATGTGAGGTGAGCGAGCCTCCAGGAAGTCATAGGATTGGTTCGTGTTGACGTGGCAGTCATTGTCTGTGTGCTGTTAGAAAACTAGTTGAGTCTACACCAATCCAAACATATCTCATGGTGCCTCGTGCACATATCTATTCTGCATCATAGGCGCCGAATTTACGAATTTTTCATCAATTTTTCATTAAAATGCATTGCCCGCAATCTTAAAAATAAAATTTATATTCATAACCAATTTCCTTTTTTTTATTTTTCACATAAAATTATTAATTTTCATAATTTTTTTTTTAAATTATATTTTTTAATATTAATAATTATTAATAATTTACTTATTATATTTTTAAACTAATTTAATTATTTTTAATAATATTACAACTTTTTTTCTTTATATTTAAAAAAAAAATTTACTTGATTCAAATAATTGTTTACTTGACTATTATGAAATAAATATTTATTTTTATTATATAATTATTATTTGAGTCAGTTAAATTGTTTTTTTTTTTTTTTTTTTTTTTGTACCAAAGAATTTGTTTCAAATACAAAAATTATTGGTTCAAATAAAATTTATTTAAAAATTATTTGTTTCATGTAAATAATTATTTGATAATAGTCAAGTAAACCGATTATTTGAATCAAATAAATTTTTTTCCAGTGTAAACTGTATTTTTTAAATTAACAAAATACGTTTTCTAATATATATATATATTTTTTTTAATTAAATATTTTTAAGTTGAATTATTATTATTATTATTATTAATAAATTTAATTTGGTTATTTAATAATATAATTATTATTCGTTTCAAAATTTTATTAAAGAAACAATTACTGTTTTATTTTTCCCGAAAAATGTAATAATTTGTTTATAAAAAAAATTTACTTGTATTTACTTTTATTGAATTGCTACTATATTTTTATTTAAAAACAGCAGTTTTAGTTAATTTTTAAAAACAAATTTTTTTTTTTCGCATTTATTAATAAATACAAATTTATTATTTACAAATTTAATTTTTAAAAACATTTTTTCCTTTTTTGAGAAAATATACACAATTTTTTTACGAAATAATTTTTTAATTTTCATTTCTTATTTATTTGAGTAAAATTTTATTTTTAATTGCGAACAAGAAATTTTTTTTCAAAAATAAAATTTCTACAAATTTTTATTGGCATTAATATTATTTTTTTTGTGATTGATAAAAAAAAAATTTTTTTTTGAAGAGCGTATAAAAATTTGCTAAATATATATATATATATATATATACAATAATGGAAACACGTTTGATGGGTTGCGATGAAGGTGAGAACTGAAAGAGAAGAGAAAAGAGAAGGAAGGAAATAATAGAAATAGAAGAGAGGATAGAGAATAATATGATGATGATGGTTATAAGGTGAATCTTTGTCCCTATATCTTTTTTTTTGCCTTTATAGCCATTCTCCGGGAAATTCCGTATTCTAACCACACACACACACATGTGCGGGCCTCTTGTCTTTATTTCTTTTTCGTACAATATTTTCGTTCTTTCTATTTTATTCTATATATATATGATCGTGTGAATTTTTCAGCGCACTTTATCGAGAACCGCGCACAGCTGAAAATTCTCTCCCATCTGTAAAATTCTATTTCCCTCGCATTTTTTTTCTCTCTCTCTCTCTCTCTCTCTCACTCACTTTGCAAAGAGAGGGAAACTTGATTTTATGTTTGGTATGAATTTTTCGAGACCATCTGCTGCCCATTTTCGTTCATTATTTCAACCGAATTTCCTGTTTTCTTCGGAGCTCATAGTTTCAAGAATACATATAAATGTCAAACGATACACTTTTTCCCCTAATTAATTTTCTGTTACTGAAAAAAAAAAAAAAAAGAAAATACGAGGGAAAATAACATTTTGCAATGTTTATAATAAATACATAATTTGAAAAAAAAAAATAAAAAATATTTTGCAATTTGTAAAATAAATATTTGAACATTAATTTTATTTATTTACATCTAGACGACAAAAAATTAATTACAAAAAAAAATTATTATTTTATAGAGAATTTTTTAAATATTTATTATTTCGTAAAAAAATTATTTTCCATTTTTCTTAATGGATAAATATAATATAATTATTAATTTTGTATTAAATTTTATTTAATTATTATTTAATTTATTTTTACAAATACACAATAAAAAAAAATATACAATAATAGTACATATATATAAAAAATAAAATAAAATTTTGATTAAAAATATTTTATTTTTAGTTACAATATTATTTCATATTTTTTCTATTTTATTTTTTTTATTTTGATTTTTTTCATTTTTTATTTTATTTTTTTTTTTATATTATTTTATTATTTTTTATTGTACGTGGATATTTTCTTTTTTTTTTATTTCCATTGAATTTTTTTTTTCCCCAAGGACAATATTTTTTTTGCTCGCGATATATGTATTTGAAAAAAATTCGCAATGGTTATAAAAGAGTAGAGGCATTTATTCATTTGGTGAATTGGAGCTTTAAAAATGTTGGGAGAATAGAAAATTCTTTTTTTAAAAGTCGACCATACACACACACACACACGGACGAGTGAAAATTGTAAGGGTCTGTCTCTCTCTCTCTCTCTCTCTCTCTCTCTCTCTCTGGGAAGATTCGCAGAAGAGTCAAGGGAACAAAGGAAGAATTTTATTTTAGTGCACGCGGCAGAGACGCTAAATTCCTCTGAATGTAGTCGCCCCTAACTCTACAGGATACGCTTTGACTTGAAAATCGAGCTACCTGTCCGCATTAGAAACCCAACGAAATGAAAAAGGTCGGATAATAAATACCTATCAAGAGGGACCAACTCCCGAAAAAAAAAAAAAAAAAAAATTTACAGGATTCTCTTCATTTTTAAATGTACAACAATAAGAAAGGGAGGAGAAGATAAAAGATAGGGCTCCGTATGTTCTAATGTGAAAGAAAAAGAGATAGAAAGAGAGAGAACGAAAGCAATAAGTATTTTAAATGCAAATTAAAGTGAAAACAACTCCAGAGGGGGTGAAAAAGAAAATGTGGATATTTTTACAAAATACAAAAAAAAAAATGAATAGGACAATTAAAAAAAAATCATAAGATTAAAAATACAGTATTTCGTTGCACTCATAAAATTGAATTAAAAATAAATATAAGAACTAATATTAATAAGTAATCCAGTATTACGATTATTATTATTATAGTTAATTATTATTTAATATAAAATTATAATATTATTCTTTTACGTTATTATAATAATTATAAAACAATAATTTTCGAATAACTTATTTTATTAAATAAATGGAAAGAATAAAATAATTTTTAAAAAAATTAACCTACATTGTAAATAAAAAAAATGTACTTTACCAAATGTAGATAGAAAATGTTTTATTTTGTAGTAATTCTTCTATAAGCACAAAATTTGCACATCACATAAAAAGTTCAAATTCACAGAAAATAATAATCATCTGCACAAGCACAAAAATAATATTTACAAAATGTCCCTTTGGATTTTTTGATATTTTTATTTTGAAAACAAGATAAAAATTTGCTAACGGAAAAAAAGGCAACTTTTGATAAGAAAAGAAACAACGATTATGAATGCTTTTGAGGAATCGGAGTGTTTAAGAATGTGGATTGCAATAATAATTATCAATCCGCATTCTTAAATATTCCGAATGTCAATTATTTTGACATTCCAAATTGGAATGAAGAGATTTGAATAAGAATTTATTTTTAATGATTTATTTACCGTTGATAAGAAATTTACTAAATTTTGACCATTTTTTGACAATTGAAAATTTTAAGGTTAGGTTGTCATATTTCGCCTATTTCCCAGATAATTTATAGAAATTGTAAATAATTGAGCTTCTTCAATAAATTTTATGTTAGATTGTTATAGATTTTAATACTTTTTAAACTGGAAAAAATATTTTCGATCAACAATAACTATTTGTTAAATAAAAAAAAATACTTGAAAAATTAAAACGACTTGAATCGGAAACTTCCTTTTACGAATGCGGATTGACTCGAGCTACCAACCGATTCAAAACAAGTGAATTTTTATTATAGAAATAAAAATGGAATAAAATATAATATTATTTCTATAAATTCTATAAATAGAAATTAAAATATTGGGAGTAAAAAAACTTTTTCCTATTTTTTTCGCAATTAGAGAAATAAAAAATATATTTTTATAAAACCAAAATAAAATTTGATTATTTTTTGAAACCAAAAAATATTTTTAAAAATTTAATAATATTAATAAACGAAAAAATGTGTGAAAAATTGATTTTATTAAAAAATACGAAAAATCTACTAAATTAAAAAACTCGAATAAATAATTCGGGGCTCAAGGGGAATAAAATATTTAATTAATTTATTAATAATTTAATTTAATTACTGAATATTTGGGGAATTTGACGAAATAAATTTAGGGGGAAAGTTAATATAATAATTAAAAAAAATTAAATAAAAAAAAATTATGAAAATAAAATTTTAGAATTAAAAATTCAGAAGTAGAAAAAATATTAGAAATTCGGATAGAAATACAAAAACGAAATGGAATAGAGGCGCAATAAATTTAAAATGATATTATATATGAAAAATGTATAAAGAAAAAAAAATCCAAAGCCATAATCCATGGTAAAAAATAAATAGGGGTTCGTTCAAATAATTTTGTTATTGTATTAAAGCAGTTTTGAGGATTAGAAAAAAAAATGCATTTTATTTGCCAAAACTCGGAAAAAAATTGGCAGTTTTATTGCAGTTGCCCACATTGTATGCGTACAAATATATACCTAAAATAACCCATTTTATTTTTATGGTAAAAGGCAAGAGGTATTTTTGAAGGTTTGAGCAAAATCCCATCATAAAAGTTATATTATTTATTTTGCAGAGTTTTTGGCATTTTCATTTTTCTTTTATCCTCCGAATGGTTGTAATAAAATACCCAAAGAATAATATAGAAAAATAAGAATTTTACCGAACCCCAAGATTTTATCACTTAGTGGAGAAGATCACATAAAAATTATTTTTTTAAAGAGGTAAAAAGTTTAGTGAAATTTTATATATTTAGCAAAAATTTTAATTAGAAAGAAAATATAATTTTTTTTTTTTTAATTAAAAAAATGTTTAAATCAAAGTTAGAAAAATGTTAATTTTTTTTCGACTTAACAAAATTATTTTTTTTTTTTTGAATTTAGAAAAATTTTTTTAATCTTAGAATTTTGAGATTTTTTTCACTTGGAAAATTTGTTTGCAAAATTCCATAAATAATGAATTGCTTTTAGAATCGTTTTCTTCAGGGAAAATTTTTTCTATTTTTAAATAATGAAAATTTTTTTTTTTTTTTTTTTCAATATAATATATTAATATCAGTAATCTATTTTACAAATGCTTCGCATGAAACGCTTATCTTTTTAATTACATCGTTCACAAACTGGAATCAATTCATCACGTTGACACGGCACATATTTGAATCCAAAAAAAAAAAATCAAAATTTTCTATTTCAATTTTTTCACCAATTCTTAATATTTTAATTATATTATGATCAAATTATTATTCAATTACATTTCATGTATTTACCTAATTTAATAATTAAATAATTAATTATAGTATAATAATAAAAGCAAATTTGAAAATATTTTTATTGAAATTTCTCATTATACTATAATAAAATTTCTTATTAATATTAAAATTATAAAATAATTAATATAATTATTTCATAATTTTTCTAAAATCACTATTTATAAACTAGAAATCATATTATAATTAAATTATTAATATTCAAGAATTATTATTATATTAAATAATTATTCAAATATTAATTATTAAAATTAAAATTCATTAATTGTTTTAACAATATAATGAAATTAATTTTTAAAATAATATCAATAATTTTATTATCATCTTCATTCACAATTTTTGTTTAGCGAAGAAATACCGTTAAATCTTTCAAGTTACAAAAATATATATATATATTTATATTGCATCACATGTAGAGGTGAAAATTTAGCCAAAAATATTTTCGGTTTTTCTTCGACTACAAAACGTAATGACGCCTTTTTTTCGACAACAGTCTATATTACGTAAATAAAAAATTTAAAAAATTATTTCTCTACGAAAAATTGAAAAACTAAAAATGAATGAGAAACAATTTTTTTTTTTTTCGTGAATTTGATTCCGTTCTCACACAATTTATACATAACATAATAAATATTCATTCATTCAATGTAGAAAAAATAATGAAATTAAAAAAAAAAAAAAACAGAAACAAACAATGAATCTAAAAATAAAATGAAATTACATTATTCGTCTGTTTGGACTGTTTTGTTTTCCGTGGGTGGATCATTTTTTAAAGAACCACATTTATTTGCAACATCAACAATTTGTCGAAGAACAATATTTTCTTCCTTTAATCTTGCTATTAATTCCTTTTCTTTCATTTCATTTTCCTCGTCTAATGCGGCTGCGGTTTTCATTACAGCTGCCATTTCATTTATTTTCTCCGCTTGACTTGTTATTATCTAAATATTAGAATAATTATTATTTACTAATTATTAATATTTATAAAATTTTATAATTTCTAACTGAATTTTAATTAAAATTAAATGTTCATTTAAATTAGTAAATAAACATTTGATTTTTTTTTAAATTTATATTTGTATTTTAATTGAATTTGTTTTTTTTTTAATTAAAAATTAATCTTACATTTGCATATTTAGAATTGTAGAGTGATGTATAATCTGGTTTCCATTGTTTCAACAGTGATGAAGTGTGTTGACGATATTTCGACATAATTAATTCGAGAGCACTTTTATGATCTTCAAGAGCACTTTTTAATTCACGATTTTCAGCTTGAATTTCCCTAAGATGTCTATTTTCTTGTTGAATACCGGCAATCACTTGCAAATGAGAAGTTTGTTTCGCTTCAGCGTTTAAAACTTCAACCTCCTCCTGATACTAAAATTATTCCAATATTCGAAAGTAGATTTTATTTTTATTTCAAAAGAAAAGAAAAAAAAGTCAAAAAATATTTACAATCTTTTCAACTAAATTTCTTCTTTAAATAAATGAGAAGATTAAAAAGAAAAAAACGATAAAATATTCAAGTCTTTTTTAAAAATAATACTAATAATTATAATAAAATAATAATAACCATAGTAATAATAAAATAATAATAATAATAATAATAATAATAATAATAATAATAATAAATTCTTTTGAATAAAAAAAAAAATGAAAAATATTTATAAAAATAAAGATAATTTTTTTTTTCAATGAAAGCAGCTTTAATAAACAAATAAATCAAGAAATTTTAATATTTCATTAAATTAATTAACTTAAAATTATTTATTTTAATAAAAAAATAATTTTAAAAATATTTAATGAAATTTAAAAAAAAAAATTAAAATAATTATGAAATTTTTTATAATCTTTTATTGTATAAATTGGTTTTATTTTATTATAATTCAAAAATAGGACAAATTCACTGAAATATTTGTTATTTATTTTTTATATACAAATATATTTATTTATTTTAATACACATAAAATTTGTTAAAATTTTTCGAAAAATTTACATAATTATGAAAATATTTTACTAATTGTATTTAAGAAAAAAGTTTCTCAAATTAAATTTTCTTTTTATATTTTCAAACAAAAAATAAACAACCTTCAATTTTTTTTTTGCATAACAAATAAATTTCCAATGAAAAGAAACGATTCAAGTGTTTTTTTTTTTTTTTTTTTAAATTAAAAACTAATGTTTTAAAATAGAAAAAAAAATTGATAAAATGTGATGGAAATTGCGATTTCAATGTATTGAATAAATACTATGTTCTAAAAATAATAATGGAACATCAATAAATATTTTGCTTACCTGCTTCATTCCATCAATTTGTGTGCAAACTGATTGAATTTCACAAATTAAATTATCAGCTTTGCTTTCTTGATCGGATATTCGACCCACTAATTTCTTTGCATCTAATATAATTTGCTGAAATGTCAAAGACATCTGAAAAATAATTTATGTTTAGGTTATAAAATAGAAGACAAAAATTATTCATTGGATTTTGATATGAAAAATTCATTTTTTTTTCATTTAACACGTAGTAGATTTTAATTAACGTTTTTGTATTAATAATAATGTATAAATAATAATTTAAAAACAAATATGTATTTTAAAAAATAACTTACCTTTTCTGATTATTAAATTGACAGCCACGAAATGAGTATATAGCAACAATAATAAGCAATAAAAATATGTCAAAACTTGATTTTAACCTGAAACTATAATATTTTTGGGAGAAAGTTACAATTTTAAGTTCTTATCAGTGTTAGGGTGCATTCACACCGCGGCAAATAAAAAAAAGTACAAGTCGTACAAGTAGAAAGTCTAAAATGTATCGTAAGCTGATTTTACTGTAAAAGTGAGTGAATTTTGCTTCCAAACGTTTACTTTATTACCCGCTGTGAAAATAATTTGAAAATTTTGAAAATTTATCCAGTCGATCGCTCGACAAAAATTTCGGAAAATACAAAATAAAAAATTTTTTTACCAAAGGTGTAAATGCTCCAAACACAAGGATTTCATTGTGATCACAGCCTTAAAAATTATGTTTTTTAGGCTATGTCTACAATAGGCTTTTTTATGTCCTTATGTTGAATAAATAAGAAAACACAAATATATCTCGGTTCTTTTCTAACTCATGCTTCACGGTTTGCAAACAATTTTCGTTCTAGATTTTCTTTTTATTTTCTTTGAAATTTGATCAACTTTTGGAATAAGTCAAAATATTTGGCTTTCCAAACGTATTTAACTATTTTTTTCTCCTTGAAACAATTTTGGCTGTTCATTTTAATTTAAATACAACTTTTAAACAGTTGAAACAAATTTATAATAATTTTTTTTTTATTTTAAATTCCCTGGCGGATTGTGAAAACCGAGAAGTTGACTGAGATCGGTCAAATTTAGGTTCGGTTGGGTTTTAGGAAATACATTTCAAAAAATAATTGAAATATTGGAAAATTTGCTATTGGGAAGTAAAAATTGATTTTTTAGTTGATTTATATATAAAATTATGAGGTTATTAAGCTATTATTATTAAATAATTAACGTATTCAAAGACCTAGTACATTTACCAAAGGTGGAAAGACGGACTTTGAAACCCACGGCATTGAAATAGAATTTTATAAAGTAATTTTTTTATGAGATATAACCTAAAAAATAAAAAAAATAAGTTTTTTCGTGATTTTTTTTTAATTTTATCAAAGATAATCTATATATGGTAAATTGTTCATGAGACTTCAGAGAACCCAAAAAAGACAAGATGTTCATTTCATGACCATTTAGCTTCCTCATCATGATTTTAAGATTAAAAGGAGTACAACTAAAATAGCGATCAATTTTATAAATATTGGTAAAATGTAAACTTTATATACATCAATCGATTCGTTTTCATGCCAGGAATAAAATTTTGACAAGAATTAAATAAAATTTCTATATTAAGAAAAAGTTATTTCAAAAAATACAAAAAACGATTTTTTTCATAAAATCAAAAAAATGATTTAATCTATAGATTTCAGTAAAATATGAACTTTATATAGGTTAATCGATTCGTTTTAATGCAAGAAGTAAGTTTTTTTACCAAACAAAATTAAATTTACAATGAAAAAATTTTAAAAAAAAATTTTCAAATTTTGAAAAAATTGTAAAAAAAAATGTTATGAATATATTTGGAAATTGGTGTCGATTATGTAATTTGATTTTGATTCTGGCGTTAAAGTTAATTTTAATTCCAGACATTCATTTGTTTATTTAATTTTGACGTCAAATTCAAATTTATTTTTTAATTTGACGTCAAAATTAAATGAACAAATGAATGTCTCGAATTAAAATTGACTTTGATGTCGAAATAAATTTGAATTTGACGTCAAAATCAAATCAAAAAATGAATTTCTCGAATTAAATTTGACGCTTTGACGTCAAAATAAATTTGAATTTGATGTCAGAATCAAATAAAATTACATAATCGACACCCTTGTGTCAGATTTTAGGTATTAATGACTGCATTAAGCATACAAAATTTCAGGAAAATCCGTTAAAACGTTTCTGAGATAATTTGTACACAATATTTTGTGATATACACACACACATACATCTGGACATTTGCTCAGAACTTCAAATATATTAATTCTAGATGAGAATGAGTCCATATAACCTTCTTTTGAAAAATTGAAAATCATCACGAATGCAAAACTTCCTCATGAGGAAGCAAAATATAATAAAACACAAATTTGTAAAATAATAGGAAAATATATTTTATTATTTATATTGAAATAGAATTTCTTATATAATATTTTTTGTAATAATACAATAAATTTTCATTTTAATTTTTTATTGCACAGAATAATTCCATTAATAATTCTCTTCCAAGAACTTTAAATGTTTCAGTTTTTTTAACATTTGTAAAATTTTTATCAATATATTCAATGCATTTTTTCTTCAAATTCAAATTATTGTATTGATCGGCAAGTTGAAAAATAGAAATTGCATTATCCACAGCCAAATTCACAATTAGGCATTTTTCACAAATTGTTTGCAATGTTGATATATCATATTTATTAGCCAATTCATAAAGACCAAATGCCATAGTATTTAAATTTTCAACATTACCAGTATAGATATAATTTAACATTTCCTTAAAACAATCTGAATCTGCATCGTTTATTTGAACAGTATTTGTTAAATTTTCCTTCATTTGATGAGTAAACATTTTTTCAAAAACTGGACTCACAGAAGCGAGTACTATTTTATGAGCAGGAAATTCTTTGCTATTTATTTGAAATACAACATCACTTAATGTATCATTAATTAAAAATGGTTTAAAATTATTTATCAAAGTTGAAATTGAATCAACATCGATGGACTTTTTTTCATTTGTTTTCATTAATTGTGTAATTTCGAGACTAACATGTAATGAGTTGATTCCAAAACCATTAGTTGTAAATATTTTATTTAATTCCTTGGTTTTAATAATATTTTCAAAATCTAAAATATGCATTCCAGTCATTGTAAATATTTTTGTATTTGGATAGATTCCAAGAATAAATTTTATTTCTATTGGATTTTGAAAATATGATGTTAATTTAGTCTCATTGGAAAGTAAAAATTTATGAATAGAAGTTTGTTTATTATGATATGCTGCATACGAATCAGTTGCACATACGGTAATAAACCATTTTATAGTTGGACTTCCTTTCAAAGCAAATGAATTAGAAATATAATTTTCATGTGGAATAAAATTTGGAATATCCCAATCAAAGTTTATCTCTTCTAATAAATTCATTTTCTGCAAATTACAATTTTTAATATTAAATTAATTAAGTTAATATTATATTATGGAATATAAACAAAATTCTAATTTAAACGAAAATAATTTATTTAATTAAAATAAAATTTTAAAACAGAAACATTACAAAAAACATGTCTGTTCTTTGACTACATGGTAACATGTGCGAAAGACAAGGACAAAATCTTATAAAGAACATTTGTATACAGATTTCCCAATAGTCCTTAAGCAAAAAAAAAAAAATTATTTAAATAACTAAGTAATAAATTAAAAATATTAATTTAATAATTTTTATATAATTGAAATTGTTTAACATTAAATATTTGAGGTTATATTATTATTTATTATTAATGCTTCAGCCTTTCGGCCTAGAAGTATTTGAGGTTATTAAATAATTAAGGTGCTTTAAAGGAGGTTCTACAATAGATGCAAGACCAAGTCCAAGTACAAGTACAAGTGCAAATTTATTGTACTTGGATGCGCGCGCAACGTATTGCCAACTGTGAAAAATGTAAAATTACTTTCAATGTTTTAAAACTGCATATAGGTTATGTACACATAACTCACAATTTTTTTATTTTCAAAATAATATTATTTATTTTTTTAAGATTACTTACCTCACTTAATTAAATGCAACCAGCAATGGCAGCAATTATATTTAATTTATTTAATTTATAATTAAAAATTGAATCCAGTATTTTCAACTGCGCCTCAGCGACAGTTGGCAATACGTTGCGCGCGCATCCAAGTACAATAAAGGCGCTTGTACACCTCACAAATTCTAAGTATACTCGGAATTTGTCAAAAGTTATACTAATTTTGATTGGCCTTGCTCATAGAGAATTTCCAAAAGAGAAGAAATTTTCGAAATTCTATATGAGCAAAGCCAATCAAAGTTAGTGAAACTTCTGACAAATTCCGAGGATACTCAGAATTTGTGAGGTGTACAAGCGCCTTATGGAGGTTCTACAATAGGTGCAAAAGCCAAGTACAAGTGCAAGTCCATATGCAAATCCCATGAGTGCAAGAGAGATAGATAGACTACTTATCCCCTTCACACTCATGAGATTACCACTTGGACTTGGACTTGTACTTGGCTTTTGCACCTATTCTGGAACCACCTTTAAATTTGCACTTGTACTTGTACTTGGACTTGGTCTTACATCTATTGTAGAACCTCCTTTATATACCTCAAATTTCGATCAGATGTACATTATTTCTGTACCGTGAAAATGCGTGAAAAGTCATTTTCACGGCGGGTATTTTTGAATTGTTTTAAACAAAAAATGTTTTTTTAAGAAATATAATATTAAATAATTGTTTTAATATGTAAGAACACTTTAAAATAGTGATAGAGAGATGATTTGATTAAAAAATTTAGCAAATTTTGCTTTAAAACGTTTTCTGCTACAAGAAAGTGTAAAATGACGATGTTTGTGAAATGGTTTGTACAGTGCTTCTTCCTTGTGAGTGTCTCTCAGATTTTTGTTTATGTTATTTCGGTTCTTCTTAACTTGTAATAAATAATGAGTGCTGAAAATAAATCGGTAAGTTGAAATGTTTATCAAATAAATTTAAATTCAACTAATTGTTTCGAATAACTGAAAGAAACTTAATATACAGAAAGTATTTGAGAGATGCGTGGAAAATTGATTTATAACCTCGAATCAAGTAGTTGAATTTAAAATTACTTAATAAACATTTCAACTTACCGATTTATTTTCAGTACTCATTATTTATTGCAAGTTAAAAAGAACCGACATAACATAAACAAAACTCTGAGAGGCATTCACAAGGAAGAAGCACTATACAAACCATTTCACAAACATCGTCATTTTACACTTTCTTGTATCAGAAAACGTTTTAAAGCAAAATTTCCTAAATTTTTTAATCAAATCATCTTTCTATCACTATTTTAAAGTGTTCTTACATATTAAAACAATTATTTAATATTATATTTCTTAAAAAAACATTTTTTTGTTTAAAGCAATTCAAAAATACCCGCCGTGAAAATGACTTTTCACGGTCCAGAAATAATATTCATCTGATTGAAATTTGAGGTATAAAAGCACCTTTATATTTATATTCTTATTTCAAAGTGAATTTTGAGGTTAGAATATTATTTTTAAAAATAATTTAAAATTACGTATTAAAATTATATCTTACCTATATTTTAAATGCAGATCTTTATGTCTATTTTCCTCCTATATTGCAAACACTTTTAACTAAAACTAAAAAACTTATAGTTTTTTTTTTTTGCTGTTTTCTATGGCATTCTAAATAACCAAATCGTAGAACGGTAGAAATTGAATAGATTCGAAAATAGTCGTTAGCGTCGATAGCAAACGAGATGCATGAGATAGAAAAGGACACAAATATACAATATCTTTCCTTTTCTAACGCATATGCTTCCTATGTATTAAATAAAGACAGAAAATCGTAGGTCATGATTGTAAATATTAAAAAAAAAAAAAAAAATATTTTAAACTTTCGAATAACAATTAATAATATTAACTTTTTTGTATTTACACATTAAAAAATACTTAAAAACAAAACGCAAGAGAAAATTGAAAATTAATTATTTCTGCTCCCAATATTTACGGCCCTGACAACACATCACAAGAATTTTAGGTCCGCGCAGGAAAACTATTTTCGTGTCAAAGGCCTCAATGGCTGCCGTGTATGAGAATTTTGTGGTTTTATCTTCTATCACCTTATTTGTTAAGTTAAAAACTAATTTTTTGTGAAATTTGTAAATCACTACTAAATACATATGTGATTCGTAATTTTAAAAAAAGTGTCCGTAAACGGCGAAATTAAGAATAACGAAAAGAAAAAATGAATCAATCGATCGGTAAGTAATAGATTTTCAATTAATTTTTTTTTTTTGTTACTTTATTCAACTTTCTATAAAGGAAATTGTCAATATTCTACAAAAATTTGTTAATATATTAAATGCAATGTTATTTTCACATTGTATCTGATTTTCAGATGCTGTGAAAGTAGAAGAAATTCTATCAAAAACCAGCTGCCTAATTAAAGATGGCAAGTTTTTTTTTCTTTCATTTACTATACACAATTGTTTTTCATTTGGAATTTTCATTATTGTCATTTTTATTTTATTAATTTATTGTTAATCTAAACATTTGAATAATGAAATTTATTTATTGTTTTGTTTTTTTTTTAATTTTAATTTTCTCAATAAATATAGCAATAGAAGCAAATTTTAAATAAGAAAAAGTGTATTTTGTGTGAGTGTAATGAAGAAAATGGTGAAACTGACAAATTTTTTATATTGTCGTTTGAATGTGATAAATTTTTGCTACGTGAATTTGTTTATATTTATTTTCTCATGCTTTCATTTTTTTTTTTTTTATTTGGTTTATCGTTTTGGGTTTTTTTATTCTCTCTTTAATGTTACTTTTATCAGTTATTTTATTGCAGGTTATGTCATGACAAATGACCTAAAACAATAATATTGTTCTACTTTGAAAAAAAGTTTTAAAAAAAATTAACGAAATTGAAAATTGAATTATAAATTTTAATATTGCAATTAATTTTATTTATATATTATTATTGGACTTTTATTATTATAATGATATAATTTTATATATAATATATATATGATCATAATTTACTAGAATTAATTATATTTTTATTTATATTTAAAAAATACCGCCCTCCCAAAAAAAAGTTAGAATATTAGTTTTAATTTTTAAAATTGCGAAATTTTGATTTTTAAATAATTTTCGTTTGAAAAATTATTTATATTGAACGTTTTATTATTCCAAAAAAAATTTTATTTTTAAAAATTTATGAAGGTTTATTTATTTATTTCACTAATTTTATATTAGATTACCAATTTTTCCCCTTATTTTTGAGAAAAATAAATTGTAACTTTTTCACCTTTTTTTAAAATTACAATTGCAAGTAAAATAATTCTTATCTTTTTATTTACTTTTATATGTTAAACTTTAGTAAAACTTGTTAAAAATTTGCTTCTCAGATTTTATTTGAAATTTTACAAAAAAAATAGATTGGTAAAATTTTTTTATTTAAATTTTATACATTTTTTTTTAGATACTTTAACTTCCTGTGAAACAGTTAGTGAATCTTTAATAATTCCAGACACATTAGATACAGTTGAAGTTAACAAAGATGGATGTAAGTTTTATTTTTTGTTTGTTGCTTTTTTTTATATCTTAATTTTTAATTTATATTTATAATTTGGTGTTTTTTAATCATTAATATTATTTAATTTATTTTATTAATTTAATATAAATAAATAAAGAAAATTATAAATTTTATTAATTAAAATTAAATAAAATAATAATTTTTTATCTTTTAATATTTTTTAATTTCTATTATACAATTTTCCCTATCATTCGTTTTTTATTATTGTAAATTTTTTAATAAAAAAAATTTGCTTTCCATAATTTCTGCTTCAATTAATCATATTCACGATTAAATATATTTACAAATTATATTTATAAATTAATTTATTACAAAATTATAATAAAAATAAATTTAAATGTTAAATAATAAAAAATATAAATTACTAAATAATAATAAATTAAATAATTTTTTTTTGGTTTATATAAAATATTTTCTTGCAGATTTCACACACAATGGACATCTTATTGAAATTGTTATGGATTATGAATGTGTCACGTGTCACAGAATCTTCCAAAATAAAGACGTAAGAAACATAAATTTTTATTGTTTTTAATATTAATTTTTTACAAAATTACAAAAATAATCTAATTTTCCTAAATTGACTGATTTTTTCTATTTTTGACATTTTTAATTTTATTTCATTTCAAATTTTAATATTCTATTTAATTTCAAAATTTGAAATTCTATTAAAAAAAAAAAACAAAATTGGGATATTTTTTAATTACAAAATTACGGAGAAAAATGAAATAAATTTTTTTTATTTTTTAGTAAAAAGAAGAAAAAAGTTTTTATAGTTTACTAAAAAATATGAAAATAATTTTGAATTTCTTAACAGTTGCTGACGGAGCATTTAGAAGTCTGCAGAGAGGAAGATGATGATACAAATCTTTTGGATTTGGGAAATCTCGATGAATATTATGAAACCGACGATGAAGAGGGCGATGACGCCGATGATGTCGATGATCCCAAATATTCACTTTCCGATGAAAAATCTTCCGGTTAGCAAAATTCACATTAAAATAAATATTATATTAATAATATTTATTATTGAATAAATTAATTAATTAATTAATAAAAAAAATAAAAGAAAAATTGACAAAAAATTAAATTTTATGTTTTAAATATATATATATATTTTTTTTTAAATTTCAGATTCAGATAGATTGAAGAATAATAATGAGAAGCCCGATATAAAACCAGTATCGGAAAATCAGTGTCATTGTTGTGGTGAAGATTTGAAAAATGCTCACAGAGGCGGTCCACACAAATGTTCAGAGTGCGATCTTTCCTTTAAAAAAGCATCTTCCCTTCAACGACACACAATTATTATTCATTGGGAGAATGAAAATCATACTTGCAATATTTGTGATGCAAGTTTTCGTGATAAAAAATCATTGGATAAACATAAATACACAACACACTCCACCAATAAAGTTTACAAGTAAGCAAAAATTTATTTAACTATTTTTTATATACAAATTCATTTATTTCATTGTCAATATTTAGCGAAATTTAATATTCAAAAATTCTTTTGGAATTTAAGATTTGTTTTTTAAAAGAAATTAATTAAATTTAATGGTTAATTGAAATTTAATTCAAAAATTCTTTTATTGGAATTTAGATTCGTTTTTTAAAAAAATTTGGGTCGTGATTCGAAATTTTTTATTTCAGTTGATATTTTTTTTTAGTTTTTTTTTTTTAGAAATTACGCTTTGTAAAAAATGTTAATTTGTATTTTTAATTATTTTATTTAGTATTTGAATAATGTAATTTATTTATTTGAATATTTAAAATTTCTTTTTTCAGATGCGAGCGTTGTGATAAATATTTTTCAAGAAGTTATCATTTGAATCGACATAAACTTCAATCCGGATGTCATGGAGAATTGCAAACTACATTTTCCTGTCAAGTAAATGAATTTTTTTAAAAGCTAAAATTTTTTTTGAAAAAAATTGATTTTTTCGTATTTTTTTTCTCTATTATTATTTTTGTTAATTTTTATCTCTATTTCATTGACAAAAATTTGCATCTATTTTTGTTTTTTTTTTAGGTTTGCAATAAAGAATTTACAAGAAAGGACAATTTACGTGAACATTTAAGATCACACGCGGGAAATCAGAAACGACAAAAAAAACAATGCTCACAATGTCCAAAAGAATTTTACACAACTCAACAATTAATAATTCACGAGCGAATGCACACTGGTGAAAAGCCAATTAATTGTGATTTATGTGACAAATCATTTAATTCAACTCTCGCCATGAAGAAACATCGTCGCGTTCATACTGGAGAAAAACCATATGAGTGCAAATTTGTGAGTTTACAGTTTTAATAATTTTATGCCAAAAAATAATTTCGCATTTTCTTTTTCTTTAACTTTATTATTCTCCTAACAAAAAAAAAAAGGTTTAATGCTTTTAATCTCTCAATCTTTGTCATGATTCTTTATCTGATTTCATTACAAGCAAGCATTCTGGATATACCGACAAAATCGTAAGTAAAAATCTAAAAAATAAAGATAATCTAACATTTCTAATTAACTGGAAAATATTCTGTTACCAATTTTAAGAGAAATTAAATTATAAATTAACAAAAATAAATAATTTTTTTTGAAAATTAATTTGTATTTTTTTCAGTGCAAAAAGAGATTTGCCGCTAGGGAAACATTAAATCGTCATCAGAGAATTCACACGGGAGAAAAACCGCACGTTTGTCAGTATTGCAAAAAATCATTTATACAAGCGGCACAACTTCGAGCGCATATTTTCCATCACACGGGCGAAAATGGTTTTACTTGCGAGGATTGTGGAAAAACATTTAATCGTAAAGCGCGTCTTACTGTGCACAGAAAATTTGTTCACGAAGGCGTCACTCCATTTATGTGCGACGTTTGTAAACGGCCATTCACGAGAAAAGAGGATTTGGCCAAACACACTTTACTTCACACTGGACTTAAACGTAATTAATTCATTTTTTGTTTCTTTAACAGAAAAATTCTAACGGTCAGGGAATTTAAAAAAATATATATATAATAATTATTTCCTATTTTATAAAAAATGTAATAAAAAAAAAATTTTTCTTTTTAGCTCACAAGTGTACAAAATGTGAGAAATCGTTTGCGACAAAATCATCGTTGCAGGCACATTTAAATACTCATAGACGAGAACCGCCGCAATCGTGCGCAGAATGTGGAAGAGCTTTTATTCGTCAGGATTGTTTAATGAGACATATTCGTGCAAAACATCGAGATCTATTGGAAGATATTATGGGCGAGGCGGAAAAACGACATTTGCAATTGCAACTTTTCAATATTGCAACAACAGCTGCTGAAAAACACAAAAAAGGATCGTCAAGTACACTGAGCGCTGACCAATTATTAAAAGCAATTGTTGAACTCCTAACAATTCTAATAGAAGAGGAAACGTTACAAGTGAGAAAAGAAAATCAATTGAAATACTTATTTTTATTTTTTTATTTACATATTTGTAAATTTAATAAATTTTTCTTTTTTTTTCTCCCAAAAAAAGGTTTTTGGATGGCCGACTGAACCAGTTCAAGATATTCTCGAAGCAGTGATTCGAAGATGTGGACATGTACCAATTACTGGCGATAGTGATATTCCATTTGAGGAAAGACTGAGGGAAAATGTTAAACTTTTATTTACTGTTGTTATTGAAGATCAAAATGTGAAAAAACTTCTCACGATACAAACAGTCGATGAAGTAATTCTCCATGTTCTTAAACTCTCCAATGATTTAGCAAAATCCACTGAACAATCATTCGAATCGCTATGAGAAAAAAATATTTATTTCCTAATTTTCGATATAAAAAAAAAACCTATTTTTTCACTCTTTTTTCCCTTCACATTCTTCACAGGGTCTTTTTTTAAAATATTTTGTTTTCTATTTTGAAAAAAAAAAAACAATTTTTAGATATTTTTTTTGTACAAATTATAAATAATAGGCCTTCCTGCTGTGAATTTCAATAATCGCATTTAAAAATTGTTTCTCTGTTGTCTTTTTTCTCTACTGACATTTTAAATTTACGTCTTTTGTTTTTGTCACTTAAAAAAAATATTTCTACTTAGATAATTTAGAATTATAAATTTTTTGTGTTTTTTATTCTTCAATTTTGTTTAGTTTCTTTAATTTCTGTTTGTAATTCATAATATCACGAGAGTAATTTAGAAAAAAAGGAAATTTCTATTTTAAAAAAAAAAAAATTATATTTATAAAATGTTATAAACCACAAATTGTTTTTCTTTTCTTTTCTTTTTGAAATACTTTCGTTTTATTTTGAATGAATTTTTTCTTCCTTTCTTCTTTTCAAGTATAAGTACTTGAATTAATAATAATAATATTTGAAAGACTAGAAATATTTAATAAGGGGTGGATTTATAAATTGTGTACATTAATATTTAATGTAGGAAGATGATGAAAAAAAAAACCATTCCGTACTGCGATCTTTTTCATAATATTATAATAAATTATTTAATGATAAATGATCATTGAATAAAAAAAAAAAAAAATGCGAATCATTGAAAAAAATGTATTATTTTCGATGTACAATTTACAACGTAAATACAATGGTTTTTTAATTAGGGCTTTAAGTAATTGAGTTGTTTTTTTTCACCCTTCATTTTTCTTATTTTTTTTTTTTTCTCAGGAAAAATTTTAATTTTCATCACTACTTGAATCTTCCTCTGCTTCTTGAAGCCATTTAATAAAAGGCATTACCGCTTTTTTTAGTGCTTGGACATTAGCTTCTTTTTCATCGAGATCATTTTCGTACCTAAAACAAATTTTAATTATTTTATTTATTTAACAAACAAAATTTTAAATGATGTAAAAAAAAGAAACAATTGTTAAATGTAACAATCAACAATTTAATGTTAATAATATTTAATAATTTTATTTATTTAACAATTTTATTTTTATATTAGCAAATATTAATTTTTTCTTTGTTACGAAAAAATTAATATTTGTTTTAACAATATTTTTCAATATAATCGATAATTATTTCTTTTTTTTTATTTGAAACGAATTTTCTAGTAAGATTTTGAAAAAACAAAAAGTTGTACTGGAAAATTTTATTAAATAACATTTTTCCAAAAAGCACAAATTTATATTTTTTGATAATTTGCAATTGCAATTGTTTTTTTTTTCAAAACCGGAAAAGTCCAGTAAAATTAAAATTTTTAAAAAACTTTTTTACTGGACTTGAACTTATTTTGAGCAAAAATTTAGTTTTTGAAAAACTCGAAATTCCGGACAATGAAACAAAAAAAAAAAATATTTTTAAATATAAAAAGTACAGGTTTCGGATTGACTTTTTTGACTTATTTGAATAAAATAAGATTTTTTCGACTTTTTTTGTACATTTTTTTTTTTACAAAATTTTTAAACACAATACCAATTACAAATTTTATGAAATTCAACAATTGTTTATAATTTTTTAAAAAATTCAAATATAAAATTACCAAAAATTTCAATTTAAATTTTTTTTAAATTTATTATTTTTAAAATTTTCCATCTAAAACTTTTTTGTAATTTAATAATTTCAATTATAACTCTTCTAAAATTCAATTATTTTTAATGATTTTTATAATATTCTTTAAAAATTCAATTATTTGAGAGCATTTTTCAATTAAAAACTTTTGATATACAATCTCTGTTCGTAATTTTTAATAAATTCTTCATCAAAAGAAATCAACGAAAATTTTAATCAAAAATCAGTGGAATTTTATAATTATTTTCAAAAATTTGAATTGTAAATCTTTAAAAATTCAATTAATTTTTAAAAATGTTTAAAATTATTCGATAAATTATTTTATCAAAAATAATTTATTTATAATAATAATAATAATTTTACAAAATCTTTTAAAATTTAATTATTTCTAAAAATTTCAATTAAAACTCTTCCAAAATTCAATTACTTTTTAATAATTTTAATATTTCTTTAAAAAAAATTCAATTATTTAAAAAAGTTTTAAATAAAAAAACCTCAAAATTGAATTATTGTCAGAATTTTTTTTTAAGCAATTTGTCATATTCAATTACAATTTTTTAAATTTGAAAATTTTTAATTTTAGACATTTAAAAACGTTTTTTAATTTTTTTTTCCTCGGGAATTTTGAGATTTTTTTAAAAATGAATTTATGTACAAAGTAATTCAGCGCAATATTTCTTTGTTTGTAATTTTTAAGTTTTTATATTTAAAAATTTGTTTTAATTTCTTTGCCCGGAATTTCAAAAAAAAAAAAAAAAAATGAATTTATACAAAAAAAACACAATATTTGTTTTTTTTTATAATTTTAACTTTTTTGGTCCAACTTTCTAGACATAAAAAAACCTTGAATTTTATTCACAAATTTTAATCGATTAAGATTATAAAAATTGTTATTTTTAATTATTATTCAATTGAAGATTCCAAATTAAAAACCATGTTTACATCTCTTTATAATCATTCTTCTGCAGTTAAAAAATCAAACAACAAATATTATTTATCTTATCTATAGCAAAATATTATTCATAAATAATTTGATAAAAAGAAAGATCTTTCTCAATTACATTATAATAATTCGACAATTTTTTTTCTTCTTCAGTTTTTATCGAACACTCGTCAAAAATGGAACTTATAAATATTTTGGCATCAATTACATTTGTTCTTGTTCTCATATACATTTATCTATCATGGCAATATAATTATTTCAAAAAACGAGGAATACCAACGGCAAAAGGAATAATTCCCGGATTAGGTCACAGTTTACCATTAATAACTGGTCAAAAAAGTATTGCATCATTTTACGAAAAATTCTACAACGATACCAAAGAATACAGTATGTGTGGAATATATCAATTTTGTTCACCGGTACTTTTAATTCGTGAACCAGAATTAATAAAAAATGTTCTCTTAACAAATTTCTCATCATTCAATAAAAATCCGTTTAAACTCAATTGTCCTGAAAAAGATGAACTTCTCAGTTTAAATCCATTTTTTGCGAACGAAGAAAAATGGAAGGAAGTACGTTCACCATTTACAAATAGTTTCTCTGGTATGAAATTAAAATTAATGTTTCCCCTCGTACAAAAAGTTGGTGTCAAAATAAATAATTATTTGCACAAACAATTGAAAATAAAAAATGGAATATTTGATATAAATTTAAAAAAATTGTGTAATAAATTTACGGGCGAAGTATCATCAACTGGAATGGGTATTGAGGCTAATAATTTTCATGAAGAATTACAATCAAATAATAATATGTCGTATAATCAAATAATTGATAAACTTTTTGAACCACCTTCCTCTAGTATTGGAATTCCAGTGATGATTCTATTTTTTCTACCATCATTAGCGAAATTATTGAAATTTTCCTTAACACCAAAAGTGGTTGATCAATATTTTCGACAAATTTCCAAAACAATTATCAATAAACGAAAAGAGGAGAATTTAGTTTACAATGATTTTGTACAATTTATGATGGATTATCAAAAATTACATAATACAAATGTGAATGAAGAAACATTAACAGCAGCACAAATGTTGTCGTTTGCTATGGATGTTTATGAAACAACAGCAATCACAATGAGTTATTTAATTATGGATTTGGCGAGTCGACCTGAAATTCAAGATAAAGTACGTCACGAAATTTGTACATTAATTGAAAAATATAATGGTGAATTAACATACGATGCTTTAAAAGAAATGACATATTTGGAAAAAGTTTTAAATGAATCGCAAAGAATAAATCATATTATTGGTGTATTTTTTAAAATTTGTACAAAACAAACAAAACTTGAGGGATCAGATGGATTATCATGTTTTGTTGAACCAGGACAAACAATTGCATTTTCTGCCTATGGAATTCATATGGATGAAAAATATTGGCAAGAACCTGAAATATTTAATCCAGAAAGATTTAATGACGATGAAAAAAGTACGAGGCATAAATTTACTTTTCTACCATTTGGTGAAGGGCCACGAATTTGTGTGGGAATGAGAATGGCTGTTATTTTAATAAAATTAGCAGTTTCTTCAATTTTAAAAGATTTTTCTGTTCATGTTTCATCTAAAATGATTTATCCAATGCAAAGGGATGAATCGAGTTTTCTAAATTCTCCAAAAGGTGGATTTTGGGTGAATATGCAACCATTGAAAACTGATGTTTTATCTAGTGAGTAAATTGTTGCTAAAAATTCGAAACAATAGATTTTAAAATTATTGTTATCATGTTTTCAATATTCAATTTATTGTTAGGTTACCATAGTAAAAATAAATATATTGTAATTTGTTAATATATCTTTTAAAAAGATTTTTAATCTGTATACATCTGACTAAAGACATAGAGATAAGATTTAATAAAATAATTTTAATCAATTTCTTCGATAATAATTATTTAAACAAAATTTCCCATTTAAAATATTTTTTCAAATAATTTTAAAAAAGAGACAATTTATTTATTTGTAATAACTGATATTTAAAATTTTTTAAATAAATTAATTATTATCAAAAATTACGATAGCAAATTTTTAAATTTTAATTATTTAATTTACAATTAACATTTGTAAATATTAATTTGTCTCTTTAGTCCGTCAATTTTAAAAAATAATTAAATAAATTATTTTCAAAAATCTAAATTTTTGAAAATATTAAAATAATAATAACAAAATTTAAATTTTTGAAAATATTAAAATAATAATAACAATGCAACCAGTTAGATTTTAAATAATAATTTTTGTATTTTTCAGTACTTTTTTACGAAAGGACATTGTCCGTATATTTGAATAAATGAATAAAAAATATTTTCCAAAATTTCCAATTGAAAAACTTTCAATATTTAATTAATGACAAAAAATTTTAACTGTTAATCCTCTAAAAAAATTTTTATTTAAAAAATAATACTAAAATTATTCGCTAAATTAATTATTTTCAAAAATTTTTATAAATTATTTGTTAAATTAAATTATTTTTAATAATATTGATAAAATTAATCGTTAAATTAATTATTTTCAATAATTTTGATAAAATTCTTCGAAAATTCAATTATTTTAAGAAAAATTTTTAATTAAAAAATTCTTCAAAATTCATTTATTCTTAAAAATTTGTAAACAATATTCAGTAATTCAAATTTACTAAAATTCTAATTTTAAATCTTAAATTCTTTAATTAATTAATTAAATTTCATTATTAAAACTTTTTGAATTAAAAATTCTCTAAAATTCAACTATTGTATGAAATTTGTAAAAAAAAATCATCTTCATCAATTCAAAATTATAAAAAAGAAAAATTATAAATTACTAATTTTCGGAAATTTAATTATTTCTAAAAATCTAAATTGTATATCTTAAAAAAAGCAGTTATTTATAAATGTTTATCGAAAATTCGTCACCTAATCAATTACTTTCAATAGTTTATTTATTATTTTAATAAATTATTTATTTTAATTAATTCTAAAAATAATTTATTTCAAAAAATTATCTAAAATGCAATTAATGTTAAAAAAAAATCTTCAGTAATTTAAAGTTTCAAGAAAATAATTATCAATTTAATATCTCATAAAATTCAATTATTTTTTAAAATCTAAATTATAAATCTTGAAAAAATCAATTAATTTCAATTAATTTTTTCTAAATATTTTGAACTTATTAAAGTGTTTTTGTAAAATATGTCTTGTAAATTTATAATAAATCTTGTAGATAAATATAAAATTTTTCATTAAATAAATTAATTTTTTACTAAATTTTGAAAAATCCATTTGTACAATTTTGAAAAAATTATTTTTAATCAAATTTTGTTGTCAAATAATAATTATTTAACGTTTTATATTTTTTTTTGTTTAAAGTTAGTAAACAATATTTTGTAATTTTTATCAAATTTTTACAAAACCGCATTTTGCTTTTTAAAAAATTCTCTACAAAATTGTTTATTGAATTTTGTTAACAATAACATTTTATTAAAAATCTGATTGAACAAGTAAAATTTTTGCTTTTTTTATTTATCAAAAAAAGTGGCCAAAAAAATGTTAGAGAATCTATTTTTAAAAAGCAAAATGAAGAAAAATTTGACAAACTAAAAAATTTTATAGGACTGTATAATTAGTTAATTTAAATAATAATAAGAAAGAAAACCGAGTGATAAATTCAATTATTTATAATTAAATAATAATAATAAAATTTTAATAACATTAAAATAAATATTAATTTGCAAATAAATACTATTCGATGATTTTCTCGAATTAGATGATTTAAAATAATAATTTTAATTTTAATAATAATTAAATAATATTAAAGTAATAAATATTAATTTGAAAATAAATACCATTCGATGATTTTCTCCTCAGATAGTGTATCACAATCATAAAGAAAATGCAATAAATGATGTGTGAATGGCAATAGTGCTTTTGTCGTATTGGCAACATCTTCAATTGCCCTCAAACAATCCTCCTGTGAATCTTCCGTTTTCATATAGTTGATAATAATTTTCTTAAAATAAATTAACATTCCCTTTAAAGTTTTCCTATAGACATCATCACTCAATGGACTGTCATTATTCTTCAAATAATGTGCCGGAAGTCCCAATATTGCCTTTATCACATTATAAGTAACTTCTCTTATTGCCATATTATAGGCATAACGCGATGAATTAATTTCCAATATAAGATTTTCACAATTCAATTTATCCTGATAGCCACGCGATAAACTATCAATTACCTCCGAGAGAAATATACTAACATCGTCAGGTATTGATGCACCATAACTTGCCTCACTACTACTATCCTCATTTGATTCCTCATCGTCGTCAATATTTTTATTTCCTCTCTCAGAATAAAATAAAAATTCTTCACCAGCTTCAAGAAATTTTGGTTCAAATATATCGTCAACAATAATTTCTCCATTCTCATCGCTAATAATTTTATCGATATATTCACATTTTGTGAGTTTTACATTTGCAATGACAATGCAATTATTTAAATTTATATTATTGTCTAATTTACAATTTGGCATTATTAGACAATCTTTGAGATTACATTCATTGCCTATTTTAGTGTCATTAAAAATATAACAATTCTCAAGATTTGTTTTATTGCCAATTTGACAATTACCAGCAATTATTGTTCTTATTATATTACAATTGCCATTGATAATTGAATTTTCACCGATTATTGAATTATTTTTTAATGATGAACCACGTGATATTGTTGCCGTTTGATGTTTATATGTACTATTGAGAATTGAGAGGCAGGAATAATTTTTGAAAAAATTTAATAAATCAAGTGAAAGTGGATATGCTTGTCGTTGTAAAATATCGCGTGTTAATTTATGATATGCTTTCCACGATGTTACCGGAAGTGCATATTCAGTTGGACTCGGTGATTCCCAATAAATTCGTGAATTGAGAATTTCCTCATTCAAAAGAACGCCTTTTATAAAATCCTCCATTGTCTGAAAAAATAGATTTTTTCCTATATATTGTAATTTTATTGAAAAAAAAAAATTAATTTTCAAATTAAATTATTTAATTAAAATTAATTTTTTAAGAGACGTATGAATATTGCCCAAAAATAATAATAAAAATAATATATGATTCTTTTCCAAAAATAATATAAAGTAGAATTTACATTAAAATAAATTTTTCTAACTATAAATTTTGAAATTTCTTTTTGAAAACAACTATTCTAAAATAAATTCTCTAGTTTATCTAATTTTCCTTTAATAAAATTTCTATTTCTTTAATTATTAATATTTTTTTATAAATATTTTTTATTATTTATTCTCAAATCAAATTTCTACTTTATTTTCTACGTAACAATTTTTATGTAAAATTGTATTTTATGTAATTTTTATATAGAAAAATTATCAATTGAATTTTCATTAAACAAAATTTTTATTTTAACAACATTTTCGCTTTTTTAAATTTTTATTTAACAAAATTTCTATTTAACCGAATTTTTAAAAAAGCAAAATTTTTAATTCACTGAATCTTTAGTGATTTTAAAGTTTCATTTGCAGGAATTCTTTTTTTGTTTTGATTTTGTTGCAAAATACAAAAAAAAAAGTTATCATTATTTTGATTGAATAAATAAAAGAACTATCGCAAGAAATTTGATATTTTAAAAAAAAACTTTGAAATGAAAATTCGTGAAAATAAAAAAAAAAAATTTTTAAATCGATAAATAAAAATTGCTTATAAATGAAAAATCAATTCTAATTTATAACCAAAATTAAATTAAAAATTCTGTAAAATAAAAATTCCGAAATATGAAAATTCTGTTCAGTAAAAATTAGGGTTAATATAAAATTTGATTAGAGAAAAATTCTTTTAAATAGATTTTTTTTTAAACAGAATAAATTATTTTTCAAATATAAATTCTGTTAATTATTTTTTTTTTTTAATTTTTTAAAATCTAAAAATCATATTTCAATAAGAAAATTTAGTTTTGATTATTTTCATTTATTTATTATTATTTTAGATTATTTTTGATTTTTTTCGAGTTGTTTTTCATTATTTTAATGTATTTTTTTTTAAATTTAAATGTTTGAAAATTTATAATTGATTGTTCAGAATCATAAAAAAAATTTCAATAAAGAATTAGCAATGAAAATAGTAGAAATTATCAGAAAAATACGAAAAAATTTAAATTTTTATTCATTCATGAATTTTGAATTTTATTATCTACAAAATTTTTTCTAATTTTCCATAATGTAACAACTAAAATTTTTCATTATTGTTGACTATTTAAAATTCATAACAATAATTATAAAATAGTAGGTAATAATAATAATAATAATAATAATAATAATAATAATAATAATAATAATAAAATAAAAATAATAATAAACAATAATAATAGTACTACAAAAATCTGTTTATTTTTATTTGCTTCACAAACAATTAATTGAAAACAAAATTGAGAGAAAATTATTTTGTAAATAATTTTTTTGTTTAATAAAAATTGAAAAGACGATTTTTTCTTTTTGTTAAATTCAATTGTTACAAAAAACAAAAAATAATTGCTAAAAATCTATTATTGAAAGATAAAACTCGAGATATTTGTATTAAAAAAAAGTGAAGAAAAAAAATAAAGGAACAAAATACATATTTAAATTTATTTTAATTATAATTAAATATATTTAACAATAACTAACCTGAAAATCGAAATTATCGGAGAAAAGTGGAAGCACTGCTGGTGAACAAAAATAAACATGTGAATCTAAAAGTCCCGAATTAATTCGCAAATTTTCATGATCCAAAAACCATTGTAATTCCATTTGAATTTTTTTCTCCTTACGCATTTTTTTATAAAGTAAAACTTTATTATCCTCATTATTTGATACCAATAAACATGTTTCTTCCTCGAGGCATGAATTTTGTAAATTACCAAAATTACTCAACAACAATGTCATACTATTGCCGGGATCTTTTTTTGTTTTACATCGATGCGATGTTATTAATCGTTTTAAATCAACATTTGTAAAAACATCACCGCGAATTAATATAAAATCACCTCTCACCCATCCTTTAATGTCAATATCTCTTAAAGCATCGCCTAACGAACGACAACCATCGGATATTATTGGCGTTATTATAATGTCACTTTGATTTAATGATTTAATGTAATTTTTTAATAAATCAATGTGATTACTACAATAGAGAAAAACTTCTTGAACACGCGATGCAACTAATGTTTCTATTAAATATTGAAGTAGAGGTGTATTTAAAACCGGTAATAAAATACTTGGTAATACATTTTCAAGTGGTGAGAGTTGTGTTGTAAAATCGTCGGCAAAAACAATTGCTTGTAAAACATCGTTTTTGCCTAATTTCGTATTACGATCACTTGCCGTTTTAGACATTGTGACATATGTGTGTGTTTAAAATTTCACTTGCATCAGTTTTTTTTTGTGGGTTATAAAGTGTTTTTATTTTTGTCATGTGTCAATTGTCGTCTGCTAGGGAAAGGGACATTTTTTTGAATGTGAGACGAGCTTAAAGTTACATTCCCCCTTTTTTCAAAATGAAGAGAAACCTCCCATATGTGACACTTTTTCTATTCTAGTTTTTCTTTGTTGTAAAAAAACTGTCGGGTTTTTAAATGGAGACGATAAAAATTCGTGAATTTTATTTGTAAATTTTGTTCGTACTATTTTTGAATATCTATTGTAAACCCAACTTTGATGTCACGCTAACATCTATTGCAGAATCAGCCTGCATGCCACGTTGGCATAAAAAAAATCAACGGCACGCCGAGAACTCTTCCATTTCATCATGTCCCTTCTTAGCAGTAGGACGCTGCATAATTTTACCTCGTATAATTTAAAAATTCCTTAATTATGTATCTAATTTTTTTAAACACGGGCTTAAGTGAAAAGTGTGTTTAACAAAAATTTTAAAGTACTAAAAACTCGTAAGAAGGGACAAAGTCAACAACCGGCATTTATCATCGGCAAATTATTGTATTTATGCAATAAAAATGCGATTCCAATTTCAAATCCTAATGTAAGTAATTTTAATATATTTCGTTTTAATTTTTTTTTAATTTCCTTATATGTGTTGTTATTTAAAAAAGAAGAGATAAAATTTATTAGATTTTGTTAAATAAAATTTTATACAAAATTAGAAAATATATATATTATTTTTTAATTTTGTATAAAACCTTTATTTAATCAAATTTATTGAAATTATATTTCAATGTAATATTTGTGGAAACGAACAAAAAAGAAAATTTCCAAGAGGGGACACAGCGTCTTTTTTTTCTTTGTCTGCGAAATTCGAGTTGCTCTCCCCACTTTTTAGCATAACCCCTCATTTCCAAAAGTTAGTCCCATTTATTGTTGAATTATATTTGAAATAAAAAAAAAAATTATTAATCACCAGCGTCTAAAAATAATGGCGTTTTCAATTAAATTTTTAAAATAATTTTTAAATAAATTATTAACATACAAAAAAAAACATGTAATTTTAAAGAATTTTTAAAAATTTATTTTTGAATTTGATATAATTTTTTTTATATGAATTCAATTCTAGAGAATTAATCTAACTTAAAATTTTTTTAAAAAATATTTTATTCAATAATATTTTATGAATAAGCATTAGGAAACTTTCTTCAAATCGAAAATTTTTGATAATTTCATTTCATTTAACATTTTGAGATACTTTAAATTACTTTTTCCTTTGTAGATAATTTTAATTAATTTTAATAAATAATATAATTAAAAAATAAATAAAATTTGAAATGGAAGAATTGATGATTTTTAATTCAATTCAAAACGATTTTAATTATTTTATTAAATATTTAAAATTTATTTAATTTATTTGCAATTGAAAATAATTTACCTTTTCTATTTAATAATTAAAAAATTTTCAACTTTTTTGCAATGAGTAAAAAAAGCGTGTGTAATAATTTTCGACTATTGTGCGTAGATTAAAGTTATTTACATTTTAAAACTGTTCTAAAAATTAATTAATGTATTTTTTTATTTATTTATTTATTTATTTATGTACACATTACATATTATTATTATTATTAAAGTATTATTATAAAACTTTCTCAGTTAATCCATTTTCAACTAAATAAAGTCGTTTAATATTTTTTTTTAATTTCGTACAGTAGATTTTTTAGTTTTGTCATTTTTATGTGATTTAAGTTTTAAACAAAAAATTTTTAATTAATAAAGGCATCATTAAAGTTTACAATTATATATTTTTTTAGATTCTGAAATAATGTCCGAAATTGATATTGATTTCAACATCAATGAATTAGACGAAGAAAATATCTAAAAATGCAGAATAAATATGAAATGATAGTGATGCCTATTAAAAAAAAGGGGAAAGGAAATCTATCAACAATATTTGATATGCTTGATGAAATCCACTAGCAATATCGAATATTAAAACGGAGATGCAAAAAAAAAAAAAATTTGGTGAGTAATTGCATTAAATTTAAATAAATATTATTTTTATTGCAAGACTAGTTAAATTTTCTTATTTTTATGCTTTCAATTTTTTAACTATTTTTAAAGTTTAAATAAATTTTTATTTAAAATAATACTTTTTATTAAGAAAAATTGATTTTAAACGTAAATTTAAAGTACCAATGGCAAAATAAAGCAGATTAAAATATATATTTAACCAGAAAACAGGCTAACAAAAAAATATTATAATTAAGATTAAAATAAAAATTTAAAAATATAAATTTAATTTAATAGATTGAAAATCGAGGAATTTCATTTGTTTCGCCGGAGAAATTATTTGATTCTCCAACGATACAATTCATCAAGATTACATACAATAGAAGATGAAAGAAGAAAAGAAAAATTACTCCGAAAGGAAAATTTCGCATCTGGAAGTACGATTATTAAAAATAAATAATGAAAAAGGAACCAAGATTAAATATCGAATTATTGATGCAATAATTTGGTAATGTAAAAACAAACATCTTGTTGCTTATATTTTTCGAATATATAATAATAAGCCTTTTAATGTCTTTGTTAGAACACGCAAAAGAAAAGGTTTTATAAGCGCTTTAAAATTTTTTACCATTTTTTAAAAAGTATAAATCCTTTGAGGATAAAAAAAAAACTTTTCAGTTAAGGTGGTCAATAACATACGTGGTCAATTTTAGTATGTTCGTTTTATTGTTTCATTCTTAAAACATTTGGTCTAGCTACTGAATCTGCTGTGATAATGTTATAATGTGTATAAAATCAAACTAAATTAGTTTGGACATTATATTTTTTTTCATATGTATCAGAAATTCGCAAAAGAATATGTTTTTGCAACAATTGTTAAATTGCATGTTAAAAAACCATAATGGTTAAAGTTTATTTGCAATTCGTATATACATATTTGACATTCTGCTACAAAATGACTTTTTTAGTCTAAGATCTCTTTTGTCGCAAAATTGTCACTTGTTTATATATACAATTATATTTTACTATAATCTCAATGATGCTCACTTACGTAGCTTTGTGCTACAAATTTTACTTTTGTGAATTTGTCAAAGTACAATATTCCATTCCTCACGAAACTACTTAGAGTCTAAGTCCGAAACCGATTTCAGAAACTTTTTTAAATCTTCCTAATGATAAAAAATATTCCTCATTTAATCTTAATATAATCTTTCACTTATTTATTTCATTTTATTTTTCATTTATAATGCCATTGAGGTAATTGAAATAGTAGTCTTTTACCTTAATTGGTCTTTTATATTCTCATTTTCAAAGGACGATTTTTAATTGGTTATTTGTTATGGATAAATAACCAAAAACAATTTTTCATTAATAAAACTAGCCCAGTATTCAACCTAGTAAATTTTTTTTTGTTAATAAAATTAAAATAATTTTCATAAATCATTATAATTAATTTTAAAAAGGACAATTTTATTATGTAATCCAATTTAATAAAATGGATATTTATCCAATTAATCAAATCACTAATTCATCGTTGTTAAAATTGTCTATACAAAAGTAAAACTTACTTTGTCACTATTTTTTTTGTTGAAATAAAAAAAATTCATTTGTAAAAATCATATATTTTGAAGTTGTTTCTTATTTACCTGACTGCAATTTAAATAACTTTTTTCACAAAAAAATACTTTCATTTACCTATATTTTACGATTTAATATATTTTTTTATACTTTTAAGAATCAGAAAAAAAGTTAGACAAACTGTATTTTTAAAGAGTTTATTTAAATTTTAAAAAAGCTTTAAAGAAATTTAAAAGAATTTAAATTAACAAATTTTTAAATTAGAAATTGCATTTAAATGAAAATTAAAAGTTTTTATGTCATAGAAAACGAATTAGATAACAACTTAAAAATTTTTCTAGGTTACGTTACCTATTCATAAAATTTTTTTAATTTTGATTCAAATGCAATTTCTAATTAAAAATTTTTTTTCATTATTTAAAATTTTATCGAAGCTTTTTTAAAATTCAAATCATCTTTTTCTTTAATAATACAAAAATTGAAAAAACCAAAAATAAAAGCAGTTGTTGAAATTGTAAAAATGAAACTTTATTAGGCTACATTTAAAATTCCTAACGGACGTTTTGCGTCGAACAATGATTGTAAATTCTACAATATTTTCTCACTATTCGGCTGCAGTCCCATGGCAGCGTTTTGTCACTAGACCATGAGTGTAAAAGAGATGCAGATATATGTTTGCTATGTTTACACTCAGGATCTAGTGACAAAACGCAACGCAAAACGCTGCCATGGGACTGCAGCCTTAGATATAAAGTGCCAACGTTAAAATTGTAGAAGTAGCTTGAAGTTAAGCTCCACCCACAACATATGCGTAAAAACTAGATGCGCATCATTCCCCGCCCAAAAAAATTGAAATAATACACATTCTACAATACAGAGGAACCTTTGAAATGTGACAGTCGTAGTAACTGCGCAACTATGAGTAATACACATCGAAATTTATGCGTATATTACATTTTACGTAGAGAGGGGACATGTGGTGTTATAAATTCCCAACCCTGAGGAGAAGTAAACACAAGTAAATTTTTTTTTACCGTGCTTTTTAGTTTATCAAAATGGTTAAAAACGTATCGTCAGCAAAATGTATTGTCAAAAATTGTAGAAATAGTCAAGAAAATAGTAATAAGCAGTGTAAAAAAAGAAAACTAACTATGCATCGGTAAGAAAAATATATTTTTATCCATATGTCTATTTTGAGGTTATAAATTTAAATTTAATATTCTTCGATATGTATATGTATTATAATTTAAAATTTTCTTTTATAAATATATATATATATATATATATATAGTTTTCCAAAAGATCCATCTATTAGGAAAGAATGGATAAAAATTTTACAATTAAATGGTATGGCAACTTTTACCGATAGACATCGTGTTTGTTCCGAACACTTTTTAAAACAAGATATTGATAGAAGTAGTTCATTTAGAATTAGACTGCGAAAGAATGCAATTCCTGTAGCAAGTTCTATCGTAAGTAAATAAATAATAATTTTTATTATCAACTGAAATTTTCGACGTTATTATAATTTAAAAATGATTTTTTTATTTATTTTTTTTATTTCTACTTTTTAAGTAAAAACAAAAAGAAGGGATTTAATTTTAAAATTTTATATTAAAATATTTTTTAATTAGAAAATTTTTTTTCTTTTATTAAGTTAAAAATTAATTTTTATTTGTTACACTTTTTTAAAATTATTATTTAATGATAATATATTTATTAATTATTTATTAATAAAAAAAAATATTATTTGTATTTAAAATAAATATATATTTAATTATTTATATTATACAGATAATAAAATAATAAATAAATTTATTTTTTATAAGAATGTAAACAAAATTATATTACAATTTTTTTTAGTATCCCTGTGAAATAAAAAAAGAAATTAATAATGATTCGGAATTTAGCGAATGGGAGGAAGAAAAATTTTCTCCTGAAAAATTAAATAATTTTGAATCATTTATTACACCAATTAAATGTGAAAGGAGATCAAAAACTTCTCCCACAGTGAATTGCGATACAAGTTATACAAATTTGTTAAAAATATCAGTTATGCGACAAGAAGAAAAAGTTGAGTCAGAAAAAGGTTTGTTTATAAAAAGTATAGAAATATTAAAATAATTTATACAAAAATTATAAAATATATTAAATTTTATAATTTTGAAAATTATATAAAATATAACTAAATATATTATAAATAATTTTGTAAATTATAAAATAGAATAATTAAGAAATAAAATGAAAAATTAAATTTCACAGATTTAAAATCAGAGAAATTAATAGATCGCAGAAAATCAGTTTCACCAAAAAAAAAAATAAATATTTCATTTGGAAATGGAAACAGAGAATTTATTTGTAATGATGATAATTGGGAGATAAAAAATAATGATGAGAGAATAGTAATAAAGTATTTAAATGAAAAATTACGTCTATCTCGTGTGAATATTGTATCAATGGAAAATGATATAACAAATTTAAAAGAACAAATAAAAAAATTACAAGATTCAGTGACTGATTATACTATGACGGTCAAAATTTATTGAAGCTATATATTTTATAATAATAAATAGGTAAAGTATATATCATTGAAATAATTTTTTGCCTAAAAATTTAATTAATTAATTTATTATTATTTATAAATTATTTTTAGCAAAAGAAAAGAGAATTTACTAATGTGATCAAAATGCAAAAAAATAATTTTTCTAAATCGATTTTTTTTTGTTTTTTAAACATATAAAAAGAGTCAATTTAGAAGAAAGAAATTTGTTGCGTTTATCTTTTACATTTTTATCACTAAAATTTAACAGTTTAATTAATTGAGAAATTTAATTAGGTTTTATTTTTCAGATTAATTTTCAACTTTTCATTAAATTATTTTTATTGACGACATTCCAATGGATCTTAATTTCTACTAGTCTACATTGTATTATTATTTTAAAAAAGAAATCATGAAGTACAAGTGCATGTAATTAAATCTTGTAAAAATCTATAAAATGGAATAGAATTTATAAGAAAAAAAAAAGATTTTTTTTTTTAGGTAAACAATCAATTATTATAATTAAAACATTCAATGTATAATTATGTAAATTTTTAAAATAAATTCTTTGTAATAACATAATAAAAAGAAATAAAATTTTTGTAGAAAATATTTTTTATATTTTTATTTATATTGGATAATAAAAATCAAAAAAATACTCCATAAACTATCGATAGAAAATAAAGAGAAATTTTTGAATTTATTGAAAAAACAAAGAGAAATATATTTTTAAATTTGTTGAAAAAAAAAACAAAGAAAGTATCGGTTATTATTTTACAAATAAAAAAAATTAATTAAATAAGAAAACTAATTTGAATTTTTATATTTTAATAATATATCTACACATATTGAATATTTTACGTCAACTACTTTCTATAAAAAAAAAAAAATTACAAAAAACAGTTTTCTGTCATAAAAAACGTTTTATAAACATTAAATATTTTTTTTTTATTTTTAAATTTACTTCTGTCATTGAAAAATGTATTAAAGAGCCCGTTAACACAGTTGGCCCATTAGCTCAGATGGTTAGAGCGTCGTGCTAATAACGCGAAGGTCGCGGGTTCGATCCCCCCATGGGCCAGTATCTTTTTTTTGCTAATATTTCAAAAATATTAGCAGCGCAATAGAAACATTTTTTTTCATAGAAAAAAGTATATTCTATGTTTTTTTTTAAATATTTTTTGTTTTATAAAAGATTACAATATTCGAAAAGTTCTATAGAAGTTGAAATTAAATATATAACATATATCGATCCAGGCAAATGGTGCTTCTATTCACCAATGATAATTTTAGGCAATAACTTTTATAAATATTTATTAAGAAATAACAAAATCTCAGGAACATATATATATATATATCGGTAAAGAGATGTTCCTTTAACAACCTTAGACATGGACTGAGCTCGTAGTCCCCACTCATTATCCCTCCTTCGTCAAGGAGGAGGTTAAGACTACCAAATTATACGTCAAATAAAATACCTTGTCGCCACAGTTCTATTGCGCGACTTCTTCAATATGTATGAAATAAATAATAATAATACAAAAATAAATGAAATTAAGCTTGACTCACATTCTCAGACTGGAGTTGAACCTCTGAAATGTGGCACTTTTCTCACTCATGGTTTAAGGTGAATTCAGAATATACAATGCAAATTAGAGTGGAAGTAAAAAATTATAGGTTATATTTTGAAGTAAAAATACACAAAGATGATTAACTCTTAATACAAATCAATTATGTTTGTTATTAAGTTTCATTATATGAAAATAATCAAGAAAAATTGATTTGTATAAGAAATTTTTAGTATTTTTAGTATCAGCTAAGTTTATGAATGTTTTATAAACAACGCCATCGTTGATCACTGCAACAGCAATAAAATCATCCCGGATAACCAATTTGGATTCAGACAGAAACATTCAACAATACACGCCTGCAAAATACACCTCTAGGTCAAAAAGGAACCGACAGATAGCCCCTTCCACAGATGGAATCAAAACAAAAAATAAATTTCAAGCCCTGGCTGATTTAAATGATGGAACAACAAGCAACGATATAGATATAGATATAGAAATAGCAGATATGGAAACTGACGGAAACAATCAGGCAGAAAATATTAACACAAATGAAACTATCCCTCAACCACAAAACAAAAAAAGAGTGCCTCCTATTCACACCATTAACACAAATCTTAAACAAATACGTGATCTTTTAAATAAAAAAAACATCTTATTCAGATTAAAAGAAATTGATTCCACATCTATAACCATCAACAGCAACAATATTGACAGTTATAATGCAATCATCACAATCCTAAAAGAGAAATGCGTAAGTTATTACACTTTTACCCCAAAACATCTCAAACCAATCTCATTGATCCTCAAAGGAATTAGAGGTAATTTTGAAGCCAAAGAAGTGGAAGAAGAAATCGAAGCACTAGGACTAGATAATGTTAAAATTATAAAAACCTCCAAATTCGTCTTTGACAAAAATAATCCTGAACGATACCACTTTCTGATACAATTAACCGCAGAAAGCTCTGCTAAAAATCTTATAAAGGAAAAATTTCTTTTGCATCAAAGAGTGTATTGGGACACGTTAAGAAAAAAGGAAATATTTCAGTGCAGAAATTGCCAAAGGATAGGACACGCAAGCAGCAACTGCGCACTTGGATTCAGGTGCGTCAAATGCTCAGAAAATCACGGACCCAAAAACTGCCCTCTTGAAAAAACCACAGACATCAACAATCTGAAATGCGCAAATTGTGGACAAAAAGGTCATCCTGCTTCGTATAAAGGATGCCCATATTTAAAATTCCACAAAAATATACTGACGGAAATAAAAAACAAACCGAATTATCAGCAGAAAAATCCCAGACAGTTCATAAGTACATACACAAAACAAAACCAATCTTATGCTCAAGCCATGCAACCAAACTCTATAAGGAACAATCCAGCACCATTAAATAATACCAATCGTGAACAACCTAATATCACTAACGCACATAAAGATCAAGAAAGTAACTTGACAACAATAAATTTGTCACAACTTTACCAAATTCTCAATCAATTCCAACAAGATATTTTACAAAACATTCAAACTCAAATGCAAGAAATCAAGGATCAAATTCGAACCAACGCAGATAATATAAACACTCTCTCCCGCGAAATTGACATACAATGGAGTTAAACAACCACACACTGAAAATAATTTCCATAAATGTAAATTCTATTGTCACATTGCAAAGACGCAATGAATTACTCAAATTTATCAATGATAATAACCCAGACATTCTACTTATTTGTGAAACCAAATTAAAACCACACCATACAATAGAGTTCAAACATTACAATACAATAAGATCTGACAGATTGTCAAATAAAGGAGGAGGAACTGCAATACTGATAAAAAGAAATATTCAATTCGAGACAGTTTTCACAGCATCATCTCGAAATAACAATCTCCTACAATACACCATCATCAAAATAAACAGGAAAGGCGACAACCTTTTTGTAATAAGTGCATACGGAACCAATAGCCACCATGTGGAATTTATCACCGAATTAAATGATCTCTATGACAAACTTAAACTCTCATCTCCAGAAAACTATTTTATAATCGCTGGGGACCTCAACGCACGGAATCCAAATTGGGGCGATGCGAAACATAACCAAAGAGGCCTCTATCTTTACTCATGGCTAAACACTGAAGGAATCACCTACAAAACCAAATTAATATCACCTATTACACCAACTTATGGAACTTCCTCGTACCTAGACATCTGCCTTGCAGACAACAGAATCCACTTTGAAAACCTCATCAACTCAAAAATGAATACACTACACTATGACAGTGATCACAAAGCAATAGTGTTAGAAACAAAACTTACGGAACCATTACCACAATCTACAGAAAATAATATTAAACTATATAGATGCACCGACTGGAATAAATTTCAAAACATAATCTCAAAACAACTGAAAAATCAAATACCACAGAACAGAAATCTCTCCATACCAGAAATAGATAACCACATATTAAAACTCGACAATATTATTAGAAATGCCCTCGAGAAAACCGTACCTCTCAGGAAACCAGTGGACAATATGACAAGATACCTCAATCATAAAATTGTTAATCTCCATAAAGAAAAATCTTATTTACTCACTAAAATGCATAAGCTGCAAAAAAGAAAAAATTCCTTAAATATTACAGAAATAAATGATATCAAAAACAACATTAAAGGATTAAACTACAAATTAAAATATGAATACTTCAAAGCAACCACTACAAAATGGGAAAATCTTATAAAATCAATAAACATCCATAACTCTAGTGAATTTTTCCCAAATATCAACAAAATCTTCAGGAAACGTTCTCCCATAACAATAGAAGATCTTCACATAGACTCGAATTCAACACTTCTGCAGAAAGCAAATATTGATTCACCGGATATCAATACACCTCATAATAAAATAATCATTACAGACCTGCAAAATAAATTAAACATAATCGGAGCGCACTACGAAGCAATAAACTCACCAAGATATCTAAACAATAACACCAGATTAAAAGAACTTGTCGACGAAGCAGCCAACAAAATCAACATCGAATTTAACCTTACGAGAAATAATAATCTGACACTCGTAAACTTCACAGATGACAACCCTGCCGCTGAGCCTACAATAGAAGAACTAAAAAATAACTATTTTACGTCACCCGAAAAGCTTGCCAAAATCTTTAAAAAATTACCCAGGAAAACTTCTTTTGGTTTAGATAACATTCCTCCAATAGCTCTTAAATATATACCTAATATGTTAATTGTGCAATATGCTATAATATTTAACAATGCACTAAATCATTATTATTTTCCTAAACTTTGGAAAACCGCCAAAGTCATACCTATACCCAAAAAAGATAAAGACTTAAAAGAACCAGCAGGTTATCGGCCCATCAGTCTAACTCCAAGCATAAGTAAAGTTTTCGAATGCATAATAAACAATGCCATCAATTACTTCTGCAAACAACATAATGTTATCCCACACAACCAATTCGGCTTTCGTCAAAAACACTCAACTATACATGCTTGCAGTAAATTAATTAATGATGTCTTCTTTCATCTCAACAAGAAAGAAATGGTCGGAGCAGTCCTCATTGATCTGGAAAAGGCTTTTGACTCAGTATGGCTCAACGGATTGATTTTTAAATTAATAAAAAAGAACTTCCCTATTCACCTTATTTACATTATCCTTGATATGATACACAACAAACAATTTGTTACATGCAACGGTCAAGCCACATCACAACACATCTACAAAATAGCCGAAGGACTTCAACAGGGAACAGTGAATTCACCAGTCTTATTTAACATTTTTACAAGCGATTCTCACAGCATTTACTCCCTCAATAGCAATAACAACACATATTCAATCACGTATGCTGACGATAAAATTATATACGTTGGAGGCAAGAGCATCAAAGTAGTACAGAACACACTCCAATCTTTAACAAATAACATTAATGACTATTATAAAATATGGAATTTAAGGATCAATCCAAACAAATGCGAAACAATACTATTTCGCCAGACAACTCGAATCTTTTCAGAAACTGGAAAAAAAAAAATCAAACAATTCTCGATCACCGCAACTAATCCCGATACAGGAATCGCTTCTGCAATACAACATAAAAATACAGTCAAATACCTTGGTGTCCACTTGGACCATTTAACAAGACTGCGAGCACTCACCTCACCACACAACTGAACAAAGCAATTTCGCTTTTTAAAAAATATAGCAATATCTTCTTCCAAAAACACCTATCTGCAAGGGCAAAAATCATATGCTACCTTCTGCTCATAAGACCGATAATGACCTACGCAGCTCCAATTTGGTGGAACTCAAGCGCCTCGATATTGGAACTCTTTAGAGCTTTCGAAAGAAGATGCCTCAGAATCTGCCTTAATATGAATCGCTCTAAACACAGCGAATTCATGAAATACCACAGTAACTTCGAATTATACAATAAAGCAAAAATACCAAGGATAGACAACTTCATAATCAAACTCAACCGAACTTTCTTCAGCAACGTTATCACAACTGATAACAAATTTATTGACAATCTATCAGCTATACCAATCAACTATACTCAATACCTACAGAGTGGCTATATTCCAATACAATGCTTTCTCCAACTAGATCACCAAGGAATGATACAAGACGAAAACAATATTCCTATTATATATCATATATCAAGACATAGGAACTCCAAAAGCTTACCGTCCACTTACGAGGATATGAAGAAACAACATAATGTCTACAACACCACAATCTCATTACAAGACTTCTGTAACAAGGACAGAATAAATAACAAAAAATACTGGTGGATCCCACGAGACAGTATGCATCTTGATGAAATCAGGAAACGTGCTAAAAGAAAAAAATCGGATCAGGACAATGACTATCTAGAAATCTTTCATCCATCAATTCAATAATTGTAACTAATAGTGAAAATAAGTGCCATTATAAAATATAGTGTGTGATTATAAAATATAGTGTGTGATATTTAAAGGTTGACTTTCTTAGAGACTACAAATTGGATTAATATTTAATTTTCATATTTTCTTTTTTTCTTTTGTACATACATCTTTCCTTCTAACTCTCTAATTTTACTTCGTTTCATATAAAACGTCTCCACAAGAGTTTTTGTAATCTGCATTTCTCTTTAAGGATTTAAACTTTCACATAAATTTCTGCATTGTGCATTAATCAAACGATATTGTTATAAAACCAAGACAAAATAAAATGTCAGCGAAAGAACTTGGTACGAGATAAGACACGTTTTTCTTACAATTACCAATATATTTACATCATAGAGTTAAGGTCTTTTTTGTAATTTGTTTGTGCCTTCAAATTGTAAACATGGTTTATTGAGAAAAAATAAATAAATTATTTAATAAAAAAAAAAAAAAAGTTAGAGCGTCGTGCTAATAACGCGAAGGTCGCGGGTTCGATCCCCCCATGGGCCAGTATCTTTTTTTTGCTAATATTTCAAAAATATTAGCAGCGCAATAGAAACATTTTTTTTCATAGAAAAAAGTATATTCTATGTTTTTTTAAAATATTTTTTGTTTTATAGAAGATTACAATATTCGAAAAGTTCTATTGCGCGACTTCTTTAATATGTATGAAATAAATAATAATAATAATACAAAAATAAATGAAATTAAGCTTGACTCACATTCTCAGACTGGAGTTGAACCTCTGAAATGTGGCACTTTTCTCACTCATGGTTTAAGGTGAATTCAGAATATACAATGCAAATTAGAATGGAAGTAAAAAATTATAGGTTATATTTTGAAGTAAAAATACACAAAGATGATTAACTCTTAATACAAATCAATTATGTTTGTTATTAAGTTTCATTATATGAATATAATCAAGAAAAATTGATTTGTATAAGAAATTTTTAATCAAGGTAAAACTTGTAAACATAACCTATAAATAATTCGTTTGCTTCTAATGTCCCTTTGCAACGCGTCACAGTTTTGATTTCACTCTTATGGTGCACTCATATTTTTTTGGCTGCAGGTTACCATGTCAACGCACGAGTGTGAGTGAGACAGAAAATTTGAATATTCAAATTTTCGCACTCACTCTTATGCGTTGACATGATAATTTACAGGCAGCCAAAAAGATGTGAGAGCGCCTTTATAGTTGTCACCATGATCAAGGGCTACTAGAAGTATGTTACCTACCCAACCCTGGTGAACACAGCCTTAAATTATTGAAACAAACCAAATTCTGCAGTCATGAGACAGAAAGAAGAACCTAAATATACCTCTCTTTTTCTATTTTATTCTTCGTCATGATTTTTGCCCCATGAAAAGTCACCCTTATTTACAAATGTCAAATACAAAATCAGAAACCACCCCTTAGAAAACATCCAATCAGCATTGAACATACTGCTGTATCAACCAATCACTGTATACTCACATGTGAACACTCACGAACGTGCGTATAGTAATTATCATATAAAACTCACACATTAACACATGCTCATAAAACACCTTTTTTTTCATGTATCACGACTATAGACGCTTCCTTTCTTTTTTCGAAAAATATTGTCAAATTCAATTTGCTTTTGACTTTCTCATAAGTCAAATTAAACAAATAACAATAATTAAAAGTGAAATACGGTGAATTTAATGTTTAAACGACGAATAATAAAATATTCGAAATAATCGAATTTTTTTTGTAACTCTTTTTTGGAGTCATCACTTGTCAAAATTTATTGACCATAACCTCAACAATGACAACGGAAGCGACAGTTCTTTTTGCAAAGCTAGAAGCTTTAAAAGACATAAGGTAAGTGAAAATAATTTTTTTTTTTCAATTAAAAAAATTTTATTATTTAAATTTATAGCTTTTTTAAAAATTATTTTTTTTTATATATGTAATTTATTGAAAATATAAATTGAAGTAAAATTTCAAGATATGCTTTTTTGATTTCATGTTAATGTATATTAGTGAAAAATTAACATGTAATTTAGAAATAAAAAATTCGTTAATAAAATATGATAATATTGACAAAAACATTGTTGATATTTAATGATTTTTCCATATACCTATATATATATATATATGTATAGAAAACAATAGACAAAGAGGGGCGTGAAATTTCTTGAAATAAAAATGTCAATTTACAGATGTCGCTTTTGTAGGGCGGTAATTTTAAAATTTTTCTTTGTTACGTACCTTTAATTATTTTTATTATTTTAACGTTGTTGTTATTATTATTATTATTATTATTATTATTATAAATAATAACAATTAATAATAAATAAAGTTATAAAAATGAATATTTTTGAACATTTTAGAAATTTTATTTGAGATAATGAAAATTCTTTAAAATCTAAACGATTGATTGTTTAGAATCACTAAAAAAGAGTATTAAAAAATTTAGCAATGAGAAATGATAAAATTTGTAGACAAAGAAGTTTAATAAATTTTAATTTTTTCAGAATTTCGTGTTTTATTTGAAAAATTATTAACAAATTTAATTAATTTAAATATAATTTAATTAATTTGTTTTTAATTTTTTAAATTATATTTATAATAATTTTAAATACTAAATATTGTTAAGAAGAAAATTTATACCACCTAAAAAAAAGTTAATTAAAAAATTAAAAAATTACAATAACAAAAAAATTATTACTTGGCAAAATTAAATGAAAATTAATTAATTAAAATTATTATTAGTTTACAATAATAAATATTTCATTGTTCAGATCAAAAACTGTTCAATTAGAAAAAGTAAAGCAAAGAATTGTTCAGGAAGTTGAACAAACAGAACAAGAGGACAAATGTTTATTTGAATATAAACAAGAAATGAATTTATTGATGCAAGAAAAAATGGCACATGTCGAAGAACTTCGACAAATTCACGCTGATATAAACACGGTATTTCTATTTTTCATTTTTAATTAAAAAAAAAAAAAAAAAAAAATTTCTCTTCACCAAAATATTGTAATATTATTATTATTTTTAAAATATTTTCTCTTTTTCTAATGAAGGAAAATAATTTTAAAATTAATTTAATTTTTTTTATTTTATTTATTAAATAGAAAAAAATTATTATATTATAATAATAAAAAAAATATATATTATAATAAAATAAAATATTTATTATAATAATAAAAAAATTTAATATATATTTAAGATGGAAACTGTGATAAAACAAGCCGAAGAATCGCGAAACAGATCAAGAGAAACGGCAAAAATGATTCACATAAACGATTATCAACCTTTGAAACACGATATTGATCGTATGAGAAGAGATTATTTAGGTCTTGAGAGATTGCCGGAATTATGCGAAGTTGAATCCGATCTTATTTCTTCCGAGTAAGTCAATTTACAATTTTTTTTTTTTTAATTACAACAAATTTTGTTCGAAAGAAAATAAAAAATTGTTTTTTTTTTAATCTTTTGCATATTTTACACAAAAAAACATTTTTTGTTATTTAAGGAAAAAAAAAGTAATGTAAATATATTTTTTTAAACAAAAATTAATAATTTGATTTTAAAAAAAAATTGTTGAATTATTAAAATTAATTTAAGAAGAAAAATTTTTTATCACTTGGTATATTAAAAATACAAGTGAGTGATAAATAATGTTTGAAAAATGATTTTTTGTCCCCCTTGTAGTTATTTCGATCGTCCCGTACAAAAATCTGAATGGCGAATGGACATTCGCAATGAGGAAATTATGTCTTCCGTGAATATTCATGGACATCCGGGTCATCCTGGTGGAAATACATTTCTTGCTCCGCAGCCACTTCAAGGATCAAGTAAAATTGAACAGAGGCCACTACCTCCTGCTCCTTGTCCACCTCCAGGGCCCACATTCAGGTATTCCTGGTATAACTCAATTTTTCTCTGCAAACATTTTTTAATTCCATTATTTAATATTTATTCATTTTTTTTTTCACGAATTATCAATATAGCTGAAAAATTTTTTTTTTTAGACAATTATATCCATTCGGTAAACTGTTTTCTCCTTCAAACAAAAAAAAACTGAAAATAAATAAAAAATTTTGTAAAAAAAAAAAAATTGAACATTAAAAGAAATCGAAAACTATATTATTGAAAAAAAAAAAATTGGAAAAAGTTGTACAGTGGTTTGCAAATGCAAAAAAAAAATAGTTTTGAATATTAAAAATTTATTTATGTTTTTTTTTTAAATTTTTTTAATCCTGAGAATTTATTACTCAAAAATTTCGAGTATCTGCAAAAGTAAATTTTCAAAATTTTCTTTCATTCTCCTAAAATTTTTGGCATTAAATTTTGTTTCTAAATTTTCCCAATTTTTTTTATTATTTTTAAGTAGTAATAATTATTAAACAAAGCCAAAAAAAAAGAATCAAACCGCTTTTTACATGTCAAAAAAAAGAATAATAGAGCTTAAATTTTCAAAAAAAAAAAAAATATTTAATTTTCAGGCAACAACCACCGCCAATGAAATCGTGTCTCTCCTGTCATCAGCAAATTCACAGAAATGCGCCAATTTGTCCTCTTTGTAAAGCAAAATCACGCTCACGAAATCCCAAAAAGCCAAAGAAGAAAGACTAAACCCAGAAAAAAAAATAATTGAAAACTATGTGTTCGATATCCCGGTTTTTTTTTAAATTCAATTTAAAATGCAATACACAATGTAAACGGTATTTATAGAATATTATAAAAAATTCCAATTCATTACAAAAAAAAAAATTTATATATAGAATTTAGAAAAAGAGAAAAAATCTTCCAAGACTGTTTTAATTACTAATCGTATTTTAATCGCCATAAACATAAATTACTTTCTTATTGTAATTAAGATTTTTAAAATCTTCCATATTACTTGGTATTTTAGATAATAATTAAAAATAAGTAATTTTTAAGTTATACTTACATTAAAAATTTCAATGATGATTTAACTATATATATATATATAGTTATAATAGTTATTAATTCTTGAATTGTTATTATTTAAGATTAGAATTTATATAATTAGTAAATTAAAAGAAAAAAATGTGTTTTTTTGTACTGCTTTAGTTTTGTCTGAAAAAAATTTTAACCGACTTTTTTTTGTGTTACTTTTTCCGCGAATAGAATATTAAAATTAAAATGTGTTTTATTTATAATTGAACAATAAATAAAATGAAAAAAAAATTTTCTTGTGTAAATTATTTAAATTTTGGTATTATTTTTTAGAAATAATAATTTAAGTTGTAGTAAACGATTTTATTAATTAATGATAATTTTCAAATTTAATTATCATAAAATAAAATAACAATTACATTGTTTTTATGTACAAAATAAATTGTTTCAGGTAAGTAATATTATCTAATAATTTCCCGGCCTCTGATTGACTTTAAGGCACAAAAAAAGTCGTTTTAGTCGATTTATATTACAAAAAATTCGATTTTTTTATTTTAACAAAATTTAATTGGTTAATAAATATTTTACTTTAAATAACTAATGTTATTAGATATTAAATTCATTTTATTAATTCTGTTATGAAAATAATTCTATATAATAAATATTATCAAGAAAATTTATTTTGAATATTACAGAATCGAACTAATTGTAAGACAGATTTTTAAAATTTTATATAAGTAGGACAAATTTCTTAAAAAAAAATTCTTAAAGTTCCATTTTTATAATTTTTTTAATTCTGATATAAGCAATTTATTCGAATTTAAAATTTTGTCATAGTTTTTAGTTTTGATGGTCAACAAAATTTCAGGCATTACTTAATAAAGTTTTACAGATTTTTAAATAAATATTTTTTTGAAAATAATAATAATTTTGGAAGAGTTAAAGTTGAAATTTTTAGAAATAATTGAATTGAAGATTTCGTTAATTTTCAGACAATAATTAAATTTTACAGAACTAAAAATAATTTATAAAATAATTTTAGATAAAATTTTTTACAAATAATTAAATTCCAAAAGTATTTTTAATTTGAAAAATGTTTTCAGATAATTGAATTTTCGAAGAATATTATAAAAATGATTAAAAATAATTGAAATTTTTACAAGTTAATTAAATTTCAAGTGATTTTGAATTAAAATTTTTTGGTAATTTTATTTTTTAAATTATAAACAATTATTAAATTTCGTAAATAATTTTAATTGAAAAATATTTTAAGATAATTGAATTTGTGAAGAATTTCATTAAAGTTATTAAAAATAATTAATTTAATGAAGAATTTTATTTGAAAAATTTGTTAAATAATTGAAATAAAGAAAATCTGCATTGTATACTTTAAAAAAAACGTATTTTGTTTAAAAATTTTGCAAAAAAAAAAAAATATAAAGAAAGTCGAAAAAGTCGCATTTTATAATGATAAAATAAATGTAAAATAAAATTTTACACCTTTTATGGGAAGTAAAAAAAAAATAATTGGTGTAAAATATTGAAAATACACCTTATATTACCTACACTTATTTATTTCAACTTATTTAAAAAAAAAACACAATAAAAAAATTACAAACTTTTCTGTAACATTTGAGCATATCTAGTTGTGATAAAAAGAGATGTATCTATAAATCTATCGACACAATTTTTTAAACATTTCTCTGTTTTACTCTCCAATTTCGGGGATGGTCGATCAACGCATACGTCCCAACATATACTGTTAAACTCGTGCAACTGTAATTGAATAAAAAAAAATACAATTTTTTTTTTAAAATAATTACATATAAATTTAAACAAATTATTAATTTTTTTTAAAATGCTTGAAAAATTTTTAAGTTCAATTAAATAAAGAAAAATTTGAGTTAGAGCAAATTTTTATGATTTGAATTTTCAAAAATAAGTCTTAACTTAAAACTCGAGGAATTTATTTCTTTTTTGTTCTAATGGATGTTAATTATATAATTTTTATGATAAAATCCTGTTTTATAACAAATTACTTGATTAAAAAAAGAAAACAGTAAGATACTTTATAGGAATCGATTTTTAAATAATTGTTATAATAAAAAATAAATTTTAGTCGATTTTAAATAAAAATATACTACTTGAATTCAAAAATCATAAAAGTCGTATTTTGTTAGAATATTTCGAAAAAGTTGTACAATTCGAAGCGACTAATTAAAACGATTTTATTTTCAATATCACAATTAAATAAATAAAATAAAACATAAAATCGCCGAAACTATAAAAAAAAAAAGAGTTAGGCAAAGAAAATTATTCTTCAAAAATTGACAAAAAAATATTAACAAATTTACTTTAATGTTATAATTATTTTTAACATAAAATATTTACCACAAAAATATTCCAAAATGAAAAATATTTCACTATAAATTGTATTTTTTTCCATCAAATTTTAGTAAATTTTAAAACAATTTTATATTATAATAATTATTTATAAAGACTTCGTATATATTTCTAACCTCAAAATTTGTCAATAAAGTGATGAAATTTTACCTTCGAGTTAAATTCCATTTGAGTTTTTTCCGTTTCTAATAAATCTTGAAGTTCGCTTTCAATGCCTTTTTGTTTATCATTATTGTCAAAACTGGTACTTGAAAAGGAATCTGACATTTTTATTTTATTTTTTTTTTCAAAGTTTTAACACGCGATTTGAAGGATAATTCCAAGAAAATGAATGCCGCTTTTGGTAGCAAGTAATGCGCATGCGTGAAGCTTTTAACGCGCACGTGTTTGTCAAACCTAACCTAAAAAATTGTAAATAAATGATAAATATCATATATAATTAAGATCGCGTTTATTTTTTGAATTGTAAAATAAAAAAATTAATCATAAAAAATCAATGCTAGTGTTTTGAGTGAAATAATAAAAGTTTTGTGTTTTTTATTATATTTTTTTTATACGATTAAAATAGAAAGGGGAACAAAATATGAAGGAAACAGTTTTATCTCATTGTGAACGGAATTTTGTCAACAAAGCAATTTCCTTTGATACGGTATTTATAAGTTTTATTATGAATTTTTTGATTTTTTTACTTTGTCTCTATGATAAATTTTGTCACTTTTTTTATATTTTTATTACTTACAAAAATTATTATAATTTAAATACGAAAGGGACATTTTTTTTTTGCCAAAGAAAATATTGAAAATTAATTAATTAATATGGAAATTACAAAAACTAAATTTTTGTAAATAAATATTATTATTATTATAATTATATTATCTATCTTTTAACTATATATGAAAAATAATATAGTTATTATTGTTTTTAGTATTAAAAATTTGCTCTTTATATGCTTCTTTCAAAAAAAAAATATAATTTTGTTTTTTTCTTTTGTTATAAGAATTTTCTTATTTGAATTTGGGATTTTTGTTTTCTCATTTGCAGCGTTTAGATGGGAGACAATTTCTTGAAGCTCGACCAGTGAAAATTTATTTCGGTTCAAACTGGGGAAGTTGTTTTGTAACTTTAGGACGAACCAAGTAAGTTATAAAAGCGTAAAAAGGATTAGAGTGAAATTTTTTTTATTTATTATAATATTTATCAGAATTAATTAATTATAATTATAATAATTTATAATAATTTACAATAATATCGGGTATTGTATTATAAATTTGAATAAAATGAGAGGAATAATTTTCAAAAAAAAAAAAAAATGAAATAATTTTCTAGGGCTTTTGCTCAAGTTTCATGCGATATTCAAGCGCCATTGGGATCGCGACCAAACGAAGGCACTTTACATATTTATGTTAATTTAAGTTCATTTGTTACTCTACAATCGGAAACATCGAAACAATCCGAAAATGTAGCGTTAATAAATAGACAAATTGAAAAATGTATTAAGGACTCAAAATGCGTCGACTTGGAATCACTTTGCATTGTTGCCGAGAAAAAGGTAAATTATATCAAATTATTATTGTTTTTTATTTAAATTAAATTAATTAATTAATTGCATTTAAATTTAATTAAATTAATTTAATGAATTACTTGCATTTAAATTTATTTAATTCCCTTTAAATTTATTATGTTTGTAAATTAATTATTAGAAAATATAATTTAATGATAAAAAATTAATTTAGTATTACAAAAAACAATTTAAATTAATTAAAATGTTTATATTTTTTTAGTTAAAAAAATAAATTTGAAAATTGATATTTTTTGCTAATGGAATTTAAAAGCAAAAAAATCAATTTTGCCATTGGAAAATTGGTAATTTTTATTTATTTCTCTTTTTTTAGGTTTGGGACATAAGAGTTGATATAAATATTATAAATCACGATGGAAATTTAATTGATTGCGCATCAATAGCAGCAATTACAGCACTTTCACATTTTCATCGACCCGATGTTACTTGCGACGGTGAAGAAGTGACGATTCATTCATTTTCAGAAAGAGATCCATTGCCATTGACTATTTATCACTATCCAGTTTGTGTTTCTTTCATTGTATTCGAAAAGTGAGAATCGTTCAATTTTTTCCCCAAATTTATATTATTATATTTACTACTATTTTTGAAAAAAATTTATCTGAACGGAAAAAAATTTTTTGTTCAACAAGAAAAAAAAAATAAACAAAATTTCGAAATGAAATTTGAATGAAAAATAAATATATAAACAGAAAGAATTAATTTTATTTCTTTTTTTTTTTTAGCGGTTATACGGTAATTGATCCAACATATTTGGAGGAAAGAGTTGGAGTTGCACAATTAACAATGGGCATTAATTCATATAGAGAAGTTTGTTGTTTACATTTTGATTATTTAACCGAAACAACATTAGCCGTTGATGTAATTCCTTCTGTTTCGGATTTTGCTGCTTATTACGCGAGTCAACTTACGAATTTAATTAAAGATGTTGTTCAAAGGGATATCAAATCAAGGTGAAATATATATTTTTTTTATTTAACATTGATATAGATAAAATTTATTAATTGAAATACAAAACTAAAATTTTATTTAACATATATATAATATATTAATATTAATAAAATAATATTTCAATATTTTAATATTAATATTTATTTATTTATTTATAAAATTTACAATAATATATTGTATTAAGTCCAATAATTAATTATATAATTATAATATTAATTTTTTTAAATAAATAGTAATTATAATTATTTATTTACTTTATGTATAAGGTAATATAAAATAATCCATTTTTTTAAATTATAACATTACTTAAAAAATTTTAGAAATACTGAATTTTGAAATAAATAAATAATTTAACTTTTTGTTTTAATAAAGAAATTCTTAAAAATTTAATTTTTCCGCTTATATTAAAAATTTTGGTCTAAATTTCTTCATTTTTTCAAATTTAATTTTTTTTTTTTTCTCAAAAGGTACGGAAAATTGAAAATTGAAGGCGGTCCTACATTCAAAGATTGTATTACAGAAGACAAAGTCACGGCATTGAAGGCTGAGAAAATAATTATTCAATTATCCGCATGGCATACCGGCATTATGCCCAAACGTCCAGGTATGTTTCATTTTTATCATTTTACTTTTTTCAATTATTTTAGAAATTTGACAAAAAAAAAAAAAAAATTGATAGAAATAAATTTATTTTTTATACATTTATTTTTAACGCTTTCAAATTTTGTTAAATGCATTCAATTTTTATTGCCCTCCAATTTGTAATCTAATTTTAAGTTTCTACTTCAAATTAACTCAATTTTTAGTTTTTAAACAATTTTAATTTTTGTTCTTTATTATTTTATTAATTTTTTTTTTCTTTAAATGCATAAAACAATTTTATTTAATTTTTCCGGCGGAAAAATAGTTTTAGACGAAAGTATGGATGAGGATGAGGAAAGTGACGATGTAAAAATGGATTTGGATAGTGAGGCAGTAATTGTAAAAACAGGAGAAGGATCTGCCGATTTGTTCGAGGACAAGGTTCGTTAAAAAAAAATGTTATTTTTTATTTATTTCTAACAAAATTTGCATGTTTATAATTAATTATTCTATACGGAAAAAATTATTTTTCTTTCTTTGCAAAAAAAAGGGTTAAAATAATTGAAAAATTATCATAATTGCCCTTATATACTTGAATAAATAAATATATAATTGATTCAATAAGAATAATTACATTAAGATGTAAATTTTATTCTTTTGAATGAAATTAACAATAGTAAAAAGTGGAGAACGGTAATTTGGATTTTAAAAATTTGCCTTTTTAAAATTTTTTAATAACAATAGAACAAATTATTTATTTATTTGTAATTTATGGGAAAAATATTAAAATAATTTTTCTTTTTCTTTCAATAATTCATCAAACTATTTATTTTTTATTTTTTATTCAATAACAAAATATTACAATATTTTTATAATTTACAACAAATAAAATTTTTTCAGTAAACTATAAATATAGACTCGCAAAAGTGTTATTTATTTATTTTTTTAAAATAAAATAAAAAAGTTTATCATAATTTTTTTTCTTTAAATTTTCGTAGAGTAAAATGATTGGCATGGGAGGATTCAACACTTGGCATAGTTCTGATTCTGATGATGATGATGATCCGGGTATAAAGGACGTTGAAATAGTTCAAGTAACAAAAACAAGAAAAAGAGTTCTCGACGACATTGGTAATTATTGAGTTTTGTTTATTTTTTATCCGAAATTAAAATTAACATCATTTTTTAAATGATTTACAATTTTAACAGTTTTTTTTAATAATAATAATAATAGTTAAAAAAAACTAAATTAAAAATTGCAATAAATATAAAAAAAATACTTTAAATAAATTATTCTAAAAAAATTCAAGTCTTTTATTTTTAAATTAATTTCAAATTAGGTATTAAAGAAAAAATTATAAAAAATTAAATTATGGAAATTTTTTTAATACTTGTATTATTTTGAGACGATTTACAAAAATTAATTTTTTGTTTTTAGAATTAAGTGGTGACAGCGAGGAAGAAATGACAGCAACAATTTCTACCAAGGACCTCGAATAAAATGTGCAAAAAAAAAAAATAGGTAAAATATTTTTCAGTAAAAAGAAAAAAATTTTGTAATTGTTTTTTCTTTTTTACAATGCGAAAAAAAAATAAGGACATAAAATAGATAAATTTCTACAAATATATCTATTTATATATATTTTTTTTGTTTTTGCTTCTAAGTAAGTTATAATATTATTATTTTACAAATAAAAAAATTTCTTTTACAAAAAAAAAAAAAAACGGACGTCACTAACGTAACTGAGAAAACAAATTTCTTTTTTCATTCACTCATTCCACAATCATACAATTCGAGATTCTCAAACATAAGAGAATGTAAAAATAGAGTTTTAATTTTTTTTTTTCATTTCTTTCAAATAACGTAAAGTTTTTCTTTTTCCTAAAATTTTTATTTAGGAAAATTTCACCCTTTTTTTGTGTATTTAACTCCAATAAAAACAATTTTTCAACTAAAATTTGAATGAAAAAAAATTTGTTTTACGCAAGAATAAAAATGATGAAAAAAGAATATAAAAAACTTGTATTTAAATAGAAAAAGTTAAAAAGAACTTTTTTTTTTAAATCGAAAAATATATTTAGAAATAGAAAAAGAACTTTAAAAAAAAAAATAAATAGAAAAAAAGTTAATTTTTTTTATGCAATTGTAAAAAATTTGAAAATTTCTAATAAGGAAATATTTTACGAAAATTGAAGTTAAATACATTTCGCGAGTATATTCTTAAATAATTACATTTGATCGAATTTTTTTCAGTCTATTTTTTCATCTCTCTCGATGTTTTTTTTTTTTTTTTTAATTTTTAGGAGGGGGAATTTTTTTTTTTTTTCATTGTAGTCGCACGATTGTTACGTAGGACGTCTTGTATAATTTCATTGACAAACAAAAGCTATATATATCTATATGTATAATTGTCGGGAGTAAAATTATGTGTTAACATTAATTGATTTCACAAATGGAAATTTCGGCTACGTTGTATCACTGTTCAATCCATTTTTTTGATCGAGTTTATTTGCATTTGTCTTCACAGCATAAAAGAAGAAACTCAACGCTTCTTTTTCAACAATTGGAATTGTTTTGAAGTGCTTCATAAGAGTCTGTAAAATAAATTTTAATTTAATTAAATTAAATAAAAAACATAAAAAATTTAGTTTATTGAATTTTTTCAAATTTTGTTATTTGAAAAATTTTGAAACAATGATTTATGAAAAGTAATTTAAAATTTTCACTAATTAAATTTTTTAATTAATTTTTCTCTTTTTCTTTCCAAAAAAAAAAAATAATGAAATGTTGAATTTAATAAAACCGTGAAATGCAAATAATTACATCAGCAAGTTGATTTTTATTGATTCCGGGTTTCGTTGGAATTTTGAAATGTCGCTTATATCGCTTCAAAGTTCCAAATTGCAGTTGAAAAAGATTAACTTCCGGTTGATCGTTGTCTGTTTCCCCGGAATCATCCTCCGAGTCTTTCCGCCTTCTCTGCTGTTGTTGCTTCGTCCTTGCATTTTGAATTACTAATTTGTGATATTCACAAATGTAAATATGACGAGCCTGTTAAAAAGAAGAAAACAATCTTTTTTTTTTAATTTTCTCATTAATTTAACAATTATTTCTACATTCCGTGAATTAAATAATTAGAAATTTTTCTAAATTAATAAAAAAAATATATTCTTTAATTGAGAAAAAAAAATTGTTTAATTAAACAAAATTTATTCTTAAAATAAAAAAAGTCCTCAATTATATTTTTCTCAATAATTAATAGTTGGAAAAATAATTTTAATATGAAAAGAAATTTTTTAAAAAATTTCAAAAAAAAGGAAAAAAATTTGTATGGAAAATTCTTAAAAACTTTTTTCCCATCAAAATTTTAAATTTTGGTAAATTGAACGCTTCTCTTTTTAACTTTTAACAATTTAATATTGAGAGGTTGTTTTTTTTTTAAATCTTAATTTCGAATTCGATAAACTAAGTTAATTTTTGTCGGAATTTGAATAAAAAAAAAAAAAAAAAATACCATTGGATCGATGTTGAGTTTCAATCTTCGTTGAGTGACGGTTTTTTGAATGCGTTTGCTGTATGAAGCATTTCCTGCTGGTCGCGAACATCTTTCGCCCTCGTCAATCAAACAACAAATTTGATCCGCCGCTCCTCTGAAAATTCATAAATTAAAAAAAAAAAAATTTTTCTTAATGTTTTTAAAAACAAGTAATTAGAAAAATATATTTTTTAAAGTATAATATATTATTTTCATTAATTTCAATTTAAAGAACTGTTTAAAAAAATTATCAAATGTGTAAAAAAATTTCATATAAATAATGAAAGTTTTGAATAATTTACAGATTTGGGAAAATTTTGAATATCAACAATTTTGCATTTCAAAAATTTTTAATTCGAATTTGAAATTAAAAATTGTTTCATTTGAAATATATATTTTTCACTTTTTTTTATTTTAAATTTTCTAATTTATAAATTATAAAAAAATTTACACTCAACTTTTTATGTTAAAAAAATATTAATTTCAATTTTTCCTTTTTTTTCAACAATTCATTCAAAAATATGTTAAATCAAACAATTTTAATTAAATAAAAATTCAATTAACTGAATGTAATAATAATAATAATAATAATAATTCGTTTTAACAAAACGAAAGATATATTTCAAATGAAATAATATTTTAATTATATTTTAGAATAAGATTTCAACTTAAAAATTGTGTAAAAAGTTTTATTACAATAAACAAATTTAAAAAATTTTTTTAAATTAATTAATTGTTAGTATTTGTCATTTAAAAAAAAAAATAACTAAACTACAATAAAGGTTAAAGAAATTAATTTATAATAATTGCTAAAATTTGAAAAAAAAAAAATTAACCGACTTTCATTTCAAAACAATTGATTTTATCTTTTAAAAAATAATACAACAAAATTTGATTAAAAAAAAGAAGTAAGCAACAATGTAAAAGATTCAAAAAAATTTGTTAAAATTTTTCACAATTGATATTTACAAAACTTAAAAAAATTTCAACAAAAACAATGAAAAAAAAAAAACAAATAAGGAAACACCTTGGATACCGGAAAAATGACGCATTTTCAGAAAATTACCTGGAATCTTCTTCTCCGGTACTGAATCCGTTCATTTTCTTCGAAGAACAAATAAACACTTGTATATCACTTATAAAGTATTTGAAAAAAAAAACAAATAATTATTTCAATCCTCTTCAAAATAATGTTTAGAATTTCATGAATTTTCAAGGAAAAATTTTTTTCTTTCACGAAGGTCACACTTTTCACACATGATTTTTTTTTAACTCACACACAAATACACCTTACACACATACACAAATTTGGATTGTTCACGTGAAATTATTTTTCCCACTTTTTTTTTTTTTTTTTCACTGAATATGTAATATGAATTTTCACTGAAAATTCAAATTTTCTTTATTCGTAATTGTAATTACAAAATAAAAATCTAATTAATATTGTTTTTCAAGGCGAAACACTTTTTCGATGACAGGAGGAGCTAAAAAAATAATTTTTTTCGTCCGCTATGTATTATCGTTTTCGGCACTTGAAACTTTATAGTTTTAACACATGAATTTTGTCAATTCTTTTTTTTAAAGATTATTCCTCGTTTCATCAACTTTTTGTTAAAAAAAAATTGATAATTCAATTCATATTAAGAATATTTTATTTTTTGTTGAGAAAGTTGATTGTGAAAAATCGGCACATATGCGTCACACAAAAGTTTTCTCACGTCGTCGTATATCGGGAGAAAATCCGGCTTTGCTTTGGACTGAGACACTGTTGCCAACATGAAAATATAACACGAGTTTAAACTTACCCATATATTGCGATTAATGCGCAAGCGCGCCAGTGAAGTAGTCACTTTTAAAATATGAAAAAGGGACTATTTTTATAAATTATTTAATTTTATCGATATTATTAATTTACGTTTGGTTTTTTTTGGTCCGTAACAATTTACAATGAATGAGATTAAAAATAAAAAAAAAAGTTACGGTAACTATGAGATAGAAAAAGATAGATATGTTTTGTGTAGACATTGAGTGGAACCTCCGTAATGTGACAACTACGATGTTTCTCAACAAACTGTCACATTTCAAAGGTTCTTAAACACTCTATTTGCAAAGTGTCATATTTGGGATGTTCTACTGCAGTTTTAAATTGTATGATCGTACCTTAATAAAAGCGTTACATTTCGGATGTTCTATTCAACTGAACGTACTCAACCCTGCACATAGTATCCACTCAGCCAAAAATTCGATAAAATTAAAATATTTAAAATCAAAATTATCTTAAATAAACGTTTAATCATTTTTAAATTTCATAAAATAGTGTATTTTAGAAAATTATAACATAATAATATGAAAATTAATTCAAAGGATTAAAATTTACAAAAAATAAAAATTCTCTGCAATTTAAAATTTATTTTATATATTATAAAATGTATAAAAATTGTTAAATTTATTTAATTTAATTTGAAGTTATTTTAATAAAAAAAAATTGGTTACAAATATTTGAAACGTATAAATAAAACAAAAAAAAAAAAAAATACGGCCCTGAGTGCATTTATAACTTTGTGTATTTGTGATTGTATTGCACACACAACTTTACTATTGCGCAGCCAATTGACGCACACCTCCCCTTTTTTCTCTCTTCAATGTAAAAAAAAAAAAGCAATACACCAAATTGTTTAGAAAAAATTTATTAAAAATCTCTCAAAAAATAAATTTTTATAAAAACAATTATCACTGGTATTTTATTCTCCATACATAAATTTTTATCATTCATAACCTGAAAATCATTATCTCCATTGAAAAAAATAACTTTTAAGAGGAAAAAAAAAATATGGACGATTTATGTTTCTATTTCTCTCTCTCTCTTTTTCTCTCAATTTCCCCCACCACTTTCAATCTACGACGGAATTTGAAATTGGAATCAAAATATTCATCTTTCTCTGTTTCAAATGGTTATAATTACATTGAATCCGTGTGAGACCGGAGACAATAAATAACAATCATGAAAACATCTGTTTTCCTTGTTTTGATACAGTCGAGGTCGGTGATGAATTTTTTTTTTTTCAAAAGCTGGCAGTCCTGGAAGCGACAGCTGCTACTCGTCAGTGATGTGCTGCTCCCTAGCGGACAAATTTTTCATCCAAGCCAAACATTGATAAAACATTGAATATCTTTTAAATAAAATAAAAAAAAATCCCCTACAATTCATGAAAAAAAAAGTGAAGCATAATTTTTCATTAATATTAACCAATGAAAAATATTAAATTTTCATTTTCATTTTAATATTTATTATCAATAAATTTGGAAGATATTTCATTTCCCGCTCTTTTATTGGATGAGCATAGCAGACACTCACAAGCATTGGTGGGGTGCAAAAGAAACTCGTCAAAATTTGTAAAAGATACATTCTGATTGGTGAACTTTTTGCGGCTTATCTGAAATGCGCCAATGAGTGAAGACATATTCCATAGCTGGGCACACATTCATATTATTGCCGCACCACGAGTGGCGTGGGGTCGCAAGATACAATTCGAAGCGAGAATCCTTTTAGCTGCGTGTATACAAGAGAGATCCGTGTGTTTATCAGGTAAGAAAAATTTCAAATAGCTCGACAGCAATGTGTTGACAGATTTTCGTGGCGCGTCTTATAATTGAGAGTGACATCATAATAAAAAAGGTGTATTATTTCATTAGGTAAATGTGCTTCGAATAAATGAAAATTATTGTTCTTTATATATATTAACTGCACACGCAACCGTCAAAGGCAAATGGCTGCCTCGTCTGTGAGTGAGGTTTTGTTCTCGCGATGTTTTGACCCAAGTGGACCGCGACGCTGGAAAAATCGTGCGCGCCGACTTGAGAAAAAAAAAATTAAGTGATTTTTTTTTTTTTTTTAAATTATTCACAACGTTAGTGATTTAATTGTTTATTTTATTTCGAGTATCATTTGAATTATATTATTATAAGAATAAAATTGAGCGAGTTGACAAATGCGGGGAAATGAAATAAACTCGACCGTTTTGGTCACCTCCATTGGTAGAAACACCGCCCCCCCCCCCTATACACATATATACATTTATATATACATTTATATATATATACATAACATTGATGAGACTCGTTGCGAGAACTCGTGTGTAATTGTGTATGTATATTGTTGTTATATATATATATATATGTATGTGTGATACGTTTTCTCAAAAAATGATCACTGACTCGGGAAAAGTTATTTATTTTTTTACATTGAATTAGTGATTTTTTAAATGTTAAGGAAAAATGAGATGAACTTTCTGTCATGAGGCGAGTGTTGATTATTTATATTCGATAAAATCGGTGACTTTTCGATTTCCCGCCCACCGCGGGAAACGTCAAACGTGTCAGACCCACTCTTAGCACACACGATTTTCCATATAGTGCACAGCTTATAATCTTAGGGGAGGGGGGAAGAGGTACTGCGCTTTCCCCGGGTGTCTGTGTCAGCTGATTCATGGAAATTATTTTGCCCCGGAAAAATGGAAAAACATTTCTATTTGAGTTTTTTAAAACTGTTTTATTTTATTTATTTTTTTTTTTTGATAATAGATAATTATAAAAAAACACCTAATAAGGTTATGTTACATATTTATGAAAAGAAAATGGTTTTAACAAAAAGTAAATATTAAATCAATTGATTTATATTTAATAAAAATTAATAAAATAAAATTACGTAATTTATTTATTTTTTTTTTTTACTATTTTTATATAATTACTTTTTTGTCATAAATTGTAATTTTTTTTTATTAAATTATAACGAAAGAAGAACTAGAATTATATATGAATAATAAAAAAAATAAATATATTACGTAATTTAGTTTTATATTTAATAAATATAAATCAGTTGATTTAATATTTATCAAATTGTATTTTTTTTATATTTTATTATTTATTATTTGTTTATTTATTATTATTTTCTATATAATTGTTTTTATTATTAATTTTATATCTATTGTATTTTTTAAAAAAATTTTTTTTATATTAGTAAAAAGTTATGATTTGGTATAAATATTAAAATCGTTATTATTATTATTATTATTATTATTATTATTATTTATAATAATTTTTTTATTAAAATAAGATTTAAATAACTATATTAGTAAAAAAAAAAATAATAATTTTTTTGCACAAATTGAAAAGATTCTGATAAAAAAAAATTAAATTCTCATTTGACCGAAATTTTATTATTGTTCGTACATATTCGATTCAATAAATTTTGATATCTTGAATTTCAAAATTAACCAATCAAAATTGTTTTCAAGAAAATTGTGATTGGTTAATTTTGAAATTCGCGCCAAAATATTTTGTCTGGATGCTTTTTTTTGGACTAATGAAAAAAAAGTAAGATAATTTTGAAAATTTTTTGAAATTTTTAAAAATTCTATCAAAAAATTTGTTATAGTTGAATAAATTCAAATTCTGATAAATAAAAATTTTGTTGATTTTTGTTAAATAAAATTTAAATAAACTAAAGATTCTGCAAAAAAAAAAGTTAATTATATAGTTTAATACAAATTTCTATACTAAATTAAAATTATGCCTATATAAAAAATTGGTCAATAAAAAAAAATATTAAAAATACTGAAAAATCTGTTTTATATTGCTAAAAATCAGTGTAGTGATTTTTTAATTGGATCCTAAAGCTCATATAATGCGACTGTACAATAATAATTAATTAACTGAGAATCAGACAGACAGACAGTAAAATCAATAGTTTAATTTCACATTTTCGTGTTTTTAATTAAAAAAAAAAAAAAAAAAAAAAAAAAATTACAAAATACAAAATTCTTTTTAGTATAAAACTAATTGAATTATTTTTATTTTTAAATATATTAAATAATTAAAATTTAGATATTAGTAAAAATAAAAATTATTTTTAATTTTGAGGTTATGTTATACCTAAATAGTTTTCTACTGTTGAAAAAAATTGAAAAAAAAATTTTTCAATATATTTTATTTAAAAATATGAAAATAAATGAATTTGTACTAAAATTTTTTCACTTTTAGTCCTATTTTTACTTAATGTAAACAATTTTACGGAAAAATTTCACAAAGAAGGAAAAAATTGAAAAGAATTGAGAAATTGTTACCTTTTTCTATATATATATATATATATATATATATATATATAAAGAAAAAGATGAATTATTCAATCCTTTTTGAATTCCGTTTTTCTTATTTTCTGTTTCTTACTATAAGATTTGACAAGCAAATATAAATTCCATTTACATTTTTTTACATTTTCCTTTATTTTATTCTGACATGTTATACTTATTATTTAAATATTTTGATTGTAATATTAATTTACAAAAAAATATAATTATAATAAAATAAAATTAATATAAATAAAAAATAAATAGAAAATAAAAATAAATAACCTAAAAAATTTGGTAATTAATTTTTTTATGTGCTTGTTTTTATTTATTCCTAGGTTATTTATTTTTATTTATTTTTGAAATAATGTCTTTCTCTTTCTAATTTATTTATTTACTTAAAAAAAAAAAAAAATAATAAAAATTTAATTTAAATTTTTTTTATTTAAGCCATTATGCCAAATAAGCAGATAAGATCTTAATTATTAAATTTTATAGCTTTAAAATCATTTTATTTAATAATAATAATAATAATAATAACGTAAATTTTTAATTTTTTATTATCCATCAATAATAGTTGATAATTTTATAATTTACAAAAATATAATAATTCAGAAGAAATAATTTCGAAAAATTTAATT